CAGGCCGGGCCCCCCCAGGCCGAGCCCCCACAGGCCGGGCCCCGCAAGCCAAACCCGCAGGCCGGGCCCGAGGCTGAGACCCCGCAGGCCGAGCCCCCCGGACCCCCGTAGGCTGGGACCCCGCAGGCCGGGCCCCGCAGGCTGGGCCCAGAGGCTGAGTCCCCCGGAGCGGGGCCCCAGGGGCTGGCAGAGAAGGGCCCTGGTCGGTCACTGCCTCTCTGAGGGACGGGGTGTCCCCTTCGCAGGGGCCGTGACGGCTGCAGCCCGGGTGCCGGCTCCGGTGAAGCTCAGGGGTCTCCCCGGGGCCTGGCAGGGGCGGGGTCTGAGAGCCGGTCCCCATCTCTGCAGGCCTGCCTCTCTCTGCCTTTCGCCCGCTGCCCCCGCCCTCCCACCTTGTCCACCTCGAACGCCTGCTTGGTCTGGACGGTGGTCGGCCCGTTGGACGGCGGGGTCACTCCGGCCAGGGCGTCCAGCTGCCCGAGCAGCACCCACAGGGCCCACGGAGGTCCCATCCGGCCGACAGGAGACGGGCCCCGGGCGCTGCCGACTCAGTGCCTCCGACAGGCCTGCCCCGCGGCCCGGGTGCCTCCCCCAGGCCGGGCAGCAGGGAGTGGGTGCAGGGCCGGGGGTGGGGCGGGCCCTTTCAGATCTGCCCGCTGAAGATGGGGGGGGGGGGCTGCTTGGGGAAGGAGGGGGCAGGAAGGGGAGGTGCCTCCCAGGTCTCTGGTTCTCGCCTTCTCATTGCTGACACCGTCCCACCCCCCCACCCCTTCCACCGCCCGGTCCCCACGGCTCTGACCCCCCTTCTGAGCGCCAGCCTGTGTCCGAGCAGAGGACGGAACGCACCGGCCAGGGCCAGGCCTCCCAGTGCCAGGGGCCAGAGCCACCGTGTTCCTGCCTCAGGGACCTGGTGTCCTGCCCGCCGCCCGCGCCCGCCGCCCACAGCCCCACCCGGAGTGTGTGGCCAGGCCGGGGGGGTAGCACAGGTGGCTCTGAGCCTGCAGCCCCCCTACGGAGATCTGTGGGCAGCGGGCCTGTGGGTGCTGGACTCTGCACCAGATGGGAAGACCCTGTCCCTGACCTCTGAACCCCCGTCCGGGGCCACCTGCTCCCCACAGGCCCCCCCGTCCGGGGCCTCCTGCTCCCCACAGGCCCCCCCGTCCGGGGCCTCTTGCTCCCCACAGGTCCCCCTGTCCGGGGCCACCTGCTCCCCACAAGGCCCCCTGTCCAGGGTCACCTGCTCCCCCACAGGCCCCCCCTGTACAGGGCCACCTGCTCCCCACAGGCCCCCCCGTCCGGGGCCACCTGCTCCCCACAGGCCCCCCCGTCCCAGGTCACCTGCTCCCCACAGGCCCCCCCGTCCGGGGCCACCTGCTCCCCACAAGGCCCCCTGTCCGGGGTCACCTGCTCCCCCACAGGCCCCCCCTGTACAGGGCCACCTGCTCCCCCACAGGCTCCCCCCCGTCCGGGGCCACCTGCTCTCCCACCCTCCCTCCCTGTCCGGGGCCACCTCCTCCCTCTGCTCACACTCAGCCTGTTCTGAGCAGGAGCCCCAGCTGGGCCCCTCAGAGAGCCCGGCCCCCCGGCCCCCGTCCCCGTCCCCGGCCCCTCTGGGTCGGCTCGGGCCCCGGAGGGAGGACGGAGCCGCGGACGGTGCCCCCCTGGCACGCGCTCTGCTCCTGGTCAGCGGTGTCTGCCCGGAAACAACCCACGAGGAGACAGGTTCCCAACCACATGACTGGCCCCCAAGTCCCCGGGGACCCCTCTTCCCCTTCCCCCCCCAAGGCCTGGGGCCCTGCGCCACCAGCCCCGCAGCCTCCTGGGGTGCCTCGCAGGCGGCCTCACCCACATCGGCCTGGACAGAGATGGGGTGCAGGGCGCAGCGAGTCAGGCCGGGGACAGCGGCCCCACAGGGACCCGCCTCCCTGCCGGCTGGTAACCAGGGCCCGGGGAGGCGCCCAGGCCCTCCCCGCGGGTTCGGAAAGTGAACGTGTGTCCCTGTCAGTGACCCGCCCTCAGCTACTGCTGTTCGCCTCCGCGTCTGATTGGACATCAGGAAGCACTTTTATTTTTTAATTTTTATTTTTTTACAAAAAATATATTTTATTGATTTTTTGCAGAGAGGATGGGAGAGGGATAGAGAGCTAGAAACATCGACCAGCTGCCTCCTGCACACGCCCTACCAGGGATGTGCCCGCAACCAATGCACATGCCCTTGACAGGAATCGAACCCGGGACCCTTCAGCCCGCAGACAGACACTCTACCACTGAGCCAAACCGGCTTCTTCGGGAAGCACTTTTAAAAAACATGTTTTTATTGATTTCAGAGCCGAAGGGACAGGGAGGGAGGGGGCAGGGAGGGGGAGGAGGGGGAGAGACCTGTGGTGAGAGGGGATCCTGGGTCGGCTGCCTCCTGCGCTGGCTCCTGGGGGTCCGGACCCGGGGAGGTCACAGCCCCCTGGGGGCCTGGGTGACCCGAGGTGACCTCACGCCGGCCGGCGGGGCCAGCGGGAAAGGCAGGAGTCGGCTGAGGAGGTGGCGTTAATGGGGCAGAGCCCAGGGTGCGGTGCGGCAGCCTCCAGCAGGGGGTGCTGGCCTCAGCGGCGGGTCCTTCCTGCCTCTCTCCCAGGGCCAGGTGGCCTCACCTCTTGACCTCTGTACAGAGACCGACCGGAGACTCAGCCAGCGAGACCTCCGCCCTCTGCCCTCCGCCCTCCGCCCTCCGCCCTCCGCCCTCCGCCCAGCGGGGCCGCCGCCCACTCACCGTCCAGGACGTGGAACTGGTCAGCGGCCTCACAGAAACCTGGGGGCCAAGCCGCGGTCAGTGTGGCTGGCCGGGGTGAGTGTGGCCGGCCGGGGGTCAGTGTGGCCGGCCGGGGTCAGTGTGGCCGGCCGGGGGTCAGTGTGGCCGGCCGGGGGTCAGTGTGGCCGGACGGGGGTCAGTGTGTCGGACGGGGGTCAGTGTGGCCAGGGTCAGTGTGGCCGGACGGGGGTCAGTGTGTCGGACGGGGGTCAGTGTGGCCAGGGTCAGTGTGGCCGGGGTCACTGTGTCGGACGGGGGTCAGTGTGGCCGGCCGGGGTCAGTGTGGCCGGCCGGGGTCAGTGTGGCCGGGGCCTCGGAGGGCGGGCGGGCGGCCGCCGGGCCGGGGGGGGGGGGTGCACTCACCGTACTGGGGGAAGTACAGGATGTGGTCCTCGGTCAGGCCGGCCCCCTGGACGCTCTGCTCAAACGCGCTCACCACCGAGTCGTCCACGGGGAACGTGCGGACTGTGGGACAGAGGCTCCTGGGGCGCACGCGGGCCGGGGGGCGGGGTGCAGGGCACTCTGGGAACAGGGTCTGCTTGCCCGCCCCGCCCCTCCCACCCCCTCCCTGTCCCGCACCCGGGCCCCGCGGGGACGCACCGTACAGCTTCACCGAGAGCCGGCGCGCCCGCTCCAGGTACAGGATGGCGAAGGCCCGGTAGTCCGTCTCCCCCACGACCACCTGCACGTCCCCCCGGGCGCCTGGAGCTGGGCAGAGGGGCCGCGGCGTCAGCCCCGCCCCCGCCCCCCAGCCCTGCACCCCTCCTGCCGCCTGCTCACCTGGCAGCAGGAAGCGGCCCTGGACCTCGGCGTCTCTGTAGAGCTGCCGTATCTGCCAGCAGATGCCGTCCCTGGGGGGCGCGAAGGCAGTGGCTGGGCACCCACCCTGGGCGGCCCGTGCGGGCAGCGGGGAGGCCCCACCGGGGTGGGGCAAGGTGGGTCGGGACAGGCCGTGCAGGACTCACAGCTTCTGGAAGGTGTTGACAGCCATGGCTTTTCCCTGGGGCGCCACCTTCACTGCGGTGGCCTCCGCCCGGTGGCCCTGCTCCTGCAGGAAGCGGCAGGAGGACGCCACGGCCGCGAGGAACCAGGTCCCTGCAAACTGAGGCGGGCGGGTGAGGGCCGAGGGGCGCCGTCTGGCCTGGCCCTCCCCACAGAGCCGGCCAGCTACCTGCTGAGCGTCGAAGCCGGCCTTGGGCTGGACGGCGCTGATGGGGGGCGGGCGCTGGGGGGGTCTCTGCGCCCCCAGACCCGGGGAGCCAGCAGCCAGGACCAGAGCCCAGAGGAGCGCAGCCCCGGGCGGCAGCATGGCGGCGGCGGTCTGAGCGGCACCGGGGCAGGATGAGCCTGGCCCGGGTCGGAGTCCACTGCCCGGTGCTGCCCAGGAAGTCACGCCGGATCCCCAAGCCCAGCCAGGGTCCCACCCCCAGCTTCCCTCCGAGTCCGGCCTCAGCCCGGACACCTGACCTCACCTGACCCTGACCCGCACCCCAGGCCTGGCGCCGGGCCGGGTGAGAGTCCGGGCCCCTGCCTGGCCACGGGCCACCGGCTCCTGCGCACATTGGTCTCCGTTAACCCGCCCGCCGCTCCTGGAAGTAGGCCGGTCTCTTTTAAAAATGCTTTTATTGATTTCAGAGACGAGGAGAGACATGAATGACGAGAACCACAGCGGCCGGCCAGGTCCTGTGGGCCCGTCACCTGCCTGAGAACAGGAGGATCTAGAGCAGGAGGCCCACCCTGTCCCGCCCCACTGCCCCGCCCCACTGCCCCGCCCCACTGCGCCCCACTGCACCCACTGCACCCACTGCACCCCACTGCACCCACTGCACCCCACTGCACCCCACTGCACCCACTGCACCCCACTGCACCCACTGCACCCACTGCACCCACTGCACCCACTGCACCCCACTGCACCCCTCTGCACCCACTGCACCCCACTGCACCCACTGCACCCCACTGCACCCACTGCACCCACTGCACCCATCCCAGGATCCGCAGCCCCCAGCGGCCCAGGCTACGGGGAGGGGAAGCCCCAAGGTCTCCTGCGACCTCCCTACCAGATCTAGCCCTGGCCCCAGCCCCTCCTGCCTCGCTGGACCCCAGGGGAGCCCCGCCCCTTGGGCTGCCCCCTGCAGGCCAGGGACCCCCTTGCATGGCGGGTGGGATGGCGGGTGAGGCCAGCCCACAGTCCACTCACCTACTGGTGGCCCTCCATGCACTTGCCTGCGGAGAAAGAGGCGATGACAGCGGCGGTCAGCGCCTGGGTCAGGGCCACTCCCGCCCTTCCCCTCCCCCCGTCCCCCAGCTCCATCACTCCCAACCCTCCCCCAACCCTCGCTGCAGACAGGCGGCCTGACCCCCAGGGCCCAGGCCTGAGCCTCTGGGCGCCCACGTTCGGGCCTGAACGTGCTGCTGCCCCGGAGCCCACAGCGCCCGCCGCCACCCGCTGGAGACGCCTGACTCTGGGACAACAGGGCCTGGCCCCGGGGGTGCTGGATGGAGGGGGCTGTGGGCCACGGTCGTGGGGAGAACATGGCCCCTGTGTCGGCCACGCCGCTGCACAGGGTGTCTGGCCTCCGGGAGCGGGGAGACTGTCCGCTCTGACCAGCTGCAGCCCGCTGCCCGCCCGGTGGCCCTCACCCGTGTTCGGCAGAAAGTCAATGTCCTCCTTGGGGAAGCCCTTGGCGGCGGTGAAGGCGGTGAACTTGTCCTTCACAGCGTCCTGCGGGGTCTCAGTGCGGCCTGGGCGGGCGGACGGGACCGGAGGCCTCAGCTCTGCCTCCCCCGTGGGCGTGCCCTCCCGGTGGGCCTGAGGCCGGGGGGGTGGGTACAGGGCGGGGGGGCCAGAGGGGTTCGGGGCGGGGGAGGGAGGCAGGGCAGGGCGGTCAGGGGGGTACAGGGCGGGGGGGAGCCGGGGAGGGAGGACAGAGCGGGGAGGGGGGCAGGAGGGTAGGGGGAGGCGGGCACGTACTGTACAGCGTGGCCAAGTGGAAGCTGCTCTCGCCGGCGCCCCAAGCAGAGTACAGCAGCGCGTACTCACTGTGCGTCTCCTCCACCCACACGTCCTGCGTGTTGCCCCCGACTGCGGGCCACAGTGACCACATGGGCCACCGGCCCCGACCCCGGCTGCCTTCCCCCCCCACCTCCTGCCCACACAGCCTGGGCACTGCCGGAGCCAGGGGACCCCCCCCCCGCCCGTTCCCACCCGGAGCCGGGGGCAGCCAGCACACAGGCTCAGACAACGAGGGGGTCAGGGTGCAGCCACCAGCCCCGCTGCTCAAAGGGGCAGGAGACCCATCGCCCGGAGAGGGAGGAGCCCAGGATGGGGTGCTGTCGCCTGCCCGTCCAGCAGTGGGGGCGACGAGGTCTGGGGAGACCCCACGGGGCAGAGCGGGCTGACAGGACTGGCTCCAGGGTGGGTCCGGTGCTCCCCCACAACTGGGGGCAGATCCAGGCCAGACGCCAGGCTCGCCAGCCCGGAGGGGAGGCCCTCAGCCTGCTGGGCTGGGGTGCCGTCACCCCCAGTGGGTCCAGGCCGCCGGCATGGGGTCCACTCACAGGGGCTGGGGTAGGTGTAGTGGCCGGGGGTGTCCGTTGGCGTCAGCAGCACGCTCAATGTCTCATACTTGTCTTTCCTGCGGGCAGGGCACCGTCAAGCGTGGGGCTCCAGGCCGGCTGCCAGATACGGGGGCAGGCCGGGCCCTGGGGGAGCCCTCAGCCCCGATGCCCCCCCCCGCCCCACCTGAGGAAGCCGGTGGTGAGGCTGAGGACGCCTTGCCCATGCTCAGGCGCGGCCGGGGCCACCACGACGAGACACATGGACATGAGGTGCTTCTTCTCCCGGAACCATTTGGTGTTGGAGGCCAGGCCCACAGAGAACCAGCGCCCCAGGAACTGCGGACGGCCCCCCGTCAGCCAGGGCTGCCAGGCCGCCCCGTGGGCACCCCGCCCTCCATGTCCCGTGGCCAGGCCGACCCCCGCCCAGCCCCCTGCGGAGCGGGAGCACAGGGCACTGGGCAGTTTGCTGGGGCTTGGGGTTGGCCACTGGTGTCCCCAACACTGGACGCTCCAGGGAAGGGCAGGGCGGCGGATACAGCGTCGCGTCCACGGGAGACTGTGGCCCCCAGCCCCGCCCTGTCTGCGTCTCCCGCCCAGGGGTGTCCCAGCTCCGAGCCTGCTTCCCCCAGCACCCGAGTTCCGAGGGAGACTGGAGGAGGGTAGGCAGGCAGGGGCCAGCGTGTCTGCGGGTCCTGAGTGACGCCTGTGGACACGGGCTTACCTGCTGGACGGGGTGGGCACCGTCTCCTTCCGGGGAAGGGGCAGCGTGGCCGGTGGGTCCTCTCCCCGGGGGACAGCCCAGGCAGTTCCCCTCCCTCCGCAGAGCCCTCCCCGGGGGGACCAGCAGGGGGCCCCACCTGGTCCAGCTGGAAGCCGGGCTGCTCTGAGGCCCGGGCCGGTGCCGGCAGGACCCCCAGGGCCCCCAGCAGGACCAGCGCCATCCACAGGGAGCACGGAGCAGCCATGGTGCTGAGCCGGCGTCGCAGTCGGAGGCGGGAGCAGCAGTGAGGCCGAGCGGGAGTTGCAGGATGTGCAGAGCCGGGGGGACCCTATTTAAGGGCCCGGCTTGGCCTGTGCCCGGAGCCAAGGCCGGCCCCGCAGCGCGTGAAGCCTCAGCCCCCCCCATCTCCCCCCGCAAAGGCTCTGATCCCACAGGCAACTAGCCCCGGGGCTGGGGTTGGGGGCAGCCGGGGCCCTTTCCCAGACAGAACCCGCCCTGGGGCTGATGGGGGAGGGCACTCAACCGCAGCGCTGCCTGTCCCTGGCCTGCCGGCCCTGCCTCCTGGGATGGGGTGTGCTGGGCACTGGGGTGGGGGCCCATCCTGCCACCCCCCAGAAACAGGTGCTGGGCCCTGGCAGTGCCTCCGGTCTCACAGGCACAAGGGGTCGGGGGGACCTGCAGCCCGGTGCAGGGGGGACCCCAAGAGGCCGCCTGGGGGGACCCCAAGAGGCCTGTGAGCTGAGCCCAGCGGCCGAGCAGACATGAGGCCACTATGTCCCTGAGCGGCATGTGCCCGGGGAGGGCTGGGGGAGGCGGCCACTCGCCTGCTGCCCTGGACACTGGGGTGCAAGGAGCTGCCTCGTCCTCAAACAGGCCCAGACCATCCCCAGACCACCCCAGGCCTCCCCCAGGCCACCCCCAGGCCACCCCCAAGCCACCCCAGGCCACCCCCAGGCCACCCCAGGCTTCCCCCAGGCCACCCCCAGACCACCCCAGGCCTCCCCCAGACCACCCCAGGCTTCCCCCAGGCCACCCCCAGACCACACCCAGGCCACCCCCAGGCCACGCCCAGGCCACCCCAGGCCAACCCCCTTCCCTGGGCTGGAGAGCAGCCAGACCCGGGGGGGGGGGGGGGGGGCAGGGCACAACTGGAGCAGCGCCCCGCAGCCCTCACCAGCCCCAGGGCCGCTGGCTCTGTCCCCTGCGGCTCTTGCGCGCTGGGAGGCCGGGCTCGGGGTGGGGGTGGGGGGGGCACGCAGCTCCTTCACGTGGGAACCCCAGGGCCTGACTTCAAAAGGCCCCGGCTGGGCACTCAGGCATGGGCTGACCTTCAACCTTAACCTGGACGGAGGGACCAGGCTGGCTCTCACCAGTTGGGACCAGCCTGAGGTCCTGTCGGAATGGGCCGTGTGGATCCGTGTACAGACACCCCCCCCACGGTTCCTCTGCTCCCCCCACCCTGAGCTCCGTGCCCGCCTGCCGGTGCCCACAGTGGGTGGGTGTTGGCCTGAGGCTGCGGGTCCCATCGCTGTCAGGCGTGCAGGAGGCAACCCATCCGCGCTCTGCTCTCCCCTCCCTGTCCCTCCCCCTCTCTCTGAAAGGCAGTAAGAAACCAAACCAAGCCAAACCCCGTGCCCCGGCGGCTGTGAGCATGGCCTGTGGCTGCCGGCTCCTGGATAAACCGTCTTTTCTCTCCCCAGCACCTGCTGCTCCTGTTCAAAGGGGCAGGGAGCCCCCCGGGGCTCCGCATCCCGAGGGCAGGGCCAGCTCCGTGGACCCCGGGGCCCGGCCAGGTGGGAGGGTGCCCAGGCGGGAGGGTGCCCAGGCAGGAGGGTGCCCAGGCGTCAGGGTGCCCAGGCGTCAGGGTGACCAGGCGGGAGGGTGCCCCGCCCACTGGGGGTCCAGTGAGGCCCACGCCGCCTGGGCCGGCCCGGGCGCTCCGGATTCTGCCGCCCGCCCCGTGGTCGCCCGGTGTCGGTGCCGGCTCCCCGGGCCCCAAGTGTGTGTCCATTGGGGGAGGGTGTGGGTGCAGACAGGGCCAGTACCCAGGAACGGCTGTGCCTGGAGGTGGCCTGGCCCTGGGGAGGGAGGCTGGGCGAGGAGTGAGGACGGGGCGGGGAGGGGGCAGCAGGGGCTCACTGCCCAGGGCTCACCCCGCCCCCAGGCCTGGCCCCACCCGGGCTCCATCAGCTGCACGGCTGCCCCTCAGCTCCCCGAGTCTGGGCATCAGGCAGGGTGGGGCCGGGATCTGGGTGGGCTCCTGGCTGGAGGGCTGGGGTGTCAGGCAAGGTGCTGAGGGCCGGGGCTGTCTTGCTCTGACCCCCAGATGGGGAAATGTTGGGGGGTCCCCGCTTCACGTGCCCCCTCCCGCTCCCCAGAAATAGCAGGTCGACTGGGATCAGGGCTCCGAGCAGCTTTATCTGTAAACCGGAGAGGGTGACGTAGGCGACCTCACCCCCCACGCGGAGCCCAGACCACGCCCGGCCACGCCCGGTCACGCCGGGCTGCCCCCTCTGTCCTGAACCCCAGCAGGCTCAGCCACCGCCGGGAGCTGGCACAGACGCGTCACCCCGGACAGTGCTGTAGGGCCTGGGGCACGAGGACCACCTGCCGCCGCCTGGGGAAGGGCGCCGGTGGAGGCCCAGGGAGCTGTGGGTGCCGCACGGCCTCATGGGCCTGGAGTCGCACCGGGCGGCGGCCCCGGGACCCAAGCCCCTGAGATGCCGGTGGAGGCAGGTGTGGAGGGGACCAGAGACAGGCCCGTCGTGCCCGCAGTGGGGTCTGCCTCACATGTGCCCCCGCCAGCCCCGGGGCCGCGGGCAGCTCGGCCAGCCCCCCGGGGCCGCGGGCAGCTCGGCCAGCCCCCCGGGGCCGCGGGCAGCTCGGTCAGCCCCCAGGGGCCGCGGGCAGGTCGGCCAGCCCCCCGGGGCCGCGGGCAGCTCGGCCAGCCCCCCGGGGCCGCGGGCAGCTCGGCCAGCCCCCCGGGGCCGCGGGCAGCTCGGCCAGCCCCCCGGGGCCGCGGGCAGCTCGGCCAGCCCGGGGCAGCCGGGACCGAGCTGAGGGTGCGGCGGCTCAGGGTCACCTGCTCCCAGGGCTGAGTCCGGCCGAGGAGGGGGTGGCAGTCCCGCCCACTAATCCGGGCACCCGGAGGAGATGCGACCTCCTGCCAGGCATTCCTCCACAGAGCGAGCTCCCAGACTCACAGACACTGGGTCCCCCCGAGAGGCGGCGGGGCGGGCGCCTGCCTGCACATGTGTGTGCACGTGCATGAGTGCGTATGCATGCAGGTGTGTGCTCGTGTATGTGTGTGCAACGAGTGTGCATGCCTTTGTGTGCATGTCCCTGTGTGTGCATGTCTATGTGTGCACGTGTGTATATGCATGTGTGCGCACATCTCTCTGTGAAACATGTGTATATGAAACATGCTTGTCTCTGTGTGCAATGTGTGTATGTCTGTGTGCAACATGTGTGCATGTGAATGTCTGTGTGTGCGCGTCTGTGTCTCTGTGTGTGTGCATGTCTCTGTGTGTGCATGTCTATGCGCACACATGTGTATACATGTGTGTGCACGTCTCCGTGTGAAACATGTGTGTCTGTGTGTGCAACGTGTGTTTGTGTCTCTGTGCAACATGTGTGCGTGTTTGCATGTGCATGTCTGTGTGTGCACATCTCTGTGTGCGTACATGTCTTTGTGTGCGTGTCTGAGCGGCACAGGGGCAGGATGAGCCTGGCCCGGGTCGGAGTCCACTGCCCGGTGCTGCCCAGGAAGTCACGCCGGATCCCCAAGCCCAGCCAGGGTCCCACCCCCAGCTTCCCTCCGAGTCCGGCCTCAGCCAGGACACCTGACCTCACCTGACCCTGACCCGCACCCCAGGCCTGGCGCCGGGCCGGGTGAGAGTCCGGGCCCCTGCCTGGCCACGGGCCACCGGCTCCTGCGCACATTGGTCTCCGTTAACCCGCCCGCCGCTCCTGGAAGTAGGCCGGTCTCTTAATTTTTAAAAATGCTTTTATTGATTTCAGAGACGAGGAGAGACATGAATGACGAGAACCACGGCGGCCAGCCAGGTCCTGTGGGCCCGTCACCTGCCTGAGAACAGGAGGATCTAGAGCAGGAGGCCCACCCTGTCCCGCCCCACTGCCTCGCCCCACTGCCCCGCCCCACTGCGCCCACTGCACCCACTGCACCCCACTGCACCCACTGCACCCACTGCACCCCACTGCACCCACTGCACCCACTGCACCCACTGCACCCCACTGCACCCACTGCACCCACTGCACCCCACTGCACCCACTGCACCCACTGCACCCCACTGCACCCCACTGCACCCACTGCCCCGCCCCACTGCACCCACTGCACCCACTGCACCCACTGCACCCCACTGCACCCACTGCACCCACTGCACCCCACTGCACCCCACTGCACCCACTGCACCCACTGCACCCACTGCACCCCACTGCACCCACTGCACCCACTGCACCCACTGCACCCACTGCACCCCACTGCACCCCACTGCACCCACTGCACCCACTGCACCCACTGCACCCCACTGCACCCACTGTACCCCACTGCACCCCACTGCACCCCCACTGCACCCCACTGCACCCACTGCACCCTTCCCAGCATCCGCAGCCCCCCAGCGGCCCAGGCTACCGGGGAGGGGAAGCCCCAAGGTCTCCTGCGACCACCCAACCAGATCCCGCCCCAGCCCCAGCCCCTCCTGCCTCGCTGGACCCCAGGGGAGCCCCGCCCCTTGGGCTGCCCCCTGCAGGCCAGGGACCCCCTTGCATGGCGGGTGGAATGGCGGGTGAGGCCAGCCCACAGTCCACTCACCTACTGGTGGCCCTACATGCACTTGCCTGCGGAGAAAGAGGTGATGACAGCGGCGGTCAGCGCCTGGGTCAGGGCCACTCCCGCTCCTCCACTCCCGCCCCTCCCCCCTCCCCCAGCTCCATCACTCCCAACCCTCCCCCAACCCCCGCTGCAGACAGGCGGCCTGACCCCCAGGGCCCAGGCCTGAGCCTCTGGGCGCCCACGTTCGGGCCTGAACGTGCTGCTGCCCCGGAGCCCACAGCGCCCGCCGCCACCCGCTGGAGACGCCTGAGTCTGGGCCGACAGGGCCTCCCCCCGGAGGTTCTGGATGGAGGGGGCTGTGGGCCACGGTCGTGGGGAGAACATGGCCCCTGTGTCGGCCACGCCGCTGCCCAGGGTGGTCTGGCCTCCAGGAGCGAGGACACTGTCCGCCCTGACCGGCTGCAGCCCGCTGCCCGCCCGGTGGCCCTCACCCGTGTTCGGCGGAAAGACAATGTCCTCCTTGGGGAGGCCCTTGGCGGTGGCGAAGTCGGTGAACTTGTCCTTCACAGCAGGGTCCTGCAGGGTCTCAGTGCGGCCTGGGCGGGCGGACGGGACCGGAGGCCTCAGATCTGCCTCCCCCGTGGGCGTGCCCTCCCGGTGGGCCTGAGGCCGGGGTGGGGGGGTACAGGGCGGGGGGGGAGCCGGGGAGGGGGGACAGAGCGGGGAGGGGGGCAGGAGGGTAGGGGGAGGCGGGCACGTACTGTACAGCGTGGCCAAGTGGAATTTGCTCTCGTCGGTGCCCCACACAGTGTACAGAAGCGCGTACTCACTATCCGTCTCCACCCACAGGTCCTGCTTTCTGCCCGAGTCTGTGGGCCACAGTGACCACATGGGCCACCTGCCCCGACCCCGGCTGCATTCCCCCCCCTCCTCCTGCCCGCACAGCCTGGGCACTGCCGGAGCCAGGGGACCCCCCCCCCCCCGCCCGTTCCCACCCGGAGCCGGGGGCAGCCAGCACGCAGGCTCAGACAACGAGGGGGTCAGGGTGCAGCCACCAGCCCCGCTGCTCAAAAGGGCAGGAGACCTATCGCCCGGAGAGGGAGGAGCCCAGGATGGGGTGCTGTCGCCTGCCTGTCCAGCAGGGGGGCGACGAGGTCTGGGGAGACCCCACGGGGCCGGGCGGGCTGGCATGACTGGCTCCAGGGTGGGTCCGGAGCCCCCCTCCCCCAGCTGGGGGCAGATCCAGGCCAGACGCCAGGCTCGCCAGCCATAAGGGGAGGCTCTCAGCCTGCTGGGCTGGGGTGCCGTCACCCCCAGGGCGTCCAGGCTGCTTGCGTGGGGGCCACTCACAGATGCTGTTATAGGTGTAGTGGCCGGGGGTGTCCATTGGCGTCAGCAGCACGCTCCGGGTCTCATACTCGTCTCCCCTGCAGGCAGGGCACCGTCAAGCGTGGGGCTCTTGGCCGGCAGCCAGCCCCGGGGCCAGGTCGGGCCCCGGGGGAGCCCTCAGCCCTGATGCCCCCCCCTCCCACCTGAGGAAGCCGGTGGTGAGGCTGAGGACGCCTTGCCCATGCTCAGGCGCGGCCGGGGCCACCACGACGAGGCACACGGACAGGATGTCCTTCTTCTCCCGGAACCAGTTGGCGTTGGAGACCAGGCCCACAGAGAACCAGCGTCCTAGGAACTGCGGACGGCCCCCCGTCAGCCAGGGCTGCCAGGCCGCCCCGTGGGCACCCCGCCCTCCATGTCCCGTGGCCAGTCCGCCCCCAGCCCAGCCCCCCGTGGAGCGGGAGCACAGGGCACTGGGCAGTTTGGGGGCGCTGGGGGGTGGCCACTGGTGTCCCCGACACTGGACGCTCCAGGGAAGGGCAGGGCGGCGGATACAGCGTCGCGTCCACGGGAGTCTGAGGCCCCCAGCCCCGCCCTGTCTGCGTCTCCCGCCCGGGGGTGTCCCAGCTCCGAGCCTGCTTCCCCCGGCACCCGAGCTCCGAGGGAGACTGGAGGGTAGGCAGGCAGGGGCTGGCGTGTCTGCGGGTCCTGAGTGACGCCTGTGGACACGGGCTTCCCTGCTGGACGGGATGGGCACCGTCTCCTTCCGGGGAAGGGGCAGCGTGGCCGGTGGGTCCTCTCCCCGGGGGACAGCCCAGGCAGTTCCCCTCCCTCCGCAGAGCCCTCCCCGGGGGGACCAGCAGGGGGCCCCACCTGGTCCTGCTGGAAGCTGTGTTGCTCAGAGGCCCGGGCCGGGGCAGGCAGGACCCCCAGGGCCCCCAGCAGGACCAGCGCCATCCACAGGGAGCACGGAGCGGCCATGGTGCTGAGCCGGCGTCACAGTCGGAGGCAGGAGCAGCAGTGAGGCCGAGCGGGAGTTGCAGGATGTGCAGAGCCGAGGGGGGGACCCTATTTAAGGGCCCAGATTGGCCTGTGCCCGGAGCCAAGGCCGGCCCCCCAGCGCGTGACACCTCAGCTCCCCCCCCAGCTCCCCCGCAAAGGCTCCGATCCTACAGGCAACCTGCCCCGGGGCTGGGGCTGGGGGCAGGCGGGGCCCTTTCCCAGACAGAACCCGCCCTGGGGCTGATGGGGGAGGGCACTCAACCGCAGCGCTGCCTGTCCCTGGCCTGCCGGCCCTGCCTCCTGGGATGGGGTGTGCTGGGCACTGGGGTGGGGGCCCCTCCTGCCACCCCCCAGAAACAGGTGCTGGGCCCTGGCACTGCCTCCGGTCTCACAGGCACAAGGGAGCTGGGGGACCTGCAGCCCGGTGCAGGGGGGACCCCAAGAGGCCGCCTGAGGGCAACCCCAAGAGGCCTGTGAGCTGCGGACGGCCCCCCGTCAGCCAGGGCTGCCAGGCCGCCCGGTGGGCACTCCCCCTACACCCCCCGCCACCTACACCTCCCCTACACTCCCCCCTACACCCTGCCCCCTACACCCCCGCCCCCTACACACCTCACCCCCTACACCGCCACCCTACACCCCCGCCCCCTACACCCCCCACCCCTTACACCCCCGCCCCCTACACCCCCCACCCCTTACACCCCCACCCGCTATACCCCCGCCCCCTACACCTCGCCCCCTACACCCCCCACCCCCTACAGCCCATCCCCTACACCCCCCCTACACCCCCGCCCCCTACACCCCCGCCCCCTACACCCCCGCCCCCTAAACCCCCGCCCCCGCCGCCCCACCAGCCCCACCAGCCACTGAGGGGCTGGAGGACGGAGGGGTCACACCCGCTGGGGAAGGGGTCACACCCGCGGGGGGAGGGGCCTCTCCCGCTGGGGGAGGATCACACCCGCTGGGGCGGGGTCACACCCCCGGGGGAGGGGTCACACACTGGGGGCGGGGCCTCTCCCGCAGGGGGAGAGGCACACCTGCGGGGGGAGGGGACTCTCCCACTGGGGGAGGGGTCACACCCGCGGGGGGAGGGGACTTTACCGCTGGGGGCGGGGCTACAGCCGCTGGGGACGGGTCACACCCTCGGGGGCGGGGTCTCTCCCGCTGGGGGAGGAGTCGCAACCACTGGAAGAAGGGGCGGGGCCACACCCGCGGGGGGCGGGGCCTCTCCCGCTGGGGGAGGGGTCTCTCCCGCTGGGGGCGGGGTCTCTCCCGCTGGGGGCGGGCCACACCCGCTTAGGAGGGGCGGGGCCACACCCGCGGGGGAGGGGCCTCTTTCCTGGGGGCGGGGCCTCTCCCGCTGGGGGCGGTGCCTCTCCCGCTGGGAGAGGGGTCACACCCTCGGGGGCGGGGCCTCTCCCGCGGGGGCGGGGCCTCTCCCGCGGGGGCGGGGCCACACCAGCTTAGGAGGGGCGGGGCCTCTCCCGCGGGGGCGGGGCCTCTCCCGCTGGGGGCGGGGCCACACCCGCTGGGGGCGGGGCCACACCCGCTGGGGGCGGGGCCTCTCCCGCTGGGGGCGCCCTCGGGGGCTCACACAGCAGGTGGACCCTCACGATGGCCCGGCGGGCGGACTGCCGGCGGGAGCTCATGAGGGCGAAGGTGCTGTAGTCCGTGTCCCGCACCCACACGTCCTCCGTGTCCGTCCCCAGCTCTGGGGGGCACAGCGGTCAGGGGGCCTCCGGGCAGCGCCCCCGCCCCGCCCCGCCCCGCTCACCCTCGCGGTTCTGCACGGAGAACGCGCCCGGCCGGGCCGTGGGAATCAGCACGTACGACCAGGTGACACAGCGCTGGCCCCTGCGGAGGCAGAGGGGAAGGTTCCGGAACCGGCCTCCCAGCAGAATGGGGGCGTGAGCAGGCCCAGGCCGGGCTCGCTGCCCCCGGGCCGTGGCCACCTGTGCCCCTCGGCCACCAGCCCCCGAGCAGCCAGGCTGAGCTCTGCCTCCTGGCGGCCTCTGCCCCCCTCCCCGGCCGCCGACCGGCCAGTGGGCCAGACGGGTGCAGTGACCACAGAGCCTCTGGGGCCGGGAGAAGTGGGCACATGACTCAGGAAGACCCACCGGCCCTGGCTGGTCGGGCTGAGTGGGTAGAGCATCAGCCTGCGGACTGAGGGCTCCTGCGTTTGATTCCAGCCAAGGGCATGTGCCCAGGTTTCAGGATCCATCTCCAGTGGGGAGTGTGCAGGAGGCAGCCGATCAATGATTCTATCTCATCGATGTTCTTAAAAATATATATTTTATTAATTTCTTTACAGAGCGAAAGGGAGAGGGATAGAGAGTTAGAAACATCAGCAAGAGAGAACCATCGATCAGCTGCCTCTTGCACACCTCCTACTGGGGATGTACGTACAACCGAGGTACATGCCCTTGACCGGAATCGAACCCGGGACCCTCCAGTCTGCAGGCCGACGCTCTATCCACTGAACCAAACCGGTTTCGCTCATCAATGATTTTTAAAAAACTATATTTTTATTAAGTTCAGAGAGAAAAGGAGAGGGAGAAAGAAGGAGCCCACAACCCTGGCAATGCCCTTGACGGAATGAACCCAGGGCCCCTCAGTGCGCGGGCTGACGCTGCGTCCACGGACCCAGACCAGCCAGGGCATCGATGGCGATTCTCTCTCCCTCTCCCTTTGTCTTTGAAATCAATTTAAAGAAAGACCAAGCGGCACTCAGGGCCTCGCTGGCCTGGGTGCGCCCTCTCCTGGGCCTGGGACCCTGAGGGTGGGGCTCAGCCACCGTCTTGTCCTGGGAGGTGAGGACCTGGCTGCACGGGGTCTAGAGCAGATAGAGCTGAGAGGGGAGGGGGCACAGGGGAGGGGGCCGAGGGAAGGCGGGGACAAGGCCCTGCTCACACCGTCTGGGCTGCTGGATCCAGCCGAGCCTGAAGCCCATAGCCCTCGGCTGAGTCTGTTCTGGCGAATGCTCCCCTCCCGTTTCTGGGTACCCCCCAGGCCTGGGCTAGGTCACGGCAGCTGGTGCTGTCCCGGCATCAGGAGGCCTGGGGGGACCTGAGCCGGGGCCTTGGCTTAGGGGCGCAGGCCGGGACCCCCACTCACCGGACCATGGCGTAGGTCACCTCGAGCTGCTGCTTGTTATTTTGCGTGAACGTCGCTGTGAACGGGCTCAGCAGGCGCTGGTCCGCCTTGCTGTGGGTGCTGCCTGCCAGGCCCAGCACAAACCACTCCCCCTGGAACTAAGGGAGCCGGGCTGGGCCGGGCCCGAGGCCAAGACCCCGCCGGCCGGGCCCCGCAGGCCGGGCCCCGCAGGCCGAGCCCCCACAGGCCGGGCCCCCGCAGGCCGGGCCCCTGCAGGCCGGGCCCGAAGCCGAGACCCCGCAGGTCGAGACCCCGCAGGCCGGGCCCCCGCAGGCCGGGCCCCGCAGGCCGGGACCCCGCAGGCCGGGCCCGAGGCCGAGACCCCGCAGGCCGGGCCCTGCAGGCCGGGACCCCGCAGGCCAGGCCCCGCAGGCCGAGCCCCGCAGGCCGAGCCCTGCAGGCCGAGCCCTGCAGGCCGAGCCCTGCAGGCCAAGCCCCCGCAGGCCGGGCCCCGCAGGCCGGGTCCCCGCAGGCCGAGCCCCCGCAGGCCGGGCCCCGCAGGCCGGGACCCCGCAGGCCGGGCCCGAGGCCGAGACCCCGCAGGCCGGGCCCTGCAGGCCGGGCCCTGCAGGCCGGGACCCCGCAGGCCGGGACCCCGCAGGCCGGGCCCCGCAGGCCGAGCCCCGCAGGCCGAGCCCTGCAGGCCAAGCCCCCGCAGGCAGGGCTCCCTCAGGCCGAGCCCCCGCAGGCCAGGCCCCGCAGGCCGAGCCCCCGCAGGCCAGGCCCCGCAGGCCGAGCCCCCGCAGGCAGGGCTCCCTCAGGCAGGGCCCCCGAGGGCCGGGCCCCGCAGGCTGAGCCCCTGCAGGCCGAGCCCCGCAGACCGAGTCCCCACAGGCCGGGCCCCCGCAGGCCGAACCCTGCAGGCCGGGCCCAGAGGCTGTGTCCCCCGGAGCGGGGCCCCAGGGGCTGGCAGAGAAGGGCCCTGGTCGGTCACTGCCTCTCTGAGGGACGGGGTGTCCCCTTCGCAGGGGCCGTGACGGCTGCAGCCCGGGTGCCGGCTCCGGTGAAGCTCAGGGGTCTCCCCGGGGCCTGGCAGGGGCGGGGTCTGAGAGCCGGTCCCCATCTCTGCAGGCCTGCCTCTCCGTGCCTCTCGCCCGCTGCCCGCGCCCTCCCACCTTGTCCACCTCGAACGCCTGCTTGGTCTGGACGGTGGTCGGCCCGTTGGACGGCGGGATCACTCCGGCCAGGGCGTCCAGCTGCCCGAGCAGCACCCACAGGGCCCACGGAGGTCCCATCCGGCCGACAGGAGACGGGCCCCGGGCGCTGCCGACTCAGTGCCTCCGACAGGCCTGCCCCGCGGCCCGGGTGCCTCCCCCAGGCCGGGCAGCAGGGAGTGGGTGCAGGGTTGGGGGTGTGGCGGGCCCTTTCAGATCTGCCCGCTGAAGATGGGGGGGGGGCTGCTTGGGGAAGGAGGGGGCAGGAAGGAGAGGTGCCTCCCAGGTCTCTGGTTCTCGCCTTCTCATTGCTGACACCGTCCCGCCCCCCCCCCCCCCCCCCCGCCCGCCGCCGCCCGGTCCCCACGGCTCTGACCCCCCTTCCGAGCGCCAGCCTGTGCCCGGGCAGAGGCCAGGCCTACCAGTGCCAGGGGCCAGAGGCACCGTGTTCCTGGTGCAGGGACCTGGTGTCCTGCCCGCCGCCCACAGCCCCACCCGGAGTGTGTGGCCAGGCCGGGGGGGTAGCACAGGTGGCTCTGAGCCTGTAGGCCCCTCCTGCCCAGCCCCCCCTACGGAGATCTGTGGGCAGCGGGCCTGTGGGTGCTGGACTCTGCACCAGCTGGGAAGACCCTGTCCCTGACCTCTGAACCCCTGTCCGGGGCCACCTGCTCCCCACAGGGCCCCCCGTCCGGGGTCACCTGCTCTCCCACCCTCTCCCCCTGTCCGGGGCCACCTCCTCCCTCTGCTCACACTCAGCCTGTTCTGAGCAGGAGCCCCAGCCGGGCCCCTCAGAGAGCCCGGCCCCCCGGCCCCCGGGCCCGGGCCCCGGCCCCTCTGGGTCGGCTCGGGCCCCGGAGGGAGGACGGAGCCGCGGACGGTGCCCCCCTGGCACGCGCTCTGCTCCTGGTCAGCGGTGTCTGCCCGGAGACAACCCACGAGGAGACAGGTTCCCAACCACATGACTGGCCCCCAAGTCCCCGGGGACCCCTCTTCCCCTCCCCCCCCCCAAGGCCTGGGGCCCCTGTGCCACCAGCCCCGCAGCCTCCCGGGGTGCCTCGCAGGCGGCCTCACCCACATTGGCCTGGACAGAGATGGGGGTGCAGGGCGCAGCGAGTCAGGCCGGGGACAGCGGCCCCACAGGGACCCGCCTCCCTGCCGGCTGGTAACCAGGGCCCCGGGGAGGCGCCCAGGCCCTCCCCGCGGGTTCGGAAAGTGAACGTGTGTCCCTGTCAGTGACCCGCCCTCAGCTACTGCTGTTCGCCTCCGCGTCTGATTGGACCCCGGGAAGCACTTTTATTTTTTAATTATTTTTTTCTTAAATTTTTTTTTTAATAAAAAATATATTTTTTTAAAATAAATTTTTATTTTTCATATTATTACAAATGTTCCTTCCTCCCACCACCACCATTGCTCTCCTCCACCAGGTTCACACCCTACCCTCTGCCTTTCCCCACTTCCCATTGTCCTCATCCATAGGTGCACAGTTTATGTTCAGTCTCTTCCCACACCCCCGTCTCCCCTGTTCTCCAAGAATCGTCATTTCATTCCCCTTCCATACCTCTGATTCTATTATATTCAACAGTTAATATTGTTCATCAGGTTTTTTTTTAATTTCTTTGGTTTTTAGATTCACTTGTTGATAGTTACGTATTTGTTGTTCATAATTTTTATCTTTATTTACTTTTTCTTCCGAAAGAACCCCCTTCAGCAATTCATATAATTCTGGTTTGGTGGTGATGAACTCCTTTAGCTTTTTTTTATTAGTGAAGCTCTTTATCTGACCTTCGATTCTGAGTGATAGCTTTGCTGGATAGATTATCTTTGGCTGTAGGTTCTTACTATTCATTGCCTTGAATATTTCTTGCCATTTCCGTCTGGCCTGCATGGTTTCTGTTGAGAAATGAGCTAACAATAGTATAGGTGCTCCTTTATAGGTAACTACCTTCTTTGCTCTTGCTTCTTTTAATATTCTCTCTTTGTCTTTTGCTCTTGGAATTTTAATTATGATGTGTCTTGGTGTGGTCCTCTTTGGATTCCTTTTGTTTGTAGTTCTGTGCGCTTCCTGGACTTGTAAGTCTAATTCTTTCACCAGGTGGGGGAAGCTTTCTGTCACTATTTCTTTCAGTATGTTTTCGATATCTTGCTCTCTCTCATCTTCTGGGACCCCCATAATTCTGATGTTGGTTCGCTTGAAGTTGTCCCAGAGGTTTCTTACATTATCTTCAATTTTCTGGATTCTCTTGCCTTCTTGCTCCAAATCTTTGACTTGATTCTTGGGATCTTCCATTCTGTTTTTAGGACTCTGTATAATATTTTTTATTTCAGACAATGTAATCTTTATTTCTTGTTGATTCCATATTAATTCTAGTTGATCCCTTTTCATATCCTCATAGGTCTTGTCAATCTTTTCTAGGAAATTCTTGAAAGACCTTATAAGCGTAGATTTGAACTCTATATCCAGTCGCTTTTTGTCCTCCATTTCTTTCGTTTGTGATCTATTTCGTTGTCGCATTTCGCAGCTACAGATGGGGCGGGGTTTCAGGGTGGAGCCTGCAGCCTTGGCTTCCGTCAGCCCCGCCCTATGAGGCTCCTGGGTCTCAGGGTCCTTCAGTACTCGCTGCAAAGCGCCTCTAAGAGATAGGTGCCCTCGCTTTTCGCCTGCTGCCAAACAGTCTATGCTCTCCCCCAATGAGCCCGGTATTGGGGTTCAGTTCAGTTGGAAGTGGAGTTGGAAGTGGCGTTCAGAGCAGTCTGGAGCCCCTGTCTCCTTCCTGCCAGGGCAATCCCGTGGCACAGCCGGCCGTCCCTTCTCTGCACGCAATGTGCGCGCCTCCGGGACCTCCTTTCGCCACTCCCCCGGGGTTCGCCTTTCAGCCCAGCTCCCTAAGGATGAGCCTGGGTCCCTGGGGTCTGGCCTAGAACTGGGGTTCAGAGCAGTCGGAGCTTTTATCTCCTTCCTGCTAGGGAATGCCAGCCAGGCACTCAGCCGCCCCGCCCTTCCTCTCCGCTCCGTCCTCTCCGCGCCATGTGTCTCCCTGCCTTAGGCTTTCCCAGCTCCTCCGCGCTTCCTTCTGGTTTTCTCCTTGCTTCTCGGTGTAGAATTTCCAGTCAGTCAATTTTCCTGTAGTTCTGGGTAATGTCCATTTTATATTTTAGTTGTATTTTATTGAAATTGTTGTGTGCGGCTGTGGCTAGGTGTTTACCTCGGCAGCCATCTTGGATTCTCCTCATAAAAAGTATATTTTATTCATTTTTTAAGGGCATCGTTGGCGATTCTCTCTCCCTCTCCCTTTGTCTTTGAAATCAATTTAAAGAAAGACCAAGCGGCACTCAGGGCCTCGCTGGCCTGGGTGCGCCCTCTCCTGGGCCTGGGACCCTGAGGGTGGGGCTCAGCCACCGTCTTGTCCTGGGAGGTGAGGACCTGGCTGCACGGGGTCTAGAGCAGACAGAGCTGAGAGGGGAGGGGGCACAGGGGAGGGGGCCGAGGGAAGGCGGGGACAAGGACCTGCTCACACCCTCTGGGCTGCTGGATCCAGCCGAGCCTGAAGCCCATAGCCCTCGGCTGAGTCTGTTCTGGCGAATGCTCCCCTCCCGTTTCTGGGTACCCCACAGGGCTGGGCTAGGTCACGGCAGTCAGTGCTGTCCCGGCATCAGGAGGCCTGGGGGGACCTGAGCCGGGGCCTTGGCTTCGGGGCGCAGGCTGGGACCCCCACTCACCGGACCATGGCAGGGAGTGGGTGCAGGGCCGGGGGCTGGGGCGGGCCCATTCAGATCTGCCCATGGAAAATGGGGAGGGCTGCTTGGGGAAGGAGGGGGCAGGAAGGGGAAGTGCCTCCCACGTCTCTGGTTCTCGCCTTCTCATTGCTGACACCGTCCCCCCCCCCCCCGCCCGGTCCCCCCGGCTCTGACCCCCTTCTGAGCGCCAGCCTGTGCCTGGGCAGAGGACAGAATGCACCGGCCAGGGCCAGGCCTCCCAGTGCCAGGGGCCAGAGCCACCGTGTTCCTGGCGCAGGGACCTGGTGTCCTGCCCGCCGCCCGCGCCCGCCGCCCACAGCCCCACCCGGAGTATGTGGCCAGGCCGGGGGGGTAGCACAGGTGGCTCTGAGCCTGCAGCCCCTCCTGCCCAGCCCCTCCTACGGAGATCTGTGGGCAGCGGGCCTGTGGGTGCTGGACTCTGCAACAGCTGGGAAGACCCTGTCCCTGACCTCTGAACCCCCGTCCGGGGCCACCTGCTCCCCATAGGCCCCCCCGTCCGGGGCCTCTTGCTCCCCACAGGTCCCCCTGTCCGGGGCCACCTGCTCGCCACAAGGGCCCCTGTCCGGGGTCACCTGCTCCCCCACAGGCCCCCCCTGTACAGGGCCACCTGCTCCCCACAGGCCCCCCCGTCCGGGGCCACCTGCTCCCCACAGGCCCCCCCGTCCGGGGCCACCTGCTCCCCACAGGCCCCCCCGTCCGGGGTCACCTGCTCTCCCACCCTCTCCCCCTGTCCGGGGCCACCTCCTCCCTCTGCTCACACTCAGCCTGTTCTGAGCAGGAGCCCCAGCCGGGCCCCTCAGAGAGCCCGGCCCCTGTCCCCATCCCCGGCCCCTCTGGGTCGGCTCGGGCCCCGGAGGGAGGACGGAGCCGCGGACGGTGCCCCCCTGGCACGCGCTCTGCTCCTGGTCAGCGGTGTCTGCCCGGAGACAACCCACGAGGAGACAGGTTCCCAACCACATGACTGGCCCCCAAGTCCCCGGGGACCCCTCTTCCCCTCCCCCTCCCCCCAAGGCCTGGGGCCCTGCGCCACCAGCCCCGCAGCCTCCTGGGGTGCCTCGCAGGCGGCCTCACCCACATCGGCCTGGACAGAGATGGGGTGCAGGGCGCAGCGAGTCAGGCCGGGGACAGCGGCCCCACAGGGACCCGCCTCCCTGCCGGCTGGTAACCAGGGCCCCGGGGAGGCGCCCAGGCCCTCCCCGCGGGTTCGGAAAGTGAACGTGTGTCCCTGTCAGTGACCCGCCCTCAGCTACTGCTGTTCGCCTCCGCGTCTGATTGGACCTCGGGAAGCACTTTTATTTTTTTATTTTTATTTTTTTACAAAAAATATATTTTATTGATTTTTTGCAGAGAGGATGGGAGAGGGATAGAGAGCTAGAAACATCGACCAGCTGCCTCCTGCACATGCCCTACCAGGGATGTGCCCGCAACCAATGCACATGCCCTTGACCAGAATCGAACCCGGGACCCTTCAGCCCGCAGACAGACACTCTACCACTGAGCCAAACCGGCTTCTGCGGGAAGCACTTTTAAAAAACATGTTTTTATTGATTTCAGAGCCGAAGGGACAGGGAGGGAGGGGGCGGGGAGGGGGAGGAGGGGGAGAGACCTGTGGTGAGAGGGGATCCTGGGTCGGCTGCCTCCTGCGCTGGCTCCTGGGGGTCCGGACCCGGGGAGGTCACAGCCCCCTGGGGGCCTGGGTGACCCGAAGTGACCTCACGCCGGCCGGCGGGGCCAGCGGGAAAGGCAGGAGTCGGCTGAGGAGGTGGCGTTAATGGGGCAGAGCCCAGGGTGCAGTGCGGCAGCCTCCAGCAGGGGGTGCTGGCCTCAGCGGCGGGTCCTTCCTGCCTCTCTCCCAGGGCCAGGTGGCCTCACCTCTTGACCTCTGTACAGAGACCGACCGGAGACTCAGCCAGCGAGACCTCCGCCCTCTGCCCTCCGCCCTCCGCCCTCCGCCCTCCGCCCTCCGCCCAGCGGGGCCGCCGCCCACTCACCGTCCAGGACGTGGAACTGGTCAGCGGCCTCACAGAAACCTGGGGGCCAAGCCGCGGTCAGTGTGGCCGGCCGGGGGTCAGTGTGGCCGGTCGGGGTCAGTGTGGCCGGCCGGGATCAGTGTGGCCGGCCGGGGTCAGTGTGGCCGGCCGGGGGTCAGTGTGGCCGGACTGGGGTCAGTGTGGCCGGGGTCAGTGTGGGCGGGGTCAGTGTGGCCGGCCGGGGTCAGTGTGGCCGGGGCCTCGGAGGGCGGGCGGGCGGCCGCCGGGCCGGGGGGGGGGGGGGTGCACTCACCGTACTGGGGGAAGTACAGGATGTGGTCCTCGGTCAGGCCGGCCCCCTGGACGCTCTGCTCAAACGCGCTCACCACCGAGTCGTCCACGGGGAACGTGCGGACTGTGGGACAGAGGCTCCTGGGGCGCACGCGGGCCGGGGGACCGGGGGGCAGGGGTGCAGGGCGCTCTGGGAACAGGGTCTGCCCCTGCCCCCTCCCTGTCCCACACCCGGGCCTATCTGCATGGGCGCGTCCCTGGACCCGATTGGCAGGCGAGGGTCAGGACGCCAGGGGGAAGGAAGGAGGGGAGGAGGGAGGAGGGAGCGGGGGCCTGTGTCCCTTGGGCCAGCCCGGCTCCCCGGTGGGGCTGAGAGCGCCCAGAGCTGGGCCCCGCGGGGACGCACCGTACAGCTTCACCGAGAGCCGGCGCGCCCGCTCCAGGTACAGGATGGCGAAGGCCCGGTAGTCCGTCTCCCCCACGACCACCTGCACGTCCCCCCGGGCGCCTGGAGCTGGGCAGAGGGGCCGCGGCGTCAGCCCTGCCCCCGCCCCCCAGCCCTGCACCCCTCCTGCCGCCTGCTCACCTGGCAGCAGGAAGCGGCCCTGGACCTCGGCGTCTCTGTAGAGCTGCCGTATCTGCCAGCAGATGCCGTCCCTGGGGGGCGCGAAGGCAGTGGCTGGGCACCCACCCTGGGCGGCCCGTGCGGGCAGCGGGGAGGCCCCACCGGGGTGGGGCAAGGTGGGTCGGGACAGGCCGTGCAGGACTCACAGCTTCTGGAAGGTGTTGACAGCCATGGCTTTTCCCTGGGGCGCCACCTTCACTGCGGTGGCCTCCGCCCGGTGGCCCTGCTCCTGCAGGAAGCGGCAGGAGGACGCCACGGCCGCGAGGAACCAGGTCCCTGCAAACTGAGGCGGGCGGGTGAGGGCCGAGGGGCGCCGTCTGGCCTGGCCCTCCCCACAGAGCCGGCCAGCTACCTGCTGAGCGTCGAAGCCGGCCTTGGGCTGGATGGCGCTGATGGGGGGCGGGCGCTGGGGGGGTCTCTGCGCCCCCAGACCCGGGGAGCCAGCAGCCAGGACCAGAGCCCAGAGGAGCGCAGCCCCGGGCGGCAGCATGGCGGCGGCGGTCTGAGCGGCACCGGGGCAGGATGAGCCTGGCCCGGGTCGGAGTCCACTGCCCTGAGCTGCCCAGGAAGTCACGCCGGATCCCCAAGCCCAGCCAGGGTCCCACCCCCAGCTTCCCTCCGAGTCCGGCCTCAGCCCGGACACCTGACCTCACCTGACCCTGACCCGCACCCCAGGCCTGGCGCTGGGCCGGGTGAGAGTCCGGGCCCCTGCCTGGCCACGGGCCACCGGCTCCTGCGCACATTGGTCTCCGTTAACCCGCCCCACTCCTGGAAGTAGGCCGGTCTCTTTTAAAAATGCTTTTATTGCCAAAGCCGGTGTGTCTCAGTGGTAGAGCGTCGGCCTGCGGACTGAAAGGTCCCGGGTTCGATTCCGGCCAAGGGCATGTACCTTGGTTGTGGGCACATCCCCCGTAGGGCGTGTGCAGGAGGCAGCTGGTGGATGTATCTCTCTCATCGATGTTCCTAGCTCTCTGTCCCTCTCTCTTTCTCTCTGTAAAATATCTATAAAATATATTTTAAAAAATGCTTTTATTGATTTCAGAGAGGAGAGACACGAATGACGAGAACCACGGATCGGCTGCCCCTGCACGCCCTCTCCGGGGATGGAGCTCCCCGCCGGGCCTGGGCCCTGACCGGGAATCAAGGCGTCACCCCCGGTTCCGAGGTCCACGCTCACCCGCGAGCCCCGCGGGCGCCGGGCGGGCGAGGCGCCGGAGGAATGGACCTAGGGGCGCGGAGGTGGGTCTGGACCCCGCCAGCGCCGCTCCTCCCGGCCGCCGGGGGCGCTCTTCTGGGCTCGCCCAGCGCGCAGCGCACTGAGCGCCGCCGGGTGGGGCGCAGGCGCAGTGACGCATCTGCGGGCGCCCATCGATGCCTCGGCGCTCGAGGCGCCAGCCTGGCGGCTGCACCGCAGAGACGCGGCGGCGGAAGCGGGGCCGCGGGCGGAAGCGGGGCCGCGGGCGGAAGCGGGGCCGCGGGCGGAAGCGGGGTCGCGGGCGGGCGGGGCGGGGCTGGGCGGGGGCAGCGCTGGCGGGCGGAGGCGGAGGCGGAGGCGGCCGCGGTGAGTGCGCCCCCCGGGGAGTGTAGTCACCGCCGCGGCCCCCGGCGCCAGGGCCGCGGAGCGTCCACACCGGCCCGGCCCGCCCGCCATGAATGAGCCGAGTCCCGCCCGGCCCCCCGCCCCGGCCCGAGACCGCCGGCCTGCGGGCCCCCCTGGGCCCAGGCGGAGACCCCGGGCGGCGTCCGGGGCGCTGGGCGGCGGACCCCAAACCCTTTCAGGGAGGAAGCCCCGCCGACGGTCCGCAGCCTGGGCCGGCCGCAAGGTCACCGCGGCCTGCGCTGCTCGGCCGCCGGCCCTGGCACCCGTCTCCCAGGGCCCACCCCGAGGCCCCTTAGCCGGGAACCTTTCGGGTCCGGCGGGTCTGGGTCCCCTCGGGCTGCACCAGGCCCGGAGGTGCTAGGGGTCTGCTGCCCGCGGGCGCCTGGCCCTCCGGGCGGTGGTTCCCGCAGGGCAGCTGGCGGAGTGGCCGCAGGGCTGTCTCTGCTCAGCCCAGGCCCTGCCCCTCTCCTCGGGGTGGAGGTTCGGCCTTCAGGCGGCTGAGGCCGTGCGTGGGTTTCAGGGCCGCCTGGGCAGAATGTCACGATGGACGAGGGGGGCACACCCCTGCTCCCCGACAGCCTGGTCTACCAGATCTTCCTGAGCCTGGGCCCTGCGGACGTGCTGGCCGCCGGGCTGGTGTGCCGCCAGTGGCAGGCCGTGTCCCGGGACGAGTTCCTATGGAGGGAGCAGTTCTACCGCTACTACCAGGTGGCCCGCGACGTGCCCCGGCACCCAGGTCAGCACCGGCCTCCCCCGGGCCGCCGGGTGGGCAAGGCCGAGTCCCCACACACCAGAGGGGCCCAGCCGGGCAGGGCCTGGCAAGGAGGCCGGAGGTCCGGCACCGAGGTTGGGGTGGTGACTGGCGAGCTCCAGGGCAGGGCTGCCCCCCCAGGCCCCAGCAGTGACCCGCCCGCCCCCCAGCGGCCACGTCCTGGTACGAGGAGTTCCGGCGGCTCTACGACACGGTGCCCTGCATGGAGGTGCAGACCCTCCGGGAGCACACCGACCAGGTCCTGCACCTCAGCTTCTCCCACTCGGGCTACCAGTTTGCGTCCTGCTCCAAGGACTGCACCGTGAAGGTGAGGGCGGGCGGGGGCGGGGCGAGGGCTGGCCATGGCTGAGGTGCCGGCGGCCTCATCCCCGTGGAGGGGCAGGTCAGGACCCCCCAGGCCCGGAGGCTGGCCCTGCTGCTCCAGAGCCGAGCCCTGGGAACCTGCCCGGGGCTGGGCCCGCCCAGTGGCGGTTCTGGGCACCTGCATGGGCCTGATGGGACGGACGAACGGACCGCCAGGCTTGACCCTCCCGCCCCCACACAGATCTGGAACAACGACCTGACCATCTCGCTGCTGCACAGCGCGGACATGCGGCCCTACAACTGGAGCTACTCCCAGTTCTCCCAGTTCAACCAGGACGACTCGCTGCTGCTGGCCTCGGGGGTGTTCCTGGGGCCCCACAGCAACTCCTCCGGGGAGATCGTGGTCATCAGCCTCGGTGAGCGCTGGGCCCTGCCCACCCGCCCCCGCTCCTCCCCAGACACCTTCCTGCTGCCCACCCAGCCCGTTGCCCACCTGCCCCGCAGCCCGCCTCCTGCCCAGCCCCCGCTGCCCATCCGCCCCTGCTCCTCCCCAGACACCTTCGTGCTGCTGTCCCGTGTGCGCAACAAGCCCTACGACGTGTTTGGCTGCTGGCTCACCGAGACCAGCCTCATCTCAGGGAACCTGCACCGCATCGGGGACATCACCTCCTGCTCTGTGCTCTGGCTCAACAACGCCTTCCAGGTGAGGCGGGCGGGCGGGCGGGCGGGCGGGCGGGCGGCCCCGGGCCCGACGGCCGGCACCACCGCCTGCGCCCCTCTCGCCCCTCAGGACGTTGAGTCTGAGAATGTCAACGTGGTGAAGCGGCTCTTTAAGATCCAGAACCTCAACGCCAGCACCATCCGCACGGTGATGGTGGCCGACTGCAGCCGCTTTGACAGTCCCGACCTCCTGCTGGACACCAGCGCGCCCCCAGGCCGCGTCTTCGACCTCGGCAGCGACAGTGACCGTGAGGAGGAGGAGGCGGCGGCGGCGGCGGCTGGCCCAGCCCCGGCGCACACCGAGAGCTGGCGGCGCCTCCTGCACGGGCTCCTGGACGCCCGGGCGCGGGCGCGGCCGCCGCTGGCGGAGCGCGTGCTGGAGACCAGGGTGGCGCAGCTGCTGGCCCGGGGCCGCACCAAGCCCCCCGAGGGCAGTGCGGCCCGCGCCCAGGACAAGCTCCTCATCTTCACCACCGGCTGCCTCACCTACTCCCCGCACCAGATCGGCATCAAGCAGATCCTGCCGCACCAGATGACCACGGCGGGGCCCGTGCTGGGCGAGGGCCAGGGCTCCGACGCCTTCTTCGACGCCCTGGACCACGTGATTGACGTGCACGGGCACATCGTTGGCATGGGCCTGTCCCCCGACCACAGGTGCGTGGGGTGCGGGGGGGGGCCCTCGGTGTGCGCACGCGCGCGAGCAGAGTGCCCTCGCCCAGGTACTTGTACGTGAACAGCCGCGCCTGGCCCAGCGGCTCGGTGGTGGCCGACCCCATGCAGCCGCCGCCCATCGCCGAGGAGATCGACCTGCTGGTGTTCGACCTCAAGACCATGCGGGAGGTGAAGCGGGCCCTGCGCGCCCACCGCGCCTACACACCCAACGACGAGTGCTTCTTCATCTTCCTGGACGTGAGCCGGGACTTCGTGGCCAGGTGGGGCGCGGGGGGCGGGCGGGCGCCGGGGCGGGCGGCGGGCGGCGGCCGGGCGGGGCTCACCGGCTGTCCCGCAGTGGGGCGGAGGACCGGCACGGCTACGTCTGGGACCGCCACTACAACGTCTGCCTGGCCAAGCTGCGGCACCGGGACGTCGTCAACTCCGTGGTCTTCAGCCCCCAGGAGCAGGAGCTCCTGCTGACGGCCAGCGACGACGCCACCATCAAGGCCTGGCGCTCGCCACGCACCGTGCGCGTCCTCCAGGCCCCCCGCCCGCGCCCCTTCTTCTCCTGGTTCGGCAGTCAGAGGCGCTGAGGGAACCGAGAAGCATGCCTTCGGCTGCAGGGCCGCAGGCTGCGAGGGAGCTGCCGCCAGAGGGCGTGGGGCGGCGGAGTCGCAGCAGCAGCGCCTGCGGAGGGGGCCCACGGGCGCAGAAGACGCGGGACCCACCACGCTTGTGCGCACACTCCACCTCCCACGGCCGTGACACTGGCTCCCGGGCACCTGGGCGGCCTCCGGGCTGCTTGGGGTGCACAGGACACTGGGAGCCCCCGCTTCACACACTCCTCTCCCTAGGCCTGGGCCATCAGCACGACCCTCCCCCTGGCTGGCCCTCTGGGCCCTGGGGGTGGTCCTGGCCCAGCCTGGCCCTGGGAGCCCAGGTCACAGGGCCTATGGACTGCATGTCACTCCTCACGTGTTCAGGACTGAATAAACAGTTGGCAGCAGCACACTGTGTCGTCTCTTAACACAGACGCACGCGTCTGAGAATGCAGAGCGGGAGCTAAGCACACCCGTCACCGGTGGGGGGTGGGGGGAAGCACCCGCAGAGCGTCTGGCCAGGGCTGGAGGCAAGCTTGCTCAGCCTGAGCAAAGGGCATGGACCAGAAACCCACAGATAAGATGGCACTTGGGTGACGGACTGCTCCCCACCTTTCCCACTCACTGTGGAGCCAGGCAGGAGAGGAGGATAGGGCGCACACTCGTCCTCATGGGCGGCAAACTGTTGAGACATAAAGCCCCCTGCACCCCACTCCGGTCAACCAAAAACCCAAGATCCTCCCGGAACCAGAAAGGGGTTTAGGAAGCCTACAGGGGCCGCTGTAACACAGTAAGTGACCAGGTCTCTGAACACCAGGCTTCAGCTAAACAAGGAGGAAACTCCAGGCGAGAGCCTAACCGAGCACGTGAGGGCATCGCGGGCCACTCCACACAGGCCCCAGACCCCTCCTCCTTGGCCAGACTCTGCTCGGGGGCAGGCCTGGCGGCCGGCGAAGTCCCCTGGGCTTTCCTAGCGGCGGGCAAGGTGACTAAGATGCACTTGTCTGCAGAGGAGCAGGTGCAGCTGAAGCGACTGAAAAACAAGAATGAAGTGGGAGTCCTCCCACTGAGGGCTGGCAGGGAGGACAGCGTGCTGGTTCCCTCTTCGGAACACGGTTCACACACGGCCATTTCACAGTAAAATCCACGGAGGGGGAGGTCAGCCACATGGACAGGCGTCTACTCAGCGAGGGGCTGGGGCAACGGGCACCTTTGCAGAAAAAATAAACGCAGACCCAACCTCATCCGTGAGGACCACCACCCCACGTGACCTGCAGCCACCTCAGGTCACGTGGGGTGGTGGTCCTCACGGATGACCACCCGCTCCGACCCCCGCTGACCCGCAAGCACCAGGCGTTACAAAGTCACTTCTGCCCCGAGAAACACGGTAAGAGGGTGGGAGATAAACCGACAGGAATAGCTGCAAATTACATACCAACAACACTGGTGTCTGGACCACGTAACTCGGCAGTTAGAAACCCAACTCTACGGGAAGTCACCAAGGAGACAGTCCACGCTGTTAGACATTAGGCACCTGTGAATCAAAGCCCAGACAGAGCCGACACGGGTTTGGCTCAGTGGATAGAGCGTCGGCCTGCGGACTGAAAGGTCCCGGGTTCAATTCCAGTGAAGGGCATGTACCTTGGTTGCGGGCACATCCCAATGGGGGGGTGTGCAAGAGGCAGCTGATTGATGATTCATCAATGTTTCTATCCCTCTCTCTTCCTCTCTGTGAAAAATCAATAAAATAAAAAAAATTTTAAAAAAGAAAAAGCCCAGACACCATGCCTGCTATATACACACGCGTACACACACACAGTGCCCACGGGGACTGCGGGCACAGTGGGGTCAGGCCAGGCGGCCTCAGGTCACGGCTGCACCACCAAGCGGCGCCGGCCAGGCTTCAGTCCTCCCCTCGGTCCTGGCGGCCGAGGCTGAGGCCGGGGCGGGTGCCGGCAGGGGGGCATTTTCCAGGTGCTCACAGATGAGTGGCCTCGGGGCCCCTCTCGGAAGGGCACTGACCCCATCATGGGCCCCACCTTCACCACCAAGGCACCTCCCAGCACCTGCACCCTGGGGTCAGAGCCTCACGGTGGGAGTGGGCGGGGACACACACACGCAGACCCCAGCAGCGTCTCTGGAACATGGTTTCAGTTTATGAATTTAAACTTGTGTGTGGCCTGGCAGCCTGAACCTGCGAGGAAGGGACGGTCACCAGGGCAAGTGGTGGCCGCGCGTGCAGAGCAGCTCCACTGGCGCCGGCCCGGGCCTGTGCAGAGCTCAGACGCACTGGGTCCGGGAGCCGCAGAGGCCCCTGGCGCTCACAGCCTCCTGGCCTCCCAGCAGCCTCAGGGGACACGGGCCGTTGCCCCGTGGGACACGGGCCGAGGCTGTGGGTCCCAGGACTGGGACCTCTGCTGCCCGTTCCCCTGACCTCCCTTGGCCCTTTCTACGGTTCGGAGCCGCGCTGGGCGGACAGCCTCTGCCCGTGGCTGCCTGGCACCCACAGCGCGGCCTGGACTGGCGCCCTGAGCTCCATGGCAGGACATCCTCCCACTTGCGGAGAACCATGCGCACACACTGGATACACATGCCGACATCAAGCCTCATGTCAGACAAACCCCAAACCACCTCGAGGACGGTCCAGCCGCGGGCAGCAGGCCGGCAGCGCCGTCCATAGAGGAAGACCGTCCAGCCATCAAGTCTAAATGCCGACTGGCACCCCCACGTATGGGGTGGAGGTGGACACGCGTGATCACTGCGTCATTCTGTGCTTCTCTGCCCTTTAACTTCTCATGAGAGACTCGTGACAATGTCAAGGGCAGTCAGAGTCGGGGATCCCTCTATAGACGCAGGCAGCCCACCAGCCGGACTCGGGGGCCCGGAGAACAGGACACCCCGTGCCCCACCCCACAGGCTGAGGCCTCGGGGTCAGTCTACCAGAGAAGCTCTGGATCGGGGCAGGAAGGGAGGCCAATGCTGCCGTCAGGTCCCAGGAGGGACCCCGCACGCCCCACGGGGTGGGGCCGGCCCAGAACGGGGGAAGGTGTGGTCCTGCTCTCGAGGCAGCCCCTGGGGAGGTCTGAGGAAGGAGCCAGTGAAGAACATTCCAGAAGAAAGAACCGCTGTCTTCCCAAGCACACTGGTGTGAGCTGAGCGTCAGGGAACCACAGAGCCGCTCAGGGGAGATGGGCTGGGGGCCAGGAGGGAGCCCCCGCAAGGCGGGAGCCAGTGGACTCCACTCACCACAGGTTCAACCATTTAATGACGACTTCCCGGGCCTCACGGGCCAGCAACACGTGTCGGGGAGACTGACCGAGGCCCCCACACGCCACAGGCAGCGGTGAAACGCTCTCAGGACGAGCCGTCGCCCCCCGCCAGCCTGGCCAGCCTGGCACAGCAGGTCCCCGCAGGGCCAGGCCAGGCCCCACACTGTCCTTGTCTCCAGGGCCCAAGGGCGGGACAGGCACTGCGCCCCTCGCGGGCGACTCCCATGCAGCCCGCCTGCCCTCTGCGCCTGGCCCTGGGCTCCGGCCGCCTGGCCAGGGCCCCCAGCACACACGGTGGCCTGAGGGGCTCTCCAGGCCCCGGCCCAGCAGGGCCTGGGCGGAGTCCCAGAGGCTCTCCCGGGAACAGGTGTGGTGCGGTCTGCCCACACGTGAGGCGCAGGCCCAGCACGGCCGCTGTCACCAAGCGCGGGCCAGGGGCCCTGCCCTGACCCCTGCTAGAGCCCCGTCAGGTCCACGATGGCCTTGATGAAGATGGCGTCGTCGCGCACGTACGAGTTCTTGGCCTCCATCTTGGAGACGGGGCAGAAGAGGGGGCAGCCGCTCGCAATGTTCATGTCACTGACGGGCCTCTGGAAAGAGGAGGAGGTCACGTCGGGTCTGAAGGCGTCGATCACGTGCTCCCGGTTGTTCTGGTCAAGCAGCATGAGGGTCACCTAGGAGGAGCCCGAGGGACACGTGAGCTCGCCTGCCCCGCCGGCAGCCCCTCGGTGACGGTGCCCCTTCTGACGTTTTCTGTCCTCGGACACCTGGGCCCCGCCACTGAGCCGAGCCACGGGCCACACACACTCCTGGGTTTGCTCAGTGTGTCCAGCACATCCGCATGCCCAGCCACGCCCAGGACCAGCCCCTTCCCAAGGCCCCGCCCCCAGCCAGTCCTGGGGCTCCCACCAGGAAGGCCCTCCCGGGCGGCGGGCGGGCGGGCGGGCGGGCGGCGTCCCACTGTGGAAGCCCGAGGCCCGCAGCTCCGGCCCGAGGCAGCGCAGGGCAGCGCCCACACCGCACCTTTTGGTTGAAGGGCCAGCGCAGGAGGGCGTCATGGGGGCCCTTCATCACCACGAAGAAGAGGGACAGGTGTGTGCCCCGGCCCGTGCCGTCCCCGTTGAGGTACGCGCGCAGGCACATCTTGTAGCCGTACCTGCTGGTGTAGAAGGCTGTGGGGTTGGGGGTGAGTAGGGCAGAGGTAGGGGCAAGGCCCACCCCCGCCTCCCTGGGGACAGGACAGACGTCACCACCTCGCACACTGCGCTCCGGGAGACCCACACAGGAGCAGGCCAGCTGCCCGTCCCGGTGGCACACGGAGACCTGGGAGTGACGCCGGGGCAAGGAGCCAGGCGTGGGGCGGGGCTCCCACCATGGGGGCACTCATCCCTGACGCCTGCTCTCAGGAGGCACAGCGGCTCCTGGCCTCAGCAGGACGGGGGACATGGGGACACAAGCTCCAGACAGCACCTGGCGAGAAGATGGCAGGGGTGCGGCCGGCCACAGCCTCCTGGCGCTTCCTAGCGAAGTCGGAGATCTTCCAGACGAACACGCCGTCAAAGGTGGATGCCTCCATCTCATGAACCTTCTGCTCCAGGTCGGCCATTGCCAGGTCCTTCAGACCGATGCTCCTCTCCAGCTGCTGCACCTGGGGGCACAGGGAGCCCATGAGGACGTGGGGGCCTGGGCCCCTGCTCCCTGGGGGCCCGCTCCCACCTCCCAGGAAGCTGTGTGAGCTCAGCCACGCCCACCTCTCCCAGCCTCCGAGCTCCTGAGGCTCCATCCCCCCGAGTCCCCGGCGCCCGGCCCGAAGGGGGAGGCTGCCCTGACCGTGGAGGCCGTCCTCAGTCTCTGCCCAGTCGGTCAGCAGCGAACGGCCCCCAGGGGCTCCGCAGGGGCCGAGGCCGCGGGCACACACCTTGTTACTCAGGGCCTTGATCCGGTCCTGGTCCAGCCGGTGCTGCCGGCCGCAGGCCTCGGCGGTCACGGCCACCCGCTCCACCTCGCGGTTCAGCACGCAGACGATGTTCTCGAAGGTGGCCGTCTTCTCCTCCAGGGCCCCGCAGCGCCGCAGCAGCCCCGCCTCGCCGGGGCCCGGGGCCGGGCGCCCGGCCCCCAGCAGCAGCCGCAGCAGCATGGCCAGGTGCTCCCGGAGCCGCTGCAGCTCGTGCTCCGGCTGCTTCCCGCTCTCCACCTGCGGGCGGAGCGGGAGCTGGCGCCGCTGCACGGCTGGCGACCGTCAGTGACCGTGCCCGCCGCCCGCCCGCCCGCCGGGTTTCACGTGTCCCTGTGGGAGCCAGTCGCTGGCGAACACGCAAAGTGACAGGGAAGGGCACCCCACTGTCAGCCGAGCGTCGCCAAGCTGTTCCGTCCAGCGCACGGGCCTCACTCTGCAGCCAGCTCCCGTCCAACCTCCAGACCTGCTCCAGCATGGCCGACCCTCCACGCAGCTCAGTGGAAACAAGGAACTGAGCAGCTGAGGGGCTCAGACAGGTGCTCCAGGGACGGCTGGCAGGACAATAAAGAGCCCTGTCGCTGTGCCCAGGCCACGGTCTTGGCGCAGACCCACCAGGTCAGTGCCACGTGCAACGTCAACAGGAACAGACCCAGGCCGTGTCCTCTGACCGCCAAGGACCCAGGCCCAGCAGGCCCCGTGCCAGGGAACCAGTCTGAGCGGCATGACCAACACCAGGGTGCATGGACAACAGGCGGGCAGAGAATGGAGGGGACAGAGGCGGCGCTATCTATGTGCCATCCCGGAAAAACACCTGAGAAATGCTGCCAGGCACCTACTACTGAGGAGCGGGTGCCAGGCCTACCCGTCTTATGGGCCCAGGCCCTCAGTTAGCTGGGGAGGAAGGGGGGGACAGTCAGGGAAAGGAGGGCGAGGGGTCCTGTGAGCTGCAGGGAGGAGGCGGTGGGGCCCTGGGGTGGGAGGAGGTCAGTGCTGGAGGTGGAGTGGCCAGAGGAGGTCATAGGCAGCCGGGGCCGAGTCACACAGGGAGAGCCATCAGGGTGCAGAGGTGAGGCGGGCAGGCGGGGAGTGGGGGGGAGGCAGGTGGGGTGCGGGACCCGTTTGTGCCCAGGAAGAATGGAGGATCTTCACGCTCACTGGACAGACATGGGAGAGAAGGGTCCAGAGTGACGGCTGGCTGTGGGCCAGCGTGGCTGGGCAAACCAAGGTGCTCATTTTGGACAAGGTGCAGGGCTGCAGGGTGGCGAGGCCTGAGATGCACTGGGTGTCGGCAGACAAGGTGGGGTGGCCAGGGTGGGGCCACAGGAGGTGGAGATCAGCAGGCAGCCTGGGGCTGAGCCGGGCACCTGAGGGCCAGGCAGCGGGCAGGCGGAAGCGAACGGAGGCCCAGGGGTGGCTGACAGCCGGCTCGGGAAGGCACAGCGTGGGCATGGAGACTGGAGGAGGGCGGGCTCACCATCTCCAGGCAGCCGACGTCCTGGAACCGGCAGGGGCCCGGGCGCTTGCCGCACGTCCGGAGGTGGTCCTGGAACTGCAGGGCGGTCATCAGGCTGGGCTCCGCGGCCGGGCAGCGTGCACTCGGGCCTCTGGCCCACCCCACCCGCCTCTTCACTCGTCTGACCAAAACCCAACAGCCCACTTCCAAAGCCAAGACGTGCACAGACACGCACACCCACACAGACGCACTCACACCGGGCACTCACACGCGCGCGCGCGCGCACGGTGGCCATAACCGAGGCGGTGCAGCCTGGGCCAGCTCCGCAGGACGCGTGGGGACCCGCGCCTGCGCCCAGCCGTGGGACGCAGGTGTCCGAGGCCGGGAAGGGGCACAGACACCCGCAGTGTGGGCTGGTGCAGGGCAGCACCGAGGCCCTCGGAGAGGACAGAGCTCCGAGAGGCTGGCTGCACAGACACACAGCACCTGGACTCAGGGAGGACAGACTGACTGACGTTCCCATACGAAGTGGCCACAGGACACCTAAGAGTGGCCCCTCCAGAGCAGAAACACATCCCTGAATCACTATCAGCAACAGCAGGAGACACCTCAACGGAGACCCCCCCCCCCTATCAAAACCACCACCGAGCAAAGTGGAAGGAAAGACACAATGTCCCCCTAGCACAGCGCTCCCAAACGGGAGATCGGACCAACCCCCCCCCCCCCCCCCGGGGAAGTGAAGGAGCTGCGAAACCTTCGTCAAACGTAAGAGAAACAAACGCCACTGGACTCGAAGAGAGTGCTCAGCAGATGCACGTGGGAGAAATGCAAACCCCAACGCCCAGGACACGGCTCTGACCCGTCACCAGGGCACAGCGAGTCTGCCCGACCCGCAGTGGCAGGTGCCCTGAGCCACGTGAGCCATGTGTTCATTTCCCAGAACGGCTACTGGACGTCTGAGTGGCAGAGCGTCTTAAACCACACACGCAGCAGCAAACCAACGAACGCAGTGCACGCTGCCCGCAGCCTGCCTCCCAGAGCGCGGCCACCTCGAGCCGCCTGCGGTGCCCCCAGGACTCACAGCAACCACAGCCTGAGCCCCATCGCACGACACTCTCTGCAGCAGGAAAGCTACAGACGCGGGAGCCTGGCCGTGACCAGCATGGACCCGTGAGTTCTCTCTTAAAGCCAGCAGGTGCCTGCCGCCTGCCCTGAGCCTGGGCCTGAGCCGTGGACGGAGGGGCAGGGAGGGGGGCGGCCGCCCGGCCCCTTGAGCCTCAGGAATGGCTGTGCAGCCTGAGGTGTCCATCCCTGAGGCTAACAGAAGAGCGGCCACAGGCGATCTGACGCTGGTCCACAGGGGATCCACCGGCCATGGCACCAGGTCCCTGAGCTCGCAGCGCGGGCCCTCGTGGGAAGCTCACGCCATCTTGCCTGACTCACAGGCGCCCGGTTCCACTTACTTTCTCGCGAGGGGTCACCTGGCCGCAGCCCTCGCAGGTCACGGGGAACTTGGGGCAGACCTCATGGTGTGCCTGGGAGAGAAGGGGGAGCGTTGGGGGCACTGGGCTACGTCGATGCCGGACCAGGCCTGGCGCCGTCAGCCCAGGGGCCGTGGTTCCCCAAGACCGGACCTGAGAGGTGGCCTGGGCCACTGTGGGGGCCTCAGATACCAGCACCCCTTCCAGCGGGCGGCTCTCCTTCACTCCCAGCCAGCTCCCCGCGGACCCGCCCAGCCCCACAGCGGGCACCGCGGCCCAGGGCACCTTCACGTCGGCCCAGCAGCAGGCGGCCCGGCAGTGCTGGCAGCTGAGGCTCCTCTCCGGGCACTCCTGCTCCTCGTGGCGCTCCTTCTCGCCGAGGCGGACCAGGCCTTTGCATGCCGGGCACTCGGTCAGCAGGAACGGGCAGAGGCCTTCGTGGCAGCTCTGGCAACAGAGGGAGCAAAGCGTCCAGAGCCGCACCGGCCTGCCGATGCCCCCAGCTGTGGCGCCCGCTCCATCCACCCTGCCCAGGCGCCGAGAACGGACACCCCCCGACACCTTTGTTCCGGTCAGAGGTCAGGACCCACTCCCACTGGTGGCACCCCCCCACGACGCCAAGGACGACCCTCCCTGCCCGACCACAGGGCAGAGGCTCTGCTCCGAGGGGCGATCCGGGGCCCCGGAGCCCTGGCCAGGGAGAGGGGCGCACGGCCGCGACGGAGACGGGTGCAGAAAGGCAGGAGCAGAGCCACGGCCGGCGACACAGGGACAAAGGTGGCGGGGTGCCAGGCGGCCAGGACAGGCCAAAGGGTGACCAGAGCCAAGGGCTGTGAGAAGGGGCCACGGGGGCAGAGCGAGAGGGCTCTCGGGAGCCCAGCCCCTTCCCTCTGCACACCGAGCCAGGAGCCCGCCCTCGGGAGCTGGCGGTGCTGGTGACAGGCAGGAAGGCACCAGGCGTGTCCCAGGGAGGCGGGTCCCAGCCTGGGGCCTCGAGGCCGGGGGAGACCCCAGAGGAGCCGGAGCAGCAGGAGGACAGGGAAGGAGGGGTGGGGCTCAGGCTGGGGAGTCAGGAACTGAGGGGCCCACGTCAGCCCAACCTCGGGCCGCAGCTCTGCTGTGAAGGAGCCAACAGGAGACGACACCGAGTTCTGAGGGGCCTGGGAAGGCCGCTGGGATGGGGCAGGGGTGGGAGGGGGGCAGGGCGGGAGGGGAGGCTGCTGGGATGGGGCAGGGGTGGGAGGGGGCAGGGCGGGGCCTGGACGTGGGCTGGGAGCCAAGTGGGTCTGCCAAGGACCCGGAGCCTCGCAGGCCACAGGAGGACGGGACGGCCCAGGCCTCCTGCAGCTCGGCCCCCGCAGCCCCGCTCCTCTGGGCAGGGCCTCTGGTGTGGCCGCCTGCCCGCCCGCGCTGAGGGCGCAGTCGCCGCACGGCCTGGGCACGTGGCTCCCAGAGGACCTGTCTCAGCAAGCTAACTCCTGGGCTGGTGGCACAGCTCAGTGGCTGAGCGTCCACCCACGCGCCAGGAGGCCCCGGTTCAATTCCCAGGCAGGGCACAGTGGGAGGCGTGCAGGAGCGGCTCATCAATGAATCTCATCGCCGATGCTTCCCGCTCCTGCCTCTCCGAAACCAATGAAAGGTGAGAAGTGGGAAGAGAAACTCCCGGGGGCGCGGGCAGACAAAGCGCCCTGCAGAGGGCGGGCCCTGCCCCGGGACGAGGGCACCCAGGCCATCGTGGGCCGCCCCGCCCCCGGGTCTGCAGGGGGGACCCCCCCCCCCCCCCGCACGGGCCACCGGCTTCGTCAGCTCCCACCGCCGAGACCTTCAGAGGAGCACACGCCAGAGAACAGCGATGACTCAGCCAGGAGGCCAACGCGACACCGGGCAGAGCCGAGGGGGCGCCCGGCCCGCTCTCCTCCCCTCGGGCGTAGCCTCTCTGGGCCCTGGCTCAGAGCCCTGGCCGGGCAGGTCCGCGCACCAGAGCACCCGCAGGCTGCACAGCACCGCCCTGAGCTCTCAGGAGCCCCAGGTGCCATCGCCAAACCTCCCCTCCCTTCCACCGAGGCGCTGGGCAGCGCCACCCGCTGGGAGCAGCCGAGGGCAGCGCGGCCGTCAGCACGTCCAAGGCCACGGCCAGCGAGTGGCCCAACGAGCACGCCTCCACATGACCAGCCGGCGCGCAGGGACTTTCCGGAGCGGGGCAGCCAGGGACTTTCCAGCCGCACGCCTGCCGGCCGTGGCAGGAACCCAGGTCCTGCCGCCCCGAGGCCAGGAAGCCATCGCCCACACCGGTCTGGAGGCGACAGAAACCCCAGAGGAATCTGGGGGTGAGCCCACCTGTCCCCAGGGATCCCCACCTCTCAGAGGCAGCCCGGCACCCCGAGTTCCTGCCCTCCCAGGAGACCCTGACCCCGAGGCTGGGTGCCCGGGCAGTGACAGCCGAGGGTGCCGACAGTGCAGATGCACCCCGTGGCCACTGGGCCGCCCGTCCCCAGGCAGACCCCTCTCCCAGAAGGCGCGGGGGCCAGCGCCGCTCGCTCCCTGCCCGGAACATCTTCTCGCCTGCACCCCAGAACTCCCCTGGCAGGACGAGCGGAGCCCAGAGGATGCGCTGGGGCACACACAGGCAGAGGGAGAGCCCCGGCCGCCGCGCTGCCCTGTCCACACTGGGTGGCTCAGTGCCCCTGAGGAAAACGCCCTCAGGAGAGGATTAACAGCAGCAAGGAGAGGGGCCGGCTCCTGGACAGCCTCGGCACCTCGGCCTCCACGCCCATCGCCGGCCCCGCGTGCTGGAGGCACAGGCTCCTCGCGGCCGAGACCGGCTGGGGAGACGCACCCTGCGCCCCAGGACAAACGAGCAGGCGACCAGGCGTGTTCCCAGCGCCAGCGCCATCCAGAGGAAGAACGCTTCCGTCTGGAGACCCAGCAGAGCCCACCAGCACACGCCCCACCGGCACCCCGTGGCAGGCTGCACCGGTCCACCGGTCCACTGACGGAACCCGAGCCACGCCGCCGGCCCCACGGGACCGAGGCTGTGAGGGGGCTGCCCTCTCACAGACATGGACGCGGTGGCGCCACACGGGGGCAGGCAGCCTACCTCGTACTCCTTGAGGGTCCCCTTCCAGGCGCAGCCGTCGTTGGAGCAGATGGCGGGCAGGCTCTCCACCTCCCTGCGGGCAGCGTTGTCGGGGAAAGCCTGGGGACAGCGGCCTGCGTGAGCGTCCGCAGTCGGCCCCGGAGCCCGCCCCGCGTGCAGCCGGTCCGCCTCCAGCTGCTGAGGCGCCCCCTCTGGTGCCTCTGAAGGAAGCACGTGTTCCTGCTCCCGTGGGCCGTCAGCCCAGACTCACTCACCGAGCTGCCCTCTAAGACGGAGACGCCTTCTTCGTAGATGCCCTCCCGCACACAGGCAGCGCAGTTCTGGGGCCCGGAGCTGGGGAGGGGCGCGCGTGAGGCCTGAGCCGAGGACAGGCGGCGGCCGCCAGCCCAGCACCGTCCCCGCGTCCGAGCGGGGAGTCTGCTCCTGTGGTGGTCACCCCACGGGGAACGAGGCGCCCACTCAGAGGCAGACACCGGAGCAGGTGTGGGCCCTGCCTGGAGACCCCCGGGGGGCACGGCACACCCACCAACAGCCAGCGCTGCACCGGATGTCCGAGCGAGGACGCCGGCCGAACCACCCGCACGAACGCACGCTCACGCCCGCCCCTCGCAGCGCCCGGTCTCCACTCCACCCTCCTCTGCAGTGAGCCCGTGCTGTCCCCGCGGTTCACCGGGAGCACAGCCTGCCGAGCCGCCCTGGCTGGCACAGCCCTGCAGCCACCGCCCTGCCCCTCCGCCGCCCGCGCACCTGAGGATGCTGCTCAGGCAGAAGGAGCAGTAGCGGTGGCCGCACTGGGCCTGGAAGGGCCTGCGCAGGACGTTCTCACAGGCCGAGCACAGATACTTGTCCTCCAGCTTGGTCCCCAGCAGGGCCGTGGAGAAGCCGGGCTGCAGCGCGTCCAGGGAGCCGGGAGGGGTCACGCTGGCTGCAGCCATGGGCGCCGCGTCCCCCGAGAACGCCAGGCCCTGCGGAAGGCAGAGGCGTCGAGGCGTCCAGAGGCGCCCACCCCGCAGTAACCCTCCGGGAAATGCCGGCCTGGCGAGCAGGATGTGACCGGTCAGCTGACTGGTCGCAGCATGACTGACGCTCGAGAAACCATCCAGCCCAGATTCGGAGACCGGGCTTAGCAGGTGTGGGCCCCGCCCCCGCAGCGCCTGGCCAGCGGCTGTCCGCCCCTTCCCGCTGGCCGAGTGCTCGGCGTGCGGCTCCTGAGGGTCCCACACGAGCTCACAGGCCACTCACAGCCTGGCAGTGCCCAGAGGTGGCCACACTGCCCAGGGCCTCTCCCATGCCCGCCTGATGCTGCTCCTCTGCCCCTGCCTCACCCAGAGGTTTGGGAGGGTCACCCCAGCACTCCGAGGTCCGGGAGCCTCTCGTGGAACTTTGTGCGGCACCCACAGCACCAAAAGCCCAAGAGCCGGGACTGCCCAGCCAGTCCTGCGCGGGGACACTGTCCCCAGGGGACGCTGTGCTGCAGACGGAGCGCACCCCTCCCAGCCCCAGGCCGGACCCTTCCAGGAGAGGGACCTGTCCGCGCGGCCAGCCCCACAGAAACAGCGACAGGTGGGGTGTCGTCGGGCAAGACCACTTTGAGACTCCGAGTTTGGACCTGGCACTTGAGGCCTCACACCCAGCGAACCCGGGCCCGGCACAGCCTCATGACCCCGCAGCCACCGCAGGGCTGTGCCGGCACTCGCACACGGACACACTGGTCTCTCGCTCTCACACGGGCTGCCTGGGACCCGCGGGCGCAAACAGAGCTAGCACAGCCCTCAGGAGAACCCTTCGGCGGAGTCCACACCCAGCGTACGGAGCGCTGGGAGCCTGGCCAGCGCGCCTCGTGGGGTCCCCTCTGCCCTGCCCCCCCACGGGAACTCGGCCTCAGGGCACTCCTGAGGACACACACCCTTCCCCAAAACAGGCTCCTCCCACCCCAGCCTCGCCTCTGGAAAGGGCATTGCTGCCAGAGACAACGGTGTCCACGGAGGAACCTCAGTCCATGGCGCCAGGTCAGGCCCTGCCACCCTCTGGAGACGGGCACTGGGGCAGCAGCCACTTTGGGGCGACACTGGGAGGTGAAGGCTGTGTGTTTGGTCTTCTTCCCAGGCCTGGCACAGAGCACCGAGCCCCTGGCTGCTGCCTGAGGGGGCAGGAGCAACTGTCAGTCACAGCCCTCCCACCAGCCGCCCAGCGCCCCGAGGCGAGGGCTGCAGCCGCACTGACCCCCCAGGCCTCCCGACGGAGCCTCCATAAAACGCCCACCGGACAGGATCAGAGCTTCCAGGCTGGAGAAGGGCTCGGAGCGGGGAGCGTGCTGCAAGCCCTCAGCCTCTCCCTGCAGGAGCTCGGGACACGGGGGTGGGTGTCGGAGGCACTGGCAGGGCTGTCCCAGGCGGCACAGAGCAGAGACCCGCTCACAGCGAGTGCCTTTGGAGCTGATGGGGGCGAGGGGCTGGGGCTGCAGAGCACTGCTCAGAGGCCGGGGTGCGCTGTCTGCTGAGAGGGAAAGGCCTTTTAAACGTATGTGCGCGGCGCTGACCAGAGAGGGAGGGGGAGAGATACATCGACCGCTGCCTCCTGCATCCTCCCCTGGGGAGCAAGACTGCAGCCTGGACGTGTGCCCCAGGGGAGGCGGTGCAACCACTGAGCAACACCAGCCAGCTAGGAAAAGCTTTAAGAAAGCACTTAGAACCGTGCTGGTTTGAAACTCACGCAAGAGTAACTTCTGCGGCGTGTAAGCTTTACTGCAATAAAGCTGTTTTCTTAGGAAAGAAAAATTGAGCAACAGCTCGGGATTGGCTGGGACCTCCACCTGGAACGTAACGGTCTGAGCTGCTGAGTCCGCCATTCTGCCCGGGGACAGGGCCCCGGGCTCGCTGGGCGCACAGCGGCCCTCTCCGAGCAGCTGTCCTGGGAGCTCCTACTGGGACCAGCCAGCCCCAGCCCACTCCGGCCGTCCGGGCGCTGCCTCCACTCCAGGCCCTCACCACCCCTCCGGCCGCAATCATCTGGTCCGCAGGCTCCCCGAGGTGAGGCACGGAGAGACCGCCCAGCCGCTGCTCAGGCCTGGGGGCGGGGGCGGGGCTGCAGGCTGACCTCAGGCCCCACAGGCTCCAGGGTTAGGGGCCAAGGGGGTCAGCATGCAGAGGGGTGGCTGGGGGCAGAGGAGGAGGGAGGAGGGTGGAGAGAGGAGAATTGGGGGGCAGAGGAGTGGGGGGAGGGAGGGGGAAGAGGGGGGAAGGAGAATTGGGGGGCAGAGGAGGACTGGGGGCAGAGGAGTGGGGGGGAGGGGGGAAGAGAACTGGGGGGCAGAGGAGTGGGGGGGGAGAATTGGGGGGCAGAGGAGTGGGGGGAGGGGGAGGGGGAGGAGGGAGGGGGAGAATTGGGGGGCAGAGGAGTGGGGGGAGGGGGCAGGAGGGAGGGGGGAGGAGAATTGGGGGGCAGAGGAGGACTGGGGACAGAGGAGTGGGGGGGAGGGAGGAAGAGAACTGGGGGGCAGAGGAGTGGGGGGAGGGAGGGGGAGAATTGGGGGGCAGAGGAGTGGGGGGAGGGGGGAGGAGGAGGGAGGGGGGAGGAGAATTGGGGGGCAGAGGAGTGGGGGGCAGAGGAGGAGGGAGGGGGCGGGCGGGGGCAGCGGAGGCAGCAGGCGGGCCCCCAAGTGGGGCGCTGAGCGCGGCCCGGGGCCAGGCGGGCAGGGGAGCCGCGGGGTCGGGAAGGAAGGGGTGAGACGCCCACAGGCCGCAGCGGGCCGCGTGGGGGACCCCGGGCCGTGGACCCCGACCAGGCGCCCGCGCGCGTTCGCGAACTTTCCGGCCCCGCGCCGACTTTCAGTTTCCGGTTCCCCCGCCCCGGGAATTCCCCTCCGGCCCGCGCGCGGGGCGGCGGCGGCCCTGCCTCCCCGCCTGCCTCCCGCGCCGCGCGCCCCGCCCGGACCGCGACCCCCGACGCCGACCCCGCGGGCCACTCACCAACGGTCGCCGCGCGCCCGGAACTGCCCGCCCGCCAGCCGCCGCCGCCGCCGCCGCCGCCGCCCCCGCCTCGACCCGTCTGACGGACTGACAGAAGAGCCTATCAGGAACGCGCAGGGAGCCGCAGCGGGCTCTGATTGGCCAGATTTCCCCCCCGCCCTTCTTTGTGCCCGCCTTTCTGACGGACAGTCAGAGGAGCCTACCAAGAGCAGGGAGGGAGCCGCAGCGGGCGTCGATTGGTTTGCGCTTCCGTGACGTTACTTCATTCATTCCCACGGGGGTTGCTCCAAGCAGAGCCTGCTCGGCGCCCTCACGGCTCTGTCCGTGGAGCTCCGTGCACCCCGGGAGGACCGGAGCGGGGACGGGAGGACGGGAGGGAGTCCCGCTGCAAGGCCTTCGCTGCTCTCACCTCCCGAGAACCTGGTGGTGCCCATGAAGGATCCAGCTCAGGTCGAGGGCGCCGTGGCAGCACCTTCGCCTCCCCAACGCCCGGCTCAGCATGGCCCCGCGTGAATTGTTTGTAAGAAAAAGCACGAAAAGGCTCCGCTCCCCTAAAGGGTCTGAAGGCGACGAGGTCTCTGCTCGGGTAAGTTCGTGTTCTGGAACTAAACAGCGATGATGGTTGCCCGACCTTAGGAATGTACAAACAACACTGAATTGTATGGCTTAATAGCGAATTTCATATGAATTTTTACCACCAATAAACCCCAAAGGCACAAACTATGACCTCCAGACACACGGAAATGTGGGACACGCAAATGGAAACATCTGGAAACAAGGCAGCGGTCTGGGCCAGGAAAAACGGAGCCGCGCTGGGCGCGCTGACCTGTGGCCAGTGTTCCTGTGCCACGGGAGGCGCCAGGCCGGCCGGACGTCTCTTACGCAGCACGGGCATCGCTCACTGCCTGGCACACAGCTTCTCCTCTCGTACCAGCGTCCGAACAGGGACCGCCCTCTTCATTTTGCGGAAAAGAACACGGGACCCCGAGAGGTGAGAGTCCTTTGCCTCAGGCCACACAGCACCCCAGCACCTCTGCTCCGGGGGCTCGTCCGAAGCCACTGCCGAAGGAGGAACAAAGGGCAGAGCGGGGGGCGGGCTCTGAAGTGAGTCATGTGAACCGTCCACACGTGTGCGAGATGCTTGCCTCACGCTGCACACGTCATTACCGGGTTTGCGGCCGGAATTTCCCGGGGAGATGGCAGCCGGCCGCCCTGCCTCTGATGCGTGCTCCGTGAACTCCAGGCAGGGCTGGCCACAGGAGCCGTGGAAGCCTCCGCTGCAGCTCGTGGCCACCTGCGCTCTCAGGCGTCCGAACGGCTCGTCTCCCCTCGCTGCGAACCCCCCGCTGCGAACCCCCCAGGAAACTGTCCTTGTGGCAGAGAAGATTCCACTGCAAAACCAGGAAACGGTCCGCCAGCCTCTGCAGTGGTCCTGGGAGGGTCACTCCTCCAGGGGGCAGGCCGAGGGCTGATGAGAGCTGCCTGGCCCGCCCATGCCCAGGGCTTCTCCTGAGCCAGGCCTCACTCCACTCCCGGGAAGGCAGCCAGCCGCCTGCGGACACCCTGAGACGGCCCCGAAGGACCTGCCGGCGTGTCTAGCATGGAAGCTTCTGCGTATCGTAAACACTGCCTCGTTCACAGGATCTTCACGCACGTGCACATGTTTTTTTTTAATTTGACTCTGATGACAGGCCTGCCCGGTGAGCCGAGCTGAGAACCGGGGAAGAGGGACCAAGGAAGTGCCGCCCCACCCCCGCCAGCCAGCTCTGAAGGGGTGACACCGCCGACCTGGCAAGCTGGAAAGGGGTGACTCACTCTGGCCCTCGGGCAGCTCAGGGGATTCCCATCAGGTCCCTTCCTGCCAAAAAGAAAGCGAAACTCAGCCCTCAGCCACAGCAGGGAGGAGCCGGGAGGGACCTGGGACAGCCCCACGCGGCCCTGGGAGGGGGCCAGGGCCGGGGCCTCAGGCCAGCAGGTGGCAGGGCGGGTTCCGGCCTGGAGCAGCTGTCCCAGCCTCAGTGCTCCCAGAGAAAGGCGTGGGCCTGGCTGCAGATCAGGGTCCAAGCCGAGTGGACACCGCTGCTGGGCCTCCGCTGCCCACGGGTGAGCAGCCCAAGGTGGGAGGGGGGCTGCCACGGCCGCCTCCGCTGCCTCCGGAGCCCACCCTGCCTCCTCTGTTATTCCTTCTCACTTGGCATCTGGCCCCGACAGGTGTGGCCCATAAGGTGCTCACCTCACAACCTTGTCTCAGGCCTTTGGGAGGGCAGACACCAGCTAGCACAGAAGACAGAAAGGGTGACCTGGGTCCCCACTCAGGACCTGGACATGGGACACACTGCTTGTGCCCCTCGGCTGGCCCCAGAGCCTCCCATGGCGGGGCCACCTCCCAAAATATAGGCCGCTTCTCTGCGTGGACTTCTCTCCCCCCCCCCCACCCCAGCTGCTCTTTTTTCAGACATTTTAAGGTCAACCCCAGGCAGCGACTTCTGAAAGAAGCCCATTTCGCTCTGGCTCAGCCGTCATCTGAGGGCCGGGCCCGCCAGCTCTGCCCCAGAATTCCCCTGCACCCAGGCCAGCCAGCAGGGGCTCCCCCTCCCGCCTCCCCCGAGAGTGCACAGCCAGGCACCCTCCCTGAGACACCCCCTGAGGGGAGGAGAAGACACAGGGTGGGCCAGGCCACCCCACCAGCACCCACGCTCCGGGCCCAGGAGGCCACCCGGGACTGCAGGGAGGAGGACGAGGGTCCCGGGTGAGAGGGTCTGCCCAGGCTGGCCCCTGGACGGGAGCCCAGCAGGAGAGCCAGGGCGCACAGAGCTGGGGAGGACAGCTCCGCGCCCACGTGCACCCTCTGTGCACTGGGAAGGACACGCAGTAAGAGAAGTCGGGGATGTGTTCCCTGCTCTCCATCCCACGCTTTTTGAAACCACTGATGGCATCACCTGTTCAAACCACGTCTATGTGCAGCCCAGAGGGGACTCGGGAAAACGCAACAATACCAAGAAGAGAGCAGAGACCGCCCCACATTCCCTCACCCACAGACAAGCTCGGCCAGGATTCCCAGCCCGTGTAACACCCACCTCCCTCAGGCCACCTCAGAACACAAGGGCCGTCCCACACCCAGGGCCAAAGGCCAGGCAACAGCCTCCCATGCAGGACTGAAGCTTCCCAGGCGACCCCACCTCTGCTGCTGCAGGGGGCCTGGCCAAAGGGCTTTGCACCAGCCTGGCCGCACTTGGACCAGCTCCCCGCCTTCCCCTCCTCCCCCAGGCGCCTGGCAGGCCTCAGCGTCTCGCTCCCGGTGGCCTGTTGTTGAGTGGGTCCCCCCACGCGCCCCAGGAGACTAGAATCGGTTTGTGTGCCCGGGACCTCCCCCAGATGTGGGTCCCTGAGGGCAGTGACCTTTGGGACCTCATTCTGAGCTCCTCATTGGATGGAGAACCAGGGGCCCCACTCCTCCCCGCCCGGCGGCGGGTCCGCGCGCGCCATCTGCCGGCGGAGACTAGAACGGCCGGCCAAGCAACGACACCTGCTCACTGCGGAATTCTTCCCGTCACGCAACGCGCAAGATGGTGCGCGGACTGTAAGGCTGGATGGAGGGTTTTTCTCTGGGTGGGGCTGCCCTTATCGGAACTCCTGTATTTGCGCAGCAAACACCTCCCTGTAGGAATGCTACCGGAGCACTGGGTGCAAAGCCCGAGCATTACCCACACCACGGTCACCACTAACCATCCGATGCCAATGTGATCAAACACGATGGAGAGGCTTGAATCGCCGTCTGTTCCTTCCACAGCACAATCTGCAAAGCCATGATGTGCGCGTTCAAAGAGAACACAGCCAGAAAAATAAAAAATAAAAAAAGAGACAGCCAACAACATGAGCAAAAGCACTAGAAACGCATGTGTTAATCCACACAAATGTCATTTTTTTGTGCACTTGTCAGGTTTTTTAAATGTGTAACTTGTCCACTTATACAAAACTATCGTAAAATAACCCTCGCCGGTTTGACTCCGTGGATAGAGCGTCGGCCTGCGGACTGAAGGGTCCCGGGTTTGATTCCGGCCAAGGGCACAGGCCTGGGGTGCAGGAGGCAGCTGATCCAGGATTGCCTCTCATCATTGATGTTTCTCTCTCTCTCCCTCTCTGAAGACAATGAGAATAGGAAATTTTTAAAACAACTGTAAGATATTACAGCATTGTTGTAAAATAGACACATTTTACAAAGTATTATACGAAAATATTTATTTTCCTGTTTGGTTTTATAATTTTCCGTTTTCTGTCTTAAAGAGAATCCTGCCCCGATTACATATGCCCCACGCCTCTGCACCACGTGGGCACAATTCCAGGAAAGTAGCACTTGGACTTGCATGCTGGCCAAGGGCAGCCTGGAGCAGAAACCAAACCCAACAGCAGAAAAACGGGTGCCATCCACTTCCCAGGCCCCTCCGCCCAGCACCCCTCCCTCCCAGGCCCCTCCGCTCAGCACCCCTCCCTCCCAGGCCCCTCCGCCCAGCACCCCTCCCTCCCAGGCCCCTCCGCCCAGCACCCCTGCCTCCCAGGCCGAAATGGGGCCGCCCCGCGCGCCCCCACGCCTCTCCCTGAGCACAGCCCCGCCACGCCCTCCCCTCACCCGCGCCCCCTCCTCTATCCGAGTCCCCTTCTCACGGCCCGGCCCGCTGCACCAGGACCACTCCCCTCCGCGCCCCTCTCCCCGCCTCCCTGCGTCACCCCGCCCTCTGCGCCGGGACCACTCCCCTCCGCGCCCTCCGCGCCCCCCTCCACCCCGCCCTCTGCGCCGGGACCACTCCCCTCCGCGCCCCTCCGCGCCCCCTGGCGCTCACTCCAGCCCCTCCGCGCCCTGACGTCATCACCCCACGTCGCGCACCGCCCCCACAGTTCCGCAGATGAGCCGGGCTCAGATTGGTCCCCAGGCGCAGGAAGTGCCCGCCCCTCAGGGATTCCGACCAATGGGAGGCGGGGGCGGGGCGCGGACGGCGCCGGAAGCGGGCTAGCGAAGAAGCGACGTCGCGCCGCAGGATCTCGAGCAGCTGCGCTGAGCCGAGCCGCCGTCAGCCCGCGGAGCCGCCGCCATGGCCGAGAGCGACTGGGACACGGTGACGGTGCTGCGCAAGAAGGGCCCCACGGCCGCGCAGGCCAAGTCCAAGCAGGTGAGGCCCCGCTGCGGGCTGACGCGGGGCGGGCCGCGGCCCGGGGCTCGGGTAGGGAAGGGCCGGGGCCGGGGCCGGGGCCGGGGCCTGTCGGGGACGGTCCGCGCGGACGTGGGGGCGTCAGGATGAGGACAGGCGGAGGCAGGACTGGAGGACGGTCCGCGATGGCGGGTGGGGGGGGGGGGAAGGAAGACGGGGGGAGGGCAGGGAGGTGGGGGGGCAGGAACGGGGGGGGGCAGGGAGACGGGGGGCAGGGAGGTGGGGGGTGGGGGGTGAGGAGGGCAGGGAGGTGGGGGGGCAGGGAGACGGGGGGGAGGGCAGGGAGGTGGGGGGCAGGAACGGGGAGGGCAGGGAGACGCCGGGATGGGTGTGATTCAGGCCTGGGGTTGCGGCGGGCAAGGTCCGGAGCCTTGGACTGGGTGTGGGCAGAGGGCAGAGGGCTGCGGGGCCGAGGACCGGGTCAGGACTGGGAGGGAACAGGGGGCGGGATCGGAGCCCACCCCCCCCCCAGTCTGCTCAGGCCGACGCTGCCCGCGTCACCCACCCGCACCCTCGGCCCCCGGGTCACCCACCCGCACCCTCGGCTGCCTGCGGCCCCGCGAGGGAGCCCTCAGGGCGGCTGGAGGCAGCGGCCGGCGGGCGGGCTGGGCCCGGGCCAGGGCTCCTCGGCCGCCCCCCTCTGGCTGCGCAGTCAGAGCCGATCGGCCTTTTCCTTGTCGGAGGAGACGGGGCCGCGGCGGCGCCAGGGAGCGCTGAAACCCCTTAGGAGCCCAGCCACCGTGGGGTCAGCAGAGGGCTGTGCCCCTGCCGGGCCCAGAGGGGTGGGTGCCCGAGAAGGAAGGGACGGCCTCGGGAGCAGCTGAGCCAGCGGCGCAGGATGCTGGGGCGGAGGGGGTTGCCTGAGGAGCTGGGGTTCGAAGCCCAGCCTGCCCGTGTCGGCGGGCCGTCCTGCATCGGAAGGCTGCGGTTCGGTTCCCCTCCTGGCCGGTGCGCGGCCCGAGGCAGGCTGGCCCCCGTGGGGTGTGGGCGAGAGATTGCTTCCGTGTTCCCCCTCTCCCCCTCTCTCAGGGCCAATTAAAACCTTAAACCAGAGCCGGCGCCGATGCCAGCCTGTGGAAGAGCCTGCCCGGCTCAGCACCGGGTGCCCGCCCCGCCCGGCCGGCTCACAGCCGAGCTGGCTGCCAGGCTGCTGTGTGGTGTTTGTCCGTCCGCACCTGACGGCGTTTTTCCCACTGACTAGGGGGGGGAAGGGAAGGGAAGAGACAGACGTCAATTGGCTGCCTCCCTCACGGGGCCAGGGATCGAGCCGGAAACCAAATCAGGTGCTCTCCACTGAAGTCGAACCCACAACCCTTCAGCTGTAACCACTGAGCAAAACCAGCCAGAGCGAAAGCTAATATTTTAAAAGTTGACTTTAGAGAGAGAGGAAGGGGGAGAGACAGACATCGATTTGTTCACCCACCTACACATTCATTGTTGGCTCTTGTGTGCTCTGACGGGGTCGAACCCACAACCTTCGAGTAGCAGGTCCACGCCGTAACCAGCTGAGCGCCCGGCCACGGCTCCAGTTAATTCTGACAAACACCGTCTCCTGGTTTTCTAGGCCATCTTAGCAGCCCAGAGGCGAGGAGAAGACGTAGAGACGTCCAAGAAATGTAGGTGCCGCCGCCGCGCTGGGAGGTGTGGGGCGGGGGCGCCGGGAGGCTGTGCTGTCCACTCCCACCGCTGGGAGAAAGTTCTGGAATCTGCTCTTAGGCCTGTGCAGTTGCCATGATTGGACGGCCTGGCTTCCCATGTACCTGGGCGCACAGGCCAGCACCTGCCATCGTGCCTGGCTCATGTCCTGAAACACCTTTCTCTCCTGTTGGTACAAACCCCCTCCTCCCTCCCTCCCTCTCTCTCTTCCTCTCTCTCTCCCTCCTCCTCTCCTCTCCCTCCCTCTCCCTCTCTTCCTTTCTCTCTGTCTCTCTTCCTTTCTCTCTCTCTTCCTCTCTCCCTCTCTTCCCCTCTCTCTCTCTCTCTCTTCCTTTCTCTCTCTCTCTCCCCCTCTCTTCCTCTCTCCCTCTCTCTCCTTCTCTCCCTCCCTCTCCCTCTCTCTCTTCCTTTCTCTTCCCCCCCTCTCCCTCTCTTCCTCTCTCCCTCTCTCCCTCTCTCTCTCCCTCTCTCTTCCCCCCCCTCTCTCACTCTCTTCCTCTCTCCCTCCCTCCCTCTCTTTTCCTTTCTCTCTCTCTCTCTCTCCCTCTCTCTCTCTCTCTTTTTCTCCCCCTCTTCCTTTCTCTTCCTCCCCCTCTCTCTCTCTCTCTCTCCCTCTCCCTCCCACTCCCTCTCCCTCTCCCTCTCTTCCCCTCTCTCTCTCCCTCCCTCCTTCTCTCCCGGTTCCCACCGCTCAGGGGCTGCTGGTCAGAACAAGCAGCACTCAATCACCAAGAACACGGCCAAGCTGGACCGGGAGACCGAGGAGCTGCACCACGACCGTGTGACCCTGGAGGTGGGCAAGGTCATCCAGCAGGGCCGGCAGAGCAAGGGGCTGACGCAGAAGGACCTGGCGACCGTGAGTGCGGTCCTCCTGCGGACTGTGGGGCGGGGCTCTGCCCGGGGGGGGGGGGGGGGCTGAGGGGCTGCAGCTGGGGAAGCCGCGTGAGGCTGAGTGACCAGGGCATTGGGAGCAGCTCCACTGAGGCCCTCGACCCCTCGCCGTCTCGGAAGGCGGTGCCTGGCCCATGCACGTGTGTCCTGGTTCAGCAGCGTTTTCTTACCAAACTGACGCGTACGAAACACATTTTCTCTTTAGAAAATCAACGAAAAGCCGCAGGTCATCGCGGACTACGAGAGCGGACGGGCCATTCCTAACAACCAGGTTCTGGGCAAGATCGAGAGAGCCATCGGTGAGTGCCCCAGCCCACACCGGGGCGGCCAGGCGTGGGGGGGGTCAGGTGGGCAGGAAGCCCGGCTTTAGGGACGCTCCCCTGAGAGCTGTGTGGTTTCCTTCCGGCATACCCCCCCCCCAAGTCTGGGGTCCTCGTGCTCCTCCCTGCCATCCTCAGGGGTGTGGGCCTGAGCCGGGCATGAAGCTCCGTCCGGGGGCGGGAAGGGGTGTCTGCTCTGGGTTGAGGTGCCCGCAGCCGAGAGCCCAGCCGGAGTGGGGCTGCCGTCCCCGGGTCCCTCTCCCTCCCTCCCGCTCCGCCTCTGGCTGTGGGGAGGGGAGCAGTGCTCATGGCCAGAGGGGCCTGCTGCCCCTTGTGGACGCGGTGGGAAGGCGGGGGCTGCTCTGTCTCTGAATCTCCCGGGGAGCTGCAAGGTCAGTGGTCCGATGCTCCTTCAGGACTCAAGCTCCGGGGGAAGGACATTGGGAAGCCGATCGAGAAGGGGCCCAGGGCGAAATGAGCACAAAGCCTCGAGGTCAGTGCGTTCCGGCTGATCATGCTGGTGGTTCCCCGGGACCCCCAGTGCCAGCGTGGCCTCCTCACGCGCCGAGCGGAACACGGGTGTCAGCCTGCCTGGGACCCCACCCAACTGCTGTAAACAAAGCCTTGCAAAGTGTTAGCTTCTCCTGTTGTGTTTCCTCCCTACCCCCCTCCTCAGCGAGGAGCCGACCGCCACCCTCTCCCCAGGCGTCGGCCACGTGGGCACGGCTCCCGGGGGACCGGAGGGGGCCTCACGGGGGTGCGGGGCAGGGCAAGCCCGGTCCGCAGAGGGAAGACGCCCGTCTGGCTGCTAGAGACGCTAATAAACTAATAAACATTCGCTGCTCTTCCTGCTGGTGTGAGCCTCTGTCCCACCGGCCCGCCCACCGCACCTCTGCTCCCTCCTGGCCCACGTGTGGGAGGGGGTTGTTTGCATGATGGGCTGGGGGGTGCCTGAGGGGCCGTGAATGTTAGTGGGTGTTGGCACCAGGCCCCGCCCTCCTGGCCCGAGTCCCTGGCCACTTGCTGCCCTATCCTGTGGGCCCAGAGGCCAGGGGAGCAGCCGGCCAGCACCCTTCCAGGCCCAGACGGGACATGCCTGGTGCCCCGGTTGGGAAGGCCTGGCCCTGTCTGTCGTCAGGGATGGTGTTCCCTCCCTCAGGGGAGCAGCTGTGCTGTCCGGGGACCGCTCAGTGGCGCGGGTGGTGGACACGGGGACCCTTCAGAGCAAGATGCACAGGCTGGCCGGAGTGTTTATTGTTGGGTGGGACTTCAGCCAGACACGTGGGTGGAGGCAGGGTGCAGGGTGAGGGGGGGCTCGGCAGTCCGGGGCCAGAGCTGACAGGATGGGCCTAGGGGCCGTTGGTGACGGACGCTGGCAGGGTGACTTGATCCTGGAAGGGGAGGAGCCTGGTGATGGCTGGGTGGCAGTGGGCACCACCAGCTGGGTGTGCCGAGGGGTTCCTGCCTCACTGCTCCGCTCTCCGGGGTCCAGCGGCTCCCCCACCCGCCTGCCCGCCCCACCCGGGCCCTACCGTGTCGAAGAGAATGTTGTCAAAGCCGGGGGCCGCGGCCACCGTCCTGTCCCTGCAGGGGCAGCCCCCCTTCCGCAGCCATTGCCACCCCGTGAGTCCAAGCAGCACCAGGAGCACGAGCAGGGCAATGCCAACTGCGCCGGGCACCGCGGCCACCGCCGAGCCCCCTGTGGGCGCGGGGCACAGGAGCTGGGACCGCATCCTCCCTGACAACCCCACTCCCAAGCCAAGCACGGTGCCTGGGGACCCCGCCTGCTCCCCCTCGGGCTCCGGTCCCTGCTTGAGACGGGGGACAGCAGGCATGGCCCCAGGCTAGACCACACTTGGGATCAGGGGTCCGGGGAGGGGACAGCAGGCAGATGGGGACAGTGGAGGCCAGCTGTGGTGGCTCTCCTGGCCTCAGGCAGCCACGGGCCAGGAGCTGCTAAACCGCTGATCCCAGACCCGGAGCAGGGCTGGCCAGCCCGGGCAGGGCTTACCCTGGCTGGGCACAGGCCGCTGGCAGCGCTGCCCAGGCAGATACGCGACGTCGTCCAGGGCAATGGGCCCCAGGGCTGGCTGGCCGCCCAGAGTGGCCTCAAACACAATCTGACCGGGGGGGGGGGGGGGGTTAGCCGTGTGGGCCCCGGAAGCAGGCCCCGCCTCAGCCCCAGGCCTCCCCTCGGAGCGCCAGCCTCACCTGGAACTCCTCCACACTGGCCACCTCCACCTGGCCTTCCAGCCACTGGTGCCGCCGGCGCCCGCCCGCGCCCCACACGGCCAGCTGGCCCCGTGCACTGCTCAGGAGCACCCTCAGCTCGCCCTTGTCTGAGGGTGTGGCCAGCGTGGTTCAGGCCGGTGCAGGCTCCGCCACCTCCACCCCCCTCGCCCGCCCGCCGGCCGGCCGACTCACAGAAGTGCTCAGGGAAGCCCATGTGGTACCAGAAGCGGAGGCAGGAGGCCTGGGTCGGGGGCAGGGGCTGGCTGCGCAGCCAGGCTGCCCGGCCCCCCGGCCCTAGCACACCTGTCTCAAAGAGAGCAAAGTGGCCTGGGGACGAGAGAGAGAGGGATGCCCCAGTGATCGGTGGAGCTGACCCCTGCACAGAGGCCTCGGACCCTGAGGGAGCCTGGCTGGGCGGGGCTGCTGGCCTTGGGGGGGTGGGCGGTGCCCTGGGTGTGTGTGGCTCTGGGGCTTTCTGACTCAGACCCACCTGCGGCGGTGCCCAGGGTGTGGTCCACGGGGGGCTGGGGGTACCGGGAGGGTGTGGATCCACTGCTCCAGTCCCAGCTGTACCCTCCCAGGCCGGGCCAGGACAGGTGGCTCCAGCCACACAGGCCTGTCTCAAAGTCACAGGAAGCTGCAAGGGACCCGGGCACTGAGTGTCTGCCCCGCCCCCGTTCCTGGGCAGCAGCGCTGCTGGGACACCCGGCAGCCCGGCGGGCGCCCACCTGGCGGAGGGCAGGGCCCGTCCTGGAGCAGCAGGTCGTCCAGCGCCACGTAGGAGTGCTCCACGCCAGCGGCCACGGCCTCGAACACCACCTGGGCGGCACGGAGTGAGGCAGCGCCACGCCTGGCCGACGGCCCTCGGCAGGAAGGACCCGCCCCGGGCGGGCGCTCACCCTCCACGCCCGCTGTGCCTGCACGTCCACTCCGCCCAGGCGCCAGGCCGGCCCTCCACGCTCACGGATGGTCAGCACCTGGTGCCGCTCTGCCTCCTCCACGCGGACCTGCAGGGCACCTGCCCCCAGGCCGCCCGGTCAGCAGGGGGCAACGCCTCCGAGCCCAAAGCGGTGGCCTGCCAGGGCCGGGGTGCCTGGACCGCCGCCGCCTCACCTGGGTTCCGGAGGCTCAGGTGGTACCAAAAGGTCAGGCAGGCGGGTTGGGCCAGGGGCCGGTGCTCCGCCCAAGTCAGAGAGGCCACGTGGCCGCTGGGCAGGGCCCGTGGGCTCGTGTCCACGATCATGTAGTGCCCTGGGTGAGGGTGCCAGCTGGAGCCTGCCGCCCGCCCCGCCCTCCGCCTCCCCCGCAGCCCCTCTGCCCAGCCAGGCCGCACCATGAGCCGTCTCTGTAGTGTGGTCGGCCCCGGGGCCCCAGGCGTGGCCCGTGGCGCTGGCCCGGCGCGTCCAGCGGTCCCCGGTGGAGAAGCTGCAGGCCGAGTCCTCGAAGGAGCAGCGCTCGGGGGCCCAGCAGGGCCCGGGCCGCAGGGCCACGTCGTCCAGCGCCATGGATCCCAGGAAGCCGTCCCGCAGGCCCTGGAACAGCAGCTGGGGGCGAGGGTGTCAGTGCCGGGCCCTGCCCTGCCCTCGCCCCAGGAGCTGCCCTCACCTGGTACTGGGCGCCCCGGTCCGGCTGGTGGTCCAGAGTGGCCCAGGCCTCGAGCCAGCGGTTGCCGTGGGTGCCAGACCGTGACCACAGGTGGGTGTCCTTCCCGCCCTGCCTCAGCACCAGGCGCAGCGTCCCTGAGGGGCGAGTGACACGGGAGGGGACAGTCCCCCCACCCCCACCCCCCACCCCCCTGCCAGCTCCCAGCTCCTCCGGAACCTGGGCACCGGAGCCGCCAGCCCCTCGGCGTGGCACTCACCGATCTGGGGCCCGTGGAGGTGGTACCAGAAGGACAGGCACTCCTGAGGGGCTGCCGGCGTCTGGGGCTGGGTGAGCAGGTGGGCACCAGGGCCCCGGGCCGGCGGGTCCGTGGGGTCCAGGAGCATGAAGTAGCCTGCGGGCGGGGAGTGGACAGGCTGAGCGCACCCACTCCCAGAGGCTGCTCCCCGCCCACGCCTCGAGCCCTCCCAGGCCTGGGCACTGCCCCCAGGCCGGGTGCCCCACCTACCTTTGCCCGTGGTGTGGTCGTACCCAGGCCCGCGGCTCTCCACCCGGTGCCAGTGGGCGTCGGTGAGGTGGCCCGTGTGCCAGCCGCACGTGTGCCGCTCGAAGTTACAGGAGATCTCTGGGGGGGCGGGGGGTCAGCACCCCCCCCCCCCCGCACCCCCGTTTCCCTCCCGAGACCGGGCAGCTGGGAGGCGTGCCCTTGGGTGGGTCTCTGGGGTCCCTACGGTGGTCTGGGGGAGGAGGGGGACAGGCTTGGTGTGGAGCGGGTGGGGGGACCTGTGTCTGTCGCGGTGGCCAGGGCGGGGCTGCAGTCCTTCAGGGTCAGGCTGTCCACCCCGGCGGCCTGCTGGCCAGGGCCTTCCCAGTCCACGAGGCCAACAAACTCCAGCTTCATGGGGCACGAGGGAGGCTGTTAGGTCCAGGTAGTTCCAGCACCCCCCCCCGCACCCCCCACCCGGCTGCCCCCCACCCGGCTATACCGTCAACTGGCTGACCCCTACCCAGCTGACCCCCCCAACCTAGCTGCACCCCCACCTGGCTGCCAGCTGCCTCCCACTGGCTGCCCCCCACCCGGCTGCCCCCCCACCTAACTATCCCCCACCCTGCTGCCCCCCCACCCGGCTGCCAGCTGCCCCCCCCGGATGCCCCCACACCCGGCTGCCCCCCACCTAACTACCCCCCACCTGGCTGCCAGCTGCCCCCCCCCCAGCTGCCCCCACACCCGGCTGCCCCCACCTGGAAAGGCCGGCGGCGTTGCCCCAGGGGGACTGTGTCCCGCTTCCAGGCGCCGGGGCTGCTCCGGGCCTCCCACACCAGCTCCCGGGCACTGCCCTCCACCACCAACAGCGCCAAGAAGCCTGGCCAAGGGGCAGCAGGGTCAGCTGCCCGCCCCCTCCTGCAGGGCCCACCTCCCAGCTCCGCCCCCAGGCGGGGAGCAGGACCTTGGGGGTGGCTCTGAAGGAAGTAGGCCATGTGGAGCGCGCAGTGGGGGCCGGAGGGGCCCAGGGGGGGCGTGAGGGCCCTGGCCGCTGCCGTCCGCTGTCCCCAGGCCCCCTGCAGGGACAGGAAGTGCCCTAAGGGAGAGTGAGGCCTTAGAGGGACACCTTCCAGGGACCCCAGCCCTGGAGCCCCAGCAGAGGCAGAGCAGGGCCTGTGGTACAGTTGGCGGGCAGAGGCTCCGGGCTGCCCCGGGGGTGGATGGGGGGCTCACCAGCTGCAGCCCCGCTGGCGTCCGTGCCGGGGCCCCTGCCCTCCTCCGCCCGGAGGCGCCCCCACTGCAGCCGCCCCACGCTGGCATCCTCCCAGCCCCCGGCGGCAGGGGTCTCAAAGTCTGTGGAGCCTGTGACAGCGGGCGCTGAGTGCTGGGCGCCCCTGGCCCGGGAGGGCCCAGAGGGGGAGCCCCCCGCTCCCCCCGGCTCACCGCACTCCTGCTCGTCCTCGCCGCCCTCGCACTGGGGCCGGAAGTCACACAGCTGCTCGGGGGGCACACACCGGTTTCCACAGAGGAGGTGTCCAGGCTCACAGGGCCCCTGGGGCTGCAGAGCAACAGGCCAGGGCCTGGGGGCCAGGGGCCAGGGCCCCGAGGGCGGGCGGGGCGCCTCTGTGGGTAGCACAGGATGGGGTCAGGGGCGAGGGGGCGGTGCCTGCCTGCTGGGGCGGGGGTCAGGGGCTCAGCAGCTCACCCGGGGCTGGTGTGCAGCCCTCAGAGAGGATGAGGTCGTCCAGGCCCACGACGCCCCCCGGGCCCGTGTGCCCCGCCAGGAGGATCTGCGGGCACAGCAGGCTCGGGGCAGCCGGTCTGTGTGCTGCCCGGGCTGCTCCCGAGCCTCTCCCCACTGTCCCACACGTGTCCGTGTCCCCAAAGCTCCCCACGGCTTCCCTCCTGCAGCCACACACAAACCACGCTGCCCGGGGCCGCCCGCCCCCGCCCCCTCACCCGGAAGCTGTGTTCGCTCTGGATGTCCACTCGGTCTCGGACCCAGGCGTCCCCCAGCTCCCCGTGGCGGCAGCGCAGCAGGACGGGGCCCCGGGGGGCCTGGGGGCCCTGAGCCTGCAGGTACAGCCGGAAGCGGCCGGCCGGGGACCCGTGCAGGTGGAGGTAGAGGACGAGCTGGAGGGGACAGGACAGTCAGGGAGCCGCTCCAGCCCCAGCCGGTCAGGCAGCCCCGTCCCGCCCGCCGCACCCACCGAGCAGTTGAGGGGGCCTGAGGCCTGGAGCTCGGGGCCGTAGAGAAGAGCAGGGGCGTGGGGCTCGGCCACGGACACCAGGAAATAGCCTGGGGAGAGAGCGGGGTGGGCGGCGGGGTGGCTGTGGCGGGTGGGGGACTGGGTGCGTGCGGCCTGGGGTCGCGGGTGTGCAGCCCGGGTCGCCAGGCTGGGCCGGGCTTCCCCGGGGCCTCACCCCGTGGGCTGTTGCGGCTGTGGTCTCGGCGCGGCCAGGCGGGGCGCTCGGGGACCCTGGCGCTGTGGTTCCGGGTCCAGCCCTCCGCGCGGCGCCACAGGCCCAGGCCGGTCTCGAAGTCGGTGGGTATGTGGCGGCCTGGGGCGAAGGGCTCAGGCCTGAGCAGGGCCCCCCGCCCTGGGCCTCCCCGTGGTGCAGCGGCTCCCCCCGCCCCCCTCCCCGTACCCTCAGAGCAGGGGCTCCTTCCCGCCCCCGCCCCGCCCCCGCCCTCAGAGCGGGAGCCGGCTCACTGCATCGGGGCGTGTCCTCGTCTGAGCCGTCCCCGCAGTCGTCCTCCCCGTCGCACACCTGGTGGGGCTCCACGCAGGCCCGGTTCTGGCAGCGGTCATGCCCCGGCGGGCAGCTGGCCTGGGGGGCTGGGATGGGGGACGGATAACCATCACCAGGCCCCAAACACTGGGCAGGGCAGCTGGGGGAGGGGCCCCAGACTGTCTGAGCCGGGAGTGACCAGGGGGCCCCGCAGCCCCCCGGCCCCCGGCGCGGGCACTTACGGGGCAGCCCACAGCCCCAGAAGGTCACGTCGTCCACGGCCACAGCCCCCCTGTGGGTGGCGTTGCGGGTGGCAGAGAAGGTCACCTGAGGAGCAGGGTCCTTAGGCTCAGTCAGGGCTCAGACTCGCCCGCTGCCCCCACCATCCCAGCTGCCCAGCTCACCCAGAAGTCGCCCCGGACGCGGCCGGGGGCCACCACCAGCTCCTGCCAGCCGGCGCCCCAGGGCCCCGAGCTCTGCCACAGGGCCAGTGTCTCGGTGCCATGCGTCAGCTCCAGCCGCAGCTCAGCCACGTCTGTCACGGGTCACAGGCAGCTGAGCCCGGGCCTCCCGCCTGCGGGCTGTGCCCTGCCTGGGCCTCCTGCCCTGCCTGGGCGGCCCTTCCACCTTCTTTCTTCTCTCTCTTAAATATATTTTCTATGGACTTCAGAGAGGAAGGGAGCGGCAGACAGATTCAGTGACCAGCCGCCTCCTGCACTGGGGTTCGAGCCTGCAACCTGGGCCTGTGCCCTGACCTAATCCAACTGTGACCTCCTGGTTCATAGGTCGATGCTCACCCCTGAGCCTCGGGGCCTGGCCACCCTCCATTTCCTGCAGCAGCAGCTGTCTTCCCTCTCCCCGCTGGGCACCCCCCGCCGCGGGGCTGGCACACACCTGCGGAGGCCGCCTGGTACCAGAGCCGCAGCTCACAGGTGGGGGCCGCCTCCCGCAGGACGGGGGAGCGCAGGGCTGCCACGGACGGCTCTTTCCCGCGATGCGTGCCCACAGCCACGTACCAGCCTGGACGGCAGAGAGGTTTGAAGACGGGGCGGGCACCAAGGAGGGGGGCCTGGGCACCCACCGCGGGGCTCACCTAGGTCAGTGCCCAGAGTGTGGTCTGTGCGCGGCCCGGGGCCCCCCAGCGTGGCCCCCGCCCGGTCCCGGAGCCAGCGGCACCCTGAGGTGCTGATGTCCCGCCAGCCACAGGCGTCCTGCTCGAAGCTGCAGGCGAAGGGGGCGCTAGGGGCGGGTGAGGCCCCGTGGTAACCTGGGACAGCAGGGGTGGGGTCAGGGGAGTGGCCCTCGGGGCTGGCCGGCCCTGCCCCGCTGCCGCCCGCCGGCCTGCTCACCACACTGCGTCTCATCGGAGCAGTCCCTGCAGTCGCACACGAAGTTGCACAGGGTGTGCTGGGGGGCCCAGCAGTGGTTGGGGACCCAGGCCCCGCTGGGGGACCCTGCTGCCAGCAGACAGACAGGGGGCTAGCAGGAGCCCCCATCCTGCACGCCTGCCTGGGATGGTCCCAGGTCCCCGGACCCTCAGACCTGGGCAGCCCAGCTCTGGGTTCCGGGCCAGGAGGTCAGAGAGAGGGGCTGGGTCTGCAGCTGGGGGCTCCCCACCACGGCCGAGCTGGCCTCAGAGGCGGGCTGCCGGGGACCAGGGGCCCCATGTGGAACAGCCCCTGGGAGGGAAGCGGAAGCCCGGGAGGGAGGGTACCCCCAAGGGGTGTCAGTGGTGACCCAGACCCCCTCAGGTTCCAGAAGAGGGGTGTGCTGCCAGGGCCTGGGGGAGCGCAGCGGGCAATCCGAAGGCCCACGGGCTCCCTCTGGGTCCCACCCAGGGGCCTGGCTCCCGAGGCCCCAGCCAGCTCCACTTCAGGAGCCGAGCCCAGGACTCACCCAGGAGCAGGACCAGGGCAGGAAGGAGGCGGCTGGGTGGCAGCATGGCCGACGGAGGAAAGCGGACTGGGGGCCGTGTGCTCAGTTATCCCCTCGGCCCCACTGCTGACTCCGCTCTAATGGAGGGGCCCCTTGGCCTGCCTCTCCCTGCCCCACGAGGGCAAATGTCCGGTCGTAAACGGTGCAGGAGGGGCCCCTGGGCGCGTCAGCCCCGCCTTGTCCAGCAACTCGGACGGAGGTCTGGCCCTGCCCGTCACACCCACGCCGCTCAGCCCTGCCCGGTGAGGCCCCGCGGAGTGGCTCCAGGCAGCTGGGGCTGCAACCTCCTCCAAGCTCCGTCCCCGCCCTGGCCGGGCACCAACACCTGTGACCCCTTGGAGGAGGGCCGGGGGCCGGCGCCATCACGCAGCCCACGGGCTGTTCCTCACTCACTCCTAAATAACCACTTATTTTCATGTTTTTATTGATCTCAGAGAGGAAGGGGGCGGGGACAGAGAACCCTCCATGATGAGAGAATCGGGTCGGCAGCCTCTTGCACGTCCCCCTGAGGATGGAGCCTGCAACCTGGCATGTGCCCCGACCAGGAACGGAACCGTGACCTCCTGGCTCATAGGCTGACGCTCAGCCCGAGCCCCGCTGGCCGGGCGCTAACCATTTATTTATGGACAACTGTGCTGAGCAGCGTGGCCGGCACTGGGGCCTGGTGCTCTCGGCAGACCGTGGAACTCTCTGACCCTCACCAGCACGGGGTGGGAGCTGGGCTCAGCCTGCAAGACTCTGACCTCACAACTGCCTGCCTCACCCACACAGGTGGTGGCACTGCACCTGCCTGGCGGCTGCCTGAGCTCAGAAAGCTTGACCAAGGGTCGCAGCCCCAGGGCAGGCCACCCTCAGCGAGCCGAGGGCAGCTGTGCCTCAGGGCCCTGGCGCTGCCCTCCGTGCCTGGTGGCCCCCACAGCCCTGCCCTGGGGAGAGGAGAGGGGCTCCCAGCGCCATGTCGGCCACTCTGCCCGTTCACCTCAGCTAGGGCCGGGGCGGAGCAGGGAGTCACACGCCACTCTCACGCGTGACCTGGTTGGCCGGACACACAGGACTGAGATCAGCTGCGGGATGGTGGCCACAGGTGCCCTTCTGCCCGTGTGCTGGCTCGGGCACTCCCAATCCAGGCCCCGCTCCTTTCGCAACGGCTGGGGGCCTCGTCCCCGATGTCCTTGGGACAGCCACGAGGAGGAGCAATTAGGCCATAAAGGGGGACAGAGCAGGGGGGGCTCCAAAGAGCTGAGTGTGCACTGCCACTCCCTGGGCCCGGAGGGGAGCCAGGCCGGGCAGCCGGGTGGGGACCCGCTGCCACCGCCCACTCCAGTCAGGGTCACGGGCCCAGAGCAGTGGAGAAGTCGAGGCACAAAGCTTCCGGGCGGGCTGGGTCAGTGCTTTTATTCCTGCGGCGAGGTAACCCGGTCCTGGGGCCAGGCTGGCGTCCGTCTCCGAGGCCTGGGCAGGGGGCACACGCCAGGGGCAGCCCAGCCCTCAGAGGGCTTCCAGGGCAGAGTGGGGGGGGAGGGGGCGGGGCTCAGTAGCCGTCGTCTGACCAGGTAACTTCGTAGTCCGGGTACCTGGCTTTGATCTTCTCGGTGGAGATGGAGTGCTGGGCGCGGCCGAACCCCTGAGGAAAGAAGGCGCCTCACAGCCGGGGTCCTGGCTCTGGGGGTCCAGTGAGCAGTGACACCCGGGAGCCAGCGCAGGGCCGGGCCCCAGGGCGGAGCCGAGGGCCATCATTCCCAACCACCCAAGGAGCCCGTTGGCAGGAAGGTGACCACCAGGGTGAACAGATCTCTCGCTGAAGCCCAGGCTATTCTAGGCGCCAAGAGAATGCCCTGCTGGCCTGGTGTGTGTGTGGGGGCCTCTGGGTGACACCCCGATACTGAGGCCTCAGGGACAGCCCAGCCAGGCCTCTCTTTATAGGAAAGTATATATATTTATTGATTTCAGAGAGGAAGGGAGAGGGAGACAGAAACACCAATGATGAGACAGAATCATTGATGGGCTGCTTCCTGCACGAACCCCCTCTGGGGACTGGGAATCGAACCGTGACCTCCTGGTTCCTAGGTCGATGCTCAACCACTGAGCCACACGGGCCGGGGCCAAATAGATTTCTTGGGGCTGGAACAAGCCCGCTGTGTTGAGGGGCAGCAGTGGCCTCCCACCCACCCTAGGTCCCGTGGGACGGGGATGCTGGGGACTCCAGTGAGCTCCGCAGTGGCGCGCAGGGGGTTCAGGGAGGGGCGCAGGAGGTGCGGTGCAGGCGCAGGGGTTGCGGGGAGGTGCGCAGGGGGTGCGGGGCGGGCGCAGGGGACGCGGGGCGGGGCGCAGGGGTGCGGGGCGGGCGCAGGGGGTGCGGGGCGGGGCGCAGGGGGGCGGGGCGCAGGGGGTGCGGGACGGGGCGCAGGGGGTGCGGGGCGGGCGCAGGGGGTGCGGGCGGCGCGCAGGGGACGCGGGCTCACCACGGAGTGGCCGTACACGTGGATCTTCTTGTCCTGGCTCTGGTGGGAGATCCGCCCGCCGCCCAGGCACTCACAGCCATAGCCTTTCTGCTGCATCTCGCCCGACACCTTGTCGAAGATGTCAGCTGGGGGGGGGGGCAGCCCTCAGCCTGGCGCCGGGCACCAGGGGCCTGAGCCCCAGCGGAGCAGCTGACCTCCCGGAGGGGCCCCCAGGCTGGGCGGGGCGCCGGGAAGAGGAGAGAGGGGCCCCAGGACCCCAGACCCGCGCGGGACCCCGCCCCGGAGCCCTTGGCCCCGCCCACCGGCGCCAGGCCCCGCCCACCGGCGCCAGGCCCCGCCCACCGGCGCCAGGCCCCGCCCACCGGCGCCAGGCCCCGCCCGAGCGCCGCGGCCCCGCCCGCCCTCACCGTGGTACTCGGCCCACTTGTAGCCGCGCACGATCTCCTTGCTCTGCCCCGCCGGCGCCGCGTGGACGCGGATCAGCACGTACTTGAAGACGCCGTCGGGATCGATGTCCACATCGGGGATCTGGTCGAGGTCCGGCGCCGCCATGTTCCCGGGAACGCGCCCGCCCTGCGGCCCGCGCCCTACCCCTGCGCCACGCCGGGCTGCGTCGCAGCGCGGGAGGCGGGCTCTGAGCGGCCGCGGCCAATCCCGCGGGGTGTGCAGCCCGGCCCTTACACTCAGCCAATCATGGGGCCCGGCCGTAGCACCGACTGGCCAATCGCATTCCAGCTCCTTGCAGCCCTGGGGCCACGCGGGTCCCTCTTAAAGGGGAAAGAGGCACCCTGGTGGGTGGCGGTTGAAACCAGCAGTGGGCCCCGGGGCGGCGTGGCTCAGGGGTTGAGCGTGGACTGGGAGCCAGAGGGTCACGGTGCCACTCCTGGCCAGGGCACAGGCCTGGGCTGCGGGCTCCATCCCCGGCTCCGGTTCCGGGGGTGCAGGAGGCAGCCGATCTCTGATTCTCGCTTATCACGGGTCTATCTGTACCTCCCCCTTCCTCTCTGAAATCAATTCGAATATTAATTAAATCCCCCAGGGGCGGGCAACTTCCTGTCCACCGGGCCACGGGCTGGTGCCAGGCCCCTCTGGAGGGGTTTGGGCGGCCCTTAGGCCAGAGGGACGCACCCGGCTCTGACAGCCTCCGGCCCCCGAGTCCGAGGGCCGCCCGCCCGGCCCGCCCGGCCGCCCCCGCCCCGCAGAACGAGGCCGCAGCGGTTGCATTCGAGTGGTTTTACTTCGGAAAGCGCTCGCCCCTGGAAACAGTCCCGCCCCAGGTTCTCCCTGCCCCGCCGGCCGGAGGCAGAGGCCTGGGAGCGGGCTGCACGGAGGTCCTATGTGGGGGGCGCGGGGCCGAGGGGCGCCGGCCGTGGGGGAAGGAGGCGGGGGGCGCGGTCGGGGCGGGAGCGGGCGGACGTTCCCAATTTATCGACTCCCCTCGCAGCCCATGGGGAGCTCCGGGAGGGCCCCTGCGGGTGCCCGGCCCCCCTCTCCGGGTCACGTGTGGCCCATGGAGCCTGGGCCGGAGCCAGGATGCAGTCCTGGGGGGACCGGAGGCGGGGCCGGGCCGCTAGCCTCCCGTTTGCAGCTGCAACACGAGACACGGCCACGCGGGAAGCCGGTGGGTGTGCGTGACGTCTCCACCCCCGCGGACCCTGCCCTCACCTCAGCTCCCCCCGCCCAGGCTCCTCCGCCCCGCTCCCAGCCCGGAGGCCGGGGCTCCAGGCTCCTGCGCCCGCGGGGGAGCCCTTCCGCTCCGCCCTCCGCACCTGTTTCCTGCCTGCAGGGAGGTGAGCGCCTCGCCGTGGGCCATCCGGCCGGTGCGGCGGCGGCCTGACTCATGCCCAGCAGGTCTCAGCTCCGGGCCAGCGCCCCCCTGCCCCCTCTGCCCCAACTCTCACACCCTCTGCTCTCCCTGCCGGCCCTCCTCCCCGCCGGCTGGGTGTCTGGCACCTGGACGGGAGACCTCCCCGCACCCCTCCTCCTGCCGCCCGCCAGCGCCTCCTGCAGGGCCCGCCCGGGCAGTCTGTGTGCGGGAGGAGGCGGGTAGCGCTGGGGAAAAAAGTGCGGGCTGGGGGTGAGGGTGGCTGGCTGCGCCCCTCCACCCGGACGCAGGGCGCAGCGCAGTCCGCAGGAGGCGGGTGGGGCGTGTTAAATGGGGCGGGGCCAGGCTTTGGAGACTTGGGGAGGTTCCAGGGAGACCCCGCGGATGACCGGTCCTCAGGCGGGACCTGCGGGGTGGGGTCTGCGGCAGGGACCCCTCCGCTTGAAGGCAGGGCCCGGCGGTCCTCAAGCCCACCCCGCCTCCCAGCGGGGAGCACCAAGCGGCCAAGGACCGGCCCTGGGGAGGCCCGCTGGGGAGCTGGAGAGGGGGGAAGAGGAGAAGGGGGAGCCGGAGAGGGGGAGCTGGAGAGGGGGAGCCGGAGAGGGGGGAGAGGAGAAGGGGGAGCCGGAGAGGGGGGAGCCGGAGAGGGGGAGCCGGAGAGGTAGGAGCCGAAGAGGGGGAGCCGGCGAAGGGGGAGCTGGCGAGGGGGGAGCCGGAGAGGGGGAGTCGGAGACGGGGAGAGGAGAAGAGGGAGCCGGAGAGGGGGAGCTGGAGAGGGGGGAGAGAGGAGGAGCTGGAGAGGGGGAGCCGGAGAGGGGGAGTCGGAGAGGGGGGAGAGGAGAGGGGGAGCCGGGAGGGGGAGCTGGCGAGGGTGGAGCTGGAGACGGGGAGCCGGAGAGGGGGAGCTGGGGAGGGGGAGCCGGTAACGGGGAGCCGGAAAAGGGGGGAGCCGGACGGGACTGGGGGCGGGGGTCGCAGGAGGGAGGTGGGGAAGGCGGGCTTGCAGAGGACGCAATAGGGGGTCCCTGGCGGAGCTCCAGGTGAACAAGGCGGGGACTGGGCGAATCTGAAGCGGGACCCCGAAGCCGGAGCGGGTGTGAATGAACGGAGGTGGGCCTGTGTGGGCGGGGCGGGGCCTCAGTGAGTGGGCGGGGTCAGGGGCGGGCCTGTATGGCTGTCCAGGGCCCAGGCGCCCGGCCTCACATGATGTCGTCCAGCAGGTTGGCGCTGGCCACCCAGTCCAGAGCGCGCGGCTCCGAGGCGGCCATGATCATGCACATGAAGGGGCGGCCGGTGCGCCGGTCCGTGGGGTAGATGGTGGTGGGCGTGAAGCGCCGGTTGTCCTCCACGAACTCGCAGAGCTGCTCGTAGACGCGCGGGAACTCGTGGCGCAGGAAGACGCCGCGCAGGCGCAGCTCGCGCTGGATGTGGATGAAGGCCACCTCGCGCGCGCGCCGGCCCGCCTCGCCCTCCTGGTCCAGGCCCGCCGTGCCGGGCGGCGGCGTCAGGATCAGCGTCTCCATGTCGGGCTCCGGCCCCCGCGCCGGGGCGGGCCGCGCGGGGCTGCCGGCCGCCAGCGCCACCTTGGCGAACTTGCGCACCGTGGGCCCGGGGCTCCGCGGCGCGGGCGCGGGCCTGGCGGGGGCACCGCCGGGCGCGGTGGCGCCGGGGCCCACGGCCACAGACACGCTGAGCAGGAAGCACTCGGCCGGCTCGTACAGGCGCCCGGCGGCCGCCAGCTCGCGCGCGTAGCCGCCCAGCGGCGCGGCGTGCGTGGCCAGCTCGCGCAGGGACAGGTAGGTGGGCGACAGCAGCAGCCCCTCGAGGCCGAAGCGCAGGAAGTTGTCGGCGGAGCCGGGGCTCGGGAAGCCGAGGAAGAGCACGCCGCGGCCGCGCGACAGGAAGCCCACGCGCGCGATGCGCGAGAAGGCGCGGTGCACCGGGCCGCTGTCGCGGCAGAACTGCAGCACGTGGCGGCACACGCTGCCCACGCGGCCGTACACGCAGCGCGCCTTGTGCGCGTCCCAGTCCTCGCGGCGGCACAGGCGCGAGCAGTAGTAGGTGTGGCAGCTGCGGCAGGACTTGAAGTAGAGGCACGCGTGGAACAGCGTCTCGGTGCGGCCGCAGCGCGCGTTGGAGCAGGTCATCAGGTCGTCCTCGTCCGCGCTGGGCTCGGGCGACTCGTCCGCCGCGGGCTCCGTGCCCGTGGGCTCCTCGGCGCTGCCGGGGGACGCGGGGGGCGAGCGCGGCGCCGGCGCGGGGACCCCGGAGCCCGCGGGCCGCAGGTCCAGCAGGTGGCGGAGTCGGCGGCCCAGGCCGTCGGCCGCGGGGTGGGCGGCGGGGCCGGCCAGGGGCCGGGAGTCGATCACCAGGTCGGTGATGAGCTCGTCCAGCTGCTCCAGGCTGCGCTGGCGCCCGGCGGCGGGGCCGGCGGGGGCGGCGGGCGGGGGCGGCCGGCGGCGGCCCGCGGGCGGCTCCCAGCCCCCGGCGGCCGGGCGCTCGGCGGCGCGGAGGTCGTTGTCGGTGATGGTGATCTCGGGGGTGACGTACCAGCTGCGCCCGGCGCCGTCCGCCCCGCGGCCCTTCTCCTGCAGCGACGTCTCGGACAGCGACAGCGCGGCGTAGCGCCGGGGCGACGTGGACAGGTTGACGACGACGGGCGCGCGCCGGCCCCCCGGGGAGGCGCCCCACGGCTCCCGCCCCAGCAGGTTCTCGTAGCTGCGGCCGCGGCCCGGCGGGTCCTCGCGGCGCGGCGCGGGCGCCAGGATGTTGTCCCAGGAGCGCGAGTGGTGGCGGCTGCCGGAGGCCAGGCGCGGCGGGCTGGCGCCGGTGCCCCCGTGCCAGGAGGCGAGCAGCGGGCCGGGCGCGGGGGGCGGCGCCGCCTGCAGGGTCCGGTACGGCCGCGGGCCCCAGTCGGCCCAGTCCCCCCAGTCGGCCCAGGCCGGGCCGCCGCGCGGGTGCGGGTACGTCCGCGCCAGGCCGTCGCGGTCCCGGTAGCGGCCCCAGTCCTCCGTGTAGAAGGGCCGGGCGGCCGGCTGGGCCTCCGCCGGCGGGAAGCAGGGGCCCCAGGGCGGGACGAAGGCGGGGGGCGCCTCTCCGTAGTAGGCGCCCGCGGGCGGCTCGTGGAAGGGGAAGGTGCGCGCCTCCCAGGCCAGGTAGCTGCCCCCGCGGCGCGGGCTGGGCCCCGCGGGCTCCTCGGGCCGGAAGGGCCGGGGGAAGTAGCCGTCGCAGGGCGGCCCCGGGCTGGCGGGGAAGCCGCCGGGGCGGCCCTCGGGCTCCTCGGTGTAGAAGAACTGGGAGGGGCCGGGCGGGGCGGCGAATCCCCGCCGCTCCCCGAGGTCGCGCGGCCCTGGGAGGAAGCCGTCGCAGAGCGGCGCGCCCCGGGGGTCCGGGCAGAAGGAGTCGCTGGGCGTGGGCGTGCGCGACAGCGCCAGGCGGCGGGGCCCGGGCACCGTGAGGCCGTGCAGGGGCGGCGCCGCGCGGGCCCAGGGGGTGGGCGGGGCGGGCCCGCAGGGCCGCGACCCCCGGGCGGCGTGCCGCAGCACCGCCTCGTCCGGCTTGATGTCCAGGCGGCAGCGCACGTGCGGGGCCGGCGCGGCCGGGGGCTCGGGCGGCGCGTAGCGGTCGGCGGCGGCGCACAGGGGCGCCATGCGGCCGGGGCCGCCCCGCTGCGGCTGCAGCTTGATGGGGTGCAGCTCGTTGGCGAGCGCGCGCCCCGCGGGGTACGGGGACTCCCGGCGCGGCGACCCCTCGGCCCGCGCCTCCCGGTGGGCCTCCCGGCCTCGGCGCGGCTGCACCGGCGGCGAGGCGGGCGCGGGCGCCAGGCCCGGGGGCTCGCGGGGCGCGCTCTTGGAGCGGGCGCGGCGCCGGGGCTCGCTGTCGCGGGGCCGGGCGCGCGGGGCCGGGGGCTCGGGCGGCGGCGCGGGGGCGCCCTCCATGGCCGCCCCGTCCAGCGCCTCCAGGAAGTCGAAGCTGCGGCAGTGGCGCTTGTTGAAAGGCGCGGGCGCCGCGGGCCGGGCCGCGGGGCGCTCACATGGCGGGCGCCGCGGCGAGGGCCCGGGGGCCGCCACCTTGATGTCCTGGTACACGGTCGACACCAGCAGGTCCGGCGGGTCCGTGCGAGTCATCTTAGCCGAGGTCGCCAGGCCGGCGGCCGCCGCTCACTCGGCCTCGCGGGGCTTTGGCCCTGGGGGCGGGGAGGAGACGCGGTCAGAGCGGCCCCTCCGCAGCCCGGTGTCCGCGGCCCCGCCGGGCGGTTCTGGCTTACCTGGGGCGCGGGGGGCGGAGCGGCCCTGGTGCGGGGCCTGGGCCCAGGCCGCGGGCGCGCGCTCCATGCCGGCCTCAGCCCTGCAGGAACCCGGCTGTCAGGCTCTAGCCCATCTTGTTGGCCTCTTCCTGATGGAGGACCGGGTGGCCGGCTAGAAAGGCGATGGATGCGGTGGTCAGCTGCTGGCTCGGTCAGACCCCTTTCCGGCCCCGGCTGTGGGAAGAGGGGGTGTTCCCTGGTGCCCATGGCGGAATGACAGCTCATTGGGGCCATCGCCCGCCGGTGACAGGAGTGCCCGCCCCTGGCCCAGTCACCGGCACAGCCTCCTGCTCGCCCGCCCGGAGGCGGCATGGAGCGCCCCACCCCCCAGCAGCAGGAGCTGCCTCACCGGACAGCTGGACGGTCCAGGCCTCAGTCCCAAGGCCCTGCCAGGTCCAGGATGGCCCTTAGGCTGAAGCCTGGCCTGTCCCACCCTGGACACTTGGCCCGGCCCGGCCCCAGTCATGCCCCCCAAGAGCGCACCTGCCCCGCCCCCCGCCCGCTCTCCTTTGCGGAAACTGCGGGCTCCAGCCTCAGGGTGGGTGGCACCCCCGGCGCACGGAGGCTTCAGGACAGGCGGCGAGTGACCCAGCTCTGCAGCGTGTGCCCAGAGCCTGAAGCCCAGGCTGGGGCCGGAGACCCCATGGGGGTGTGCGCCCTCTTCCCGGGAGGCAGCGGTGGTGGGCGAAGCTCCACCCCCTCCTCGGCTCTGGCGGGGACTCTCCCGCCGCGGCAGGAAGGCTCCATGGAAACCGGGGTTCCACCCCCGCAGTGCGGGCCGGGCCGGGGTCCACCCTCCGCACAGGCACCAGGCTCCGTGGGCCGCCGCGGGCTGTGCGCCGGGCCTGGCAGGCTGGGAGGGGCCCGGCTCTCATCCGGCCCCAGGCGTGGGCTCCGGCGAATGAGGACCTGTCAGACCCTCCGCCCCGGGGTGCGGGGCCTCCTGCCCGCCCCGGGGCTGCTCCCCTCGGCGTGCCGGCCCCCAGCCTCGCGCCCACCCAGCTCCGTCCGGCTGTAGGACCCCCTCACCCCCGTGTCCCCTCCCGACCTCCTTCCTGAGCTCAAAGTCAGGCCGCGATTGGGGGCCTGTGACAGGGGAGGCTCCGCCCAGGGAGGTGACAGCCCGGCCTGCGCTGCCGGGAGGACTGACTGCCCCCGCCTGGGATGGGCGGCTGACCCCCGGGGGTCCCGGCCTGACGACTCGGGGGCAGCCCCCACCCCCGGCCCCCAGCCCCCACCCGCGCCACCGAGCCGATGGCCAGCGAGGACCCTCATCCTCCCCACCTCCCGACACGGCTCCCGGGCAGCAGCCCCGACCTCTTACCTGCGCGCTGCTTGTCCCCCAACCCGCAGGTCGTGCAGGCCCTGGCCCGCCCGCCGCCCTCCACTCCGCGCCCCGCACCGGCACCCGCACCGCGGCCCCGGCAGAAGCTTCCAGGCAGCGAGCGGAGGCCGGCGGCTCGGTGCTGCCCCCGCTGGTGGCCGGTGGCGTTGCACTTAAAGGGGCCGCGCCTTGGGCCTGGGACCCACTTGGCCGCCGGCTGAGCACTGCTGTGCCCGCCAGTACCCACAAGGTGCAGACCTGGATTCTAGCCAGCTCCCGCCCGGCGGGACACGGGGGCAGAGCTCTGGCCAGGGGCCGGACACCCCAGCATCACTCCTGGAATTCACACTGGGTCGGCCCAGGAGGAGCAGATGGGCTGCCCTCGCCCTGCTGGTTCTGCTGCAGTGTGGAGGCGCCAAACTCCGCAGGCACCTGGGCCATATGGCCCCCAGCTGGACGGGGCCTGGAGCTTCCCTAGGATGCCAGCCTCTCCCAGGTCAGGAGGCCCCTGCTGCCCCACCGCCCCCACACCGCGCCCGGCAGGCAGGGGGTGTCCCTGCCCTGGGCGGGCCGGAAGGAGGCCCGATCCAGCACCCTACCTCCCCCCCACCCCAAAGATGCTGAGCCAGGGAACATTCTCGCTGGGAAGGAGCGGGGCCCTGGGCAATATATAAGCCACAACCCCACATTTGTGGGCGCCACAAGATGGGTGACCTGCCTGGCTTGCGTGGTTCAGTGGCTGGGTGTTGACCTGTGAACCAGGTCACGGTTTGATTTCTGATCAGGCACATGTCCAGGTTGTGGGCTCGACCCCCAGTGTGGGGTGTACAATGACTCATTGATTTTCTCTCCCTCTCTGAAATCAGTAAAAATGCATTAAAAAAGTGATTGATCTCTCAAGCTGTGCGAGTCCCTGTGAGTATCAGGTTGGTGCTTGCTCAGTGACTGCTATCCCACTGTCTCCCCCCCACCCCCCAAATTCCAGGTTCAAAAGTCGAGGGACAGAAATTGGGGGAAGGAAGGGTTACAGACTGGGAGGATGCCCTGGAGGGAGGGGCAGCTCCTGTATCAAAGCCGTTCCCATGGTAACTGTTGGGGTGGGTGGAGGCCAGTGGAGCAGGGACACAGCCTGCCCTCAGAGTTCAGCATCCGGTGTGTTCCTGGATGCAAGTGCCCAGCCCCGGCCCAGGAGGACGGGACAGACATGCAGACACCAGCCACGCTGGCTCACGGGACAGCACGTGGTTCTGGGGCTGGATTGGAGGCCTCCTACCCTAGAGCGGCCCCTTCTGGGAATCAGGGCTCCTTGGCCCAGAGGGGGGAGCCCAGGCCTCAGGGCCCTGCGGTGACCCAGGCAGAGGGGCCTGCAGGCCATCACAAGAGCCGCCCAGGAGTGGAGCAGAGCAGCAGGAAGCAGCACAGAGACAGCAGTAAAACAGGAGAGCTTTATGGTTGGGGCTGAGTGTGGAAGGAGAAAAGGAAATGAGTGAGGACGTTCTGGCTCCACTGGTGACCGCCGGCAGGTGTGACGCTGGACACCAGCCTGGGAGGACCCCAGGGACGTGCCGGCACCGCCCGGCGTCAGAGGCAGCGGTGCCCAGAGGCCGGGACACGGTGCGCAGCCCAGGGAGCCGAGCCAGGGAGCCGCGCTGCCCGCATGCGGGGGCCGGTGAGGAGCAGGTGTGACCAGGGCGCTCTGCCTTGTAAACAGCCTTGCCGGCCTCCTGGGCCTTCGTCCCTCCCTGAGAAGCAACAGGGCCGACGCCTCTGCCCACCCTCCGCGGGCGGCCGGCCGGCGCGTGGAGTGTGGGCACCGTGCCAGGTCTACAGCTCCTCGTAGTCCCCGCCCCCGCGGAGGTGGCCGCCGGGGGCCCCGCCCCCCAGGAAGGCCTCCAGCTCGTCCGCAGCCCTCTTGCCCCTGCGCGGCCTGCGCTCCTCGCGGCCCTCCTCGCGGTCCTTGGCCTTCTTGTGCTTGCTCCTCCTCTTGGCCGCCTTTTCTTCCTCCTGGGGGAGCACATGGCGTCACCGTGGGGCCCGGCGGAGCCCCCACCCGCACGCACCTGGGGGGGGTGTACCTCCTTGTCTTTCTTCTTCTTCTTCTTCTTCTCCTTGGAGGGAGGCCTGCCCTCCTTATCTGCGGAGGAAGGCGCGTCAGCTTCCCGCCAGCCGCCCCGCGCCCCCGCCTGCCTGCCTGCGGGACTGGTCCCTCAGGACCCGCACACTCCATCCAGGACAAGCCGGAAGGTCCCTAACGCAACTTTCTGGGACACGTCCCGGGTGACACTGCGCTGGGCCGAGCTCGGCGCACAAGGCGAGGATGGAGGGCGGGGACAGGCCCGGAGGCCACGCCCGCTGTCCGGGGGCTGCGCCCGCTCGCAGGGCCTTGGCAGCTCCCAGCAGCACCGCTAATGGCCTCCTGAGTGGGCAGAGCCCTCGGGCCTGTGCCCGGCCCAGGTCTGGGTTGTCATCAGAACCAGGCGGCACCCCAGGGCTGAACCCACAGCCCTGCTGCTCGGAGGCCCCCCAGGTGCAGGGGGACAGGCAGGCGGATCAGACAGGCCCCGGCTGGGCTCCGGGTGAGGCCGGCTACCTTCACTGCTGCTCGCCTTGTGGCCGGGCTCCTCCAGCCCCAGGCCAAAGAGGTCCAAGTCGTCCTTCACTCGGAAGGCGGGGGCCAGGGGCTTGGGCGGCGGGGGCGCCGGGGCAGGGCCCGTGTCCTCGTCCGTCACGTCGGAGAGATCCTCCCGCACGGGGAACTTGTCCTGGAGGAGCAGCAGGTGGGCGTGCAGTGAGCCTCTCCCTGTCCCGGGCGGTGACAGGCTCCCCGCGGGCCCACACCTGACCCCGGGGAGGGGACAGCGATGCCTGAGGGGGTGGCCGGGACGCGGCAGCCCCTGCACTGGCCGTGCCGGGCAGCCAGGCCTGGGCTCTGGCATCATGGTGAGGCTGGCATCATGGCGAGGCTGGCATCATGGTGAGGCTGCCCAGCGTCCGGAGCTCCGCCCTCCCTGCCGTCGGCCCCGGGTCCGGGTCCTCACCGCTCTCCGAGGCGGGTCGGAGTCGCTCTCAAAGTCGGGGTCGTCCATGACGAAGGACAACATCTGCGCGGCGATGGGCCCCTCGGCGTCACTCTCGGACGAGGCTGCCGGCTCGTCCGTCCCGCCGGGCCCCTGGGAGGAGCCCTCTGTTCGCCGGTGCGGCCTCGGGGCCTTTGTGGAGGGCCTTCGGGAGAAGGAAGCGGTCAGGGGCAGGTCTGTCCTCCCTCCGGGGGCTGCTCCCCTGGGGATCCCCACGTACTGTTTGGTCTCTGGCTCGGAGCACTTCTGGGGGATCAGGGCAGCAGCCTTGGGGGGTCCTGCTGCCTCCTCGTTGGAAAGAGGGATGTTCTCCCTGGAGACGGGGCCCGTGGGCAGCAGGGGCCTGCTGTGCGGCTGGTCTTCCAGGTCCACGTCGTCCTGGAAACCCGCCACCATCGGGTTCCCTCCAGGGGCCTCCCCATCGCTGCGAAGGAGGGCACAGAGGTCAGAGGTCGTGAGAGGGTCCTGGGTCCTGGAACCTCTGGCAGCCACAGGCTGGTCACTGAGGCGGGCTCCATGGTGAAGGGGAACACCTCTGGGCAGGCTCGGCTGCTCTGCGGCTCAGAGGCCGCAGAGGGAGGGAGGCGGGTCCCAGGAGGGCAGGGGGCTGCCCAGGAAGCAGAAGCCACAGGAGGGGCATCGTTCTCTGCGGGGTGTGGGCGGGGGCCGCAGGGCGTGTCCTGGTGCATTTCTCAGGTGCTTGGTGAGATGGGTGCTCGGGGCGGGCTCAGGAGGGAGGCCATGTGGGTGGGGCTGAGGGCAAGGCCGGCTGCTGCCTGAACAGGTGCCATCTAGGGCCAGGGCTGTGGCTCGCAGGCCTGGCACCACCCTTACCTGTCGCTGTCCGGAGGGGCCTCGGCCTCCACTGTCCGCTCTGCCTTCGGGGGGGCCACGTCGTCCAGGAAGCTGTGGTCCAGGCCGTCCCCAGGAACAAACTCCTCGACGGCCTGGACTTGCGCGGGGGCCTCTGCCGCAGGGACCGGATCTGCGCCCGTGGGGCCAGGACGCAAGCAGGGTTGGCCTGTGACTGGGCCGCCACACTGCCCACCCAGGAGGAAGGGGACCCGGTCCCAGTCTCGGGAGCTCACAGGGCCAGGGTGATGGTGCTATCAACACTGGGGCTGCCCACACCTGCCGAGGGGCCCCCTGGGGCCTACCTGGGGGGGGAGGGGCCACCTCGGCAGCTGGCGAGGTCCCAAACAGCCGGGAGATGATGCTGCGTCTCGGGGCTGGAGCGGGGGCCACGGGGGGTGCTGGGGGCGGCGGGGCCTCTGAGGGGGGTGGTGGGGAGGGGCAGGCGGAGGGGATGGGGAGGGGCAGCTGTGGGGCCGGCTGGGGCGTGCTGGGGCTGGAGCTCCCCGTGGACACGGCGCTCACAGGTACCACAGGTGACTGGGAGCCCGAGGACGGGCTCTGCCCGTTGGCCGCCAGCGGGGACGTGCGGCCGCGGCTCCGCGCCTCCATCATCTCCAGGAAGCTGGGGGACAGGCGCGAGTGAGGAAGCTGCCTCCCTGCCTCTCCCTCTTACTTCCCAGCAGCCTCGGAGCCCTGCCGTCAAGCAGAGCCTCCCCGGGGCAGAGGGCTGGGAGGAGACAGGCTCAGGGCAGCCTGGCCCTCCCACCCATGCCCCTGACCCTGCGTGCAGAGGACAGGAGTGGCACTGAGACAAGCCTGCTGCCTGCAGCTGGGGCCTGTGAGGACCAGGAGGGGCGTCCAGGCTGGTCCCCCTGCCCCCCTAGATTGGACTTCGGGGGTAGGAGTACGGCATGGCTAGGAGTGGAATCCAGCCTTTGGCCCTACAGCACAATGCTGGCTCAGTTCTCAGCCAGGCAAGTGCGCCCCCTTCCCCCACCAAGTCAGCTGACTTGCTGGAGGCACAGGCAGCTGAGCACAGGCAGGGCTAGGGCAGCACCCCCCGGAGCCTCTGCTGTCAGGGAGCAGGTCTCACTCCGCCCACGAGTCCTCCCGTCCCCTGGTCAAGGAGCTGAGGACCCTACCCTATGCTGGCCCGACCTGGAAGCCAAGCTCAGAACGGGCGCAACCTCAGCCAGCACACATCTCACTGAGGCCTCGGGCGGAACGCTGCCCGGCCAGCAGCACCTGGCAGCCACACCATGTGGTCAACAGGCCAGCTGCTGCGTGCCCATGCCCCCGAGCAGCCTTATCTGGTGCCCTAGTCCCGTCCTGCCCTCGGCCCAGAGGCACTGTAGGTCCCGTCAGGACACCTCCGAGGGCCCGGCCCCAACGAGCTCGGTGGGGAGGCCAGGAAGCTCCCCCCAGTCAGGCGGCTCCCACGTGAAATGTAACCTGCGTGTTCTAGACAAGGGCTACTGTACCCAACTATTCACTGTTGGCATTAATGACAGAGCCCTGACCCAGGGGCTGGGCACAGCAGCCCCCGCCCCCAGGGCCTGTGCTCAGCTCTGAGCACCTCCACCTGCACCTCGAAAGGGACTCGGGTGCTTGGACCACAGGTCACCCGGCCGATGGCCTGCGGGGCCGGCGGTGCTGCGCTTGTCTTGCGAACACTGACCCTACGCAGGCGGGTCCTGCCGGCCCGGCCCTGAGCCCTGAGCCCTGCCCGGCCCGGCTGCGTACATGCTGTAGTTCTGGTCCTCAGTCTCCTGCTGCACCGACAGCTCCTCCAGCGTGGCGTCGATGTCCAGCTGGTTTGTCTCCAGCTGCCGCAGCAGCGTCTCTCTCTGCAGGAAGGAAGGAACGCCTGAGGGACACGCAGTGGCAGTGACTGCCCCCTCCAGCCTCCTGGCCCCACTCGGCCGCCACCAATGAGCCAACAGCTGCCGAGCACGGGACAGAGACTTGGACGCTCACTTCCTCCAGTGAAACGGGGTTCCCTAGGGCACTCGGGTGACTATGACAATGCCAGTGCCAGGACAAAGCACCCAGACAGCCGTGTGGACAGGTGCTGCCTGTGCTGTGGCACCACGTGCTGAGGCCGCCAGCCGCTGGGTGCTGTGTGCGCGTCACACTTGGACAGGAAGGTGAAGGGCAGAGTGACACCAAGGGGTGGAAGAACAGGTGCCCGGCCACGCGGAGCAGCACCAGCCACCAGCCTGTGAGGCCCGCGATTCCTCCCCACGTGAGGGCGAGAGGAGAGGGAAGAGCTGGTCTCTGCGCGTCCCACAGCCTTTTGGAGAGAACGCAGCCAGCTGGCTTAGGGGTGCCAGGTCAGCACGCGGCTTCTGGAGCCCCCTCTCCTGCCCCAAAGTGACAGCTGCGTGTGGGCGGGACGGGAGTCCGAGTACGGACAAGGCCGTGTGTTTTGTTACGGCCGGACGGCTCTGGTTGACAAAAGCACAGAGATGGGAGGGGCCTGCACCGGGGAAGCGGAGTGAGGGGACAGACGTCGGCACCATTTACAGGCAATTCCCCTGCAAATCTAAAAACCACCCCAGACTACAGCTTTATGAGAGCACCCAGCTGGTGTGGCACTGGCAGTGGGCTGTACACCGCACAGCAGGGAGGGCCGAGCACCCCCGGCCGCCCTACAGCTACTGCTGAGGCTGGTCTCTAGGGTCGCTGTGGGCACCCACTGAAGGGGATGGGCACAAGGGGAGAGAAGCATGGCGCGGGGTCAGCGCCTGTCCACCAGGGGGAGGCGGGGGCTCACCTGCAGCTGCAGGAACGGGATGTTGAAGAACTTATGCAGGTACTTGAGGCCAAAGCTGTTCTTCATGGAGGACTCGGCGTAGCGGAAGTAGGAGGAGCCCGGCGGCCTGCTCGGAGGAGCGAGCGCTTGGTCCTGGCAGGCTGCACCTGGCCGGGCTGCCCTTTGCCGCCCACCCGACCCAGGTGGCCCTGGCCTAGACCTGAGCCTCGGAGATCCGCTTAGCCAGGTGCCTACAGGGTGTTGCCACGCTGGGTCCCCAGCCCCCCCGACCCCCACGGAGTCCACATCCCGCCCCGGCCAGCCCCTCCGCTCAGGCCCCAGCTCTCCTGCCAGGCCTCGGCGGCCCGTCACCAAACACCCACCGGTCCAGGCGGTCCATGAGGTCGCGCACGTCGTCGGGCAGGATGACGCGGTGCTCGCCCATGTCGCGGTAGTTCCCCAGCACGCACACGGGCACGTGGGTCGGCACCTTGGGCAGCTCCCGCAGGATGTAGCTGAAGGTCCTTCGGAGGCACATGTGAGGGACCCACCTGAGGCTCAGCCCTGAGATCCTTGCCCCGAGAAGCACATGAGGGTCCTGGACAGCAGACCCTCCTGTGCGGGCAGGGCCTTTGCTCACAGCGCACAGGCACGCGCGCCCCGCCTGCCCCGGCTCTCCAGTGCCGCTCTTCCTGGCTGAAGGTCACGCTCGGCGGAGCCCCAGGACGCTCCAGTGACGTGGAGGTGGCCGCTGGTGTCCGTGCTGAAGCCCACAGCAAAGCCACCCGACCCCCTGGCTCCCGGGCCACTGAGCGCCCCTGGGCGAGCGCCTTCTTCCCGGCCTGTCCCTGAGGACGTGCTGCTGCTTTCCGTGCGGTACGTGTGCCATGTGCTCGGGGCGCCACCGCCATTCCACAGCTCCACCATGCTGCCTGCCCACCCAGCCGCCTGTCACGTGGGTGCTGGTGGTCAGTGCACACCAGACCCCCAGGACGTGCGTCACCGCTGGGCACCCGTGGGAGACAGATGCACCAACCCCCTTCCTCCCCCTCGGCACTCCAGGCGTGCGAGAGAGATGCCAGCACTAGGGGTGTGTGAGATGCTCAGGAGAGCCAGGCTGGGTGCCAGGCGCCGGGATCCACACAGGGGCACGCACTCCAGTGCAGGAATAGTAACACGTAAAGGCAGAGGGACAGGCCATTTCTAACCGGCTGTCAGCCCTCCATTCGGTGGCATCTCGAAGCCGGGGCTCCTGGTGGGGCCCCCCAGGCTCTCCCCGGGGAGCCGCCCTGGACAGCACCGCTGCACGCACTCCTCAGACGCTCGCTCTCCTCTGGGTGCCGACGCCCCCGGGTCAGAAACCGAGTCCACGTGGCTCCAGGAGAGGCCCTGGGAGCTGGCGCCAGCAGCTCACCCACCCCCGCACCTCCCACCTCCCGCTCCTGCTCCGAGCCCCTCGCTGAGATGGATTGTAGCTGAGCGTCCTCCTAGCACAGGTCAAAGGGGGGGTCGTGGGAGCCCCAACAAAAACGCCACTTGATCCCACCAGACTCTGGACAGTGTCTCAGGAAAGGCTGTGGGCTGTGTAAGCCTGGTGCCTCGCCCCACCCGAGCCGTCGGCCTCCAGCAGAGCGGACACCCCCACGCTGGCCCAGTCTGCGCGTGCAGGCCCGAGACATCTGCTCCGGGTTCTGTGTAGCTGGCCTGGCACCGCGCAGAGCCCCAGGCGGGCCCTCAAGAAGCATTGGCACCAGTGGCGACGCCGCGAAACTGCCATCTGCTGGACCTGCGGCGCGCCCCGGGGTGGGGGTGGGGGTGGGGGTGGAGCCGGGCCCTTACCACTGCTTGGTGATGTCGAACATCATGACCACCCCGTTGCAGTTCTTGTACACGTCCAGGAACTCGGCGTCCAGGGCCATCTCAGACTCCGCCTGGGGCGAGGGGAGGGGGGCATGAGCGACGCTGCTGCGGGCAGGGTCCCAGGGGAGCCCCGGCTCCCGGGACGCCGAGCGGCACTTTTCATTTTGGGAAAGCACAGTTGTGTGCGGGTGTGAAAGCTGCCTCACAGGGTCTGGAGGAACATTCGGACTCTGGGGCCGCAGTGCCTCCGCCTGCCCGGAAGGGGCTTCTCCCCTGGCCCAGAGCACCTCACTCCGGCCCAGGAGGGCGGTGCGGGCGTCCAGGCCCCGCAGCACGGCGCGCGTCCCCCAGGAAGCACACTCGCAGAGAACCTTCTAGAGCAGGCAGACCACAGCAGCTGCCGTGCTGGGGGCAGTGGTAACCCACACACATGGGCCAGGGGGTCACGTCACCTTCCTACCAAAGGGGAGCAGGGAGGCTGCCCACCCAACTGCAGGCGCAGGGGGGCAGGCCCCTGGAGGAAATGGGAAGCTGCCCTGGAGGAGACCGCTGCCGGCCCAACTTCTCCGTGTCAGGGTGGTGGCCCGTGGCAGCCCACTGGCCACGCTCAGGCCCACGGGCACCCAGGCCACGGCGTGAAGGCACCTTCTGTGCTGTTAAGACCCGAGGCCTCTGGGAGGGGCACACAAACTGGCCAGTTCACCTCAGCCGCGCTCAGGTTGCTCCAGCTGCACAGGCCGTGCGGCAGGGGCTCGGGGGTCTGAAGAGTGCTCCCCGCTCCCACCACCACCAAGGACCCTACGGGCAGGACACCACTTACCTCCTGGGGGTCATTCTCCATCTTCAAGCCATCACCCCGCTTTTTACATTTTCCTGTAAGACACAGAAGTTACCAGGTAGACTCCGGTCTAAGGATGGCCAGAGGTAGGAGCACCCCTTCCCTACGCCCCATCCCCCTGCCCCAGCCCATCTTCAGTGGGAGCCAGACTGACGGAGACCCCAGCGCCGACCCCCACTCAACCGGCACCAGAGCAGCCCCAGAGACAGCAAGACAAGGCCGGGCCCCCAGGGAGGCCTCCTGGCCACTCCAGCAGCTCCAGCCCAGCCCAGAGGAAGGCCCACAGGCGGGCGACAGCTGGGCCTGGCCTTGGAGGCCCGGGCAGGCCAGGGGCGCCGTGGGCTGCTCGTGGGGCGCCGTGGGCTGCACCCACCTCCTCCAGGACCGGCCGAACCAGCCCAGCCTCGAGGGGCTGAGCCAGTGCTGAGGGGGACCAGCTGGATGCAGGGCCCGAGAGGCCCATGCAGCTCCAGTTGGTGACTGGGGTCTGCAGGTGCAGACTGGGCCAGCATGGGGGTGTCCCCTCTGCTGCAGGCAGACAGCCCCCTCCCTGCATGGCTGAGGACTGTTCTCAGCTGGGAATTCCATGGCCCCCCAGGATCAGAATGGCAGGCGACGCTGAACTAACAACCCCCCAGAAGAGGTTAATTTATAAAAAAAAAATCCAGCCTCTGCCTCGTGCCAGCTTCTCCCTGAGCCCTCACCACCTCGGACCCGTCCACCCAGCCACACTGGGGCGCCGTGCAGCTCCAGCAGGTTCTCGCCGCCGCCGCAGTCTCCTCTCCCCCCACCTCAGCCCTGGTGACACAGGCGTTCAGACACGCAGACCTGACAGGTGGCTGCTGTGCACAGGGAGCGGCCCCGGGCCCGGTCACTAAACGGACGTGAGCACCAACCAAACCTGCAGGCTCTGGGAGGACGCTGATCACCGCCAGGCGGTGGCAGAGCTGACACTGCAGGCAGATGGGCCCACGGGACAAGGACACGCCTACGAGCTGGTGCGGGGCGGGGGGAGGCGCTGCTTAGAGGATGCTCGGGAGGGGAGGGAGGAGGCCTGTGAGGAAGGCAGGCTTTACCTTTGTCCACCACATCCCAGACCTCCACCTTCACGATGTCGTCAGTGGCTGCAACGGGAAAAGAAGGTCAGAGCCCACGTGACTGCTGGGGCCACAGCGATGGCTTTTAGGGCCACAGGCCTATCCCTGGCGCCGCCCAGAACCTTTGCATGGGCTGCGGCCGGGACAGCCTCCCTCCCTAGGTGGCAAGGAGCCCTCCACCTTCCACCCCGAGGATTTTGAGGGGAACCGAGGAGCCCCTGCCAGCCTCACCCACTCGGGTGGGGGGACGGACTCCCCGAGCTGCCCCGAGGCTGCAGGAGCCCTGGTTGGTGAGCAGGGGCCACACCGCCCAGCAGAGGTCCCAGGACCAACCTGGCCTCGCGGAGGGGACGCGGAGGCCCGTGTCCTGCTGGGCCACACGGGAGGCTGCCAGGTGCAGTCCCTACCGGGGACGCAGAGAGGCTAGGACCGAGGGCCTCAGCGGAGGAGCCGCCGGGGCCGGCTCCCCAGGGCGTGCCGCATCCTGGGTTAGGCCAGAGCTTTTGTCTTTCCAACGTTTCCGGCTCGAGAGTGGAGCCCTGGCCCCCGCTGCCCTGTCTGCTTCTCTGGGGGGGACTTAGGGACCCCAGAAGGAACTTTTTATTTATTTTTTTCTTTGCTTTTTTTGCTTTTTATAACTTATTTTTTGAAGTGACTGTGATGAGAGTCACGAGAGGCCCTCTGAGGTCAGGGCGCTCTCACACATGTAGTTTTCATGACGACACCACGCTGAGATGCCGCCTCCAGGGAACCCAGGCCAAGAAAGGGCAATGGAATGAAGCTCCCCCCGCCCCGCCCCCCGCTCCCCGCCCTCACTCTTATAGTTCCAGTGGATGCTGGTGACCTGGATCTCCTGGGTGGGGATGTACTCCTCCACAAACTTCTTGCCCTGCAGCCGGTGCCACAGCGCGGTCTTGCCCGTGTTCCTGTCCCCTCGGATCACTATCTTCACTGGCGGGAGGGAGAGAGGGCAGATCAGGCAAACAAACCCAACCAAAGCAAACTTCCGCGTCCCCCTCTGTGTGCACATGCCTTCCTCTGCCCAGACCGTGCCTGGGCGGCTGGCGAGCAGGAGCAGCGGAGCGCCAGGGTGGGCTGGCGGAGGGGCCAGGCTCCGAGGACGGCCAGGGCCAGGGTCAAGGTTGGGTGCTGGAGTCCGACGGGCAGCTTCCTAGATGCTGGTGGTTTGCTCTTAACCTACTTTCCTCTGCTCTGTGTTTTTAGTGCACAATCTGCAGACACGTGCAGGGATCACGGCACAAAGCCGCATTCTATTTTGCCCCTGACAGGTATTTATGGAGACACACCTCCGTAATGTGTCTACTCCTGGTGCCAGGAGTGCACTCGGGAGGGCAGAGCAGGTCGGGGAGAGCCTGCCATATGCCTGTGGGGGAAGGGGCCAGGGCCAGCAGGAGTGTGGACATCCCGCTGCCTCGAGAGAAGGCGGGGTTCAGCACCAGGTGCCTGGGGCTGAAGGGGGCAGTCAGGAGTGGCCTGCAGAGCCAGTGGGCGGGCGAGGACCAGGACGAGGTTGGGCGTGGAGCTGTCAGGGGCTGTCTCCCCCTAACTACCTGAGCAGGGGTTTTGATCCTCTTTTTGCCTGGTATTTGGAAGATCTCAACATGTTTCTATTCTTTGATTGGTATCTCTTAAGTTTCTAACATTTACATTTGCTGTAATAAGTTTGTCTTCCTCTTCAAAAACAAAAGGACTGCCGAAACCAGTTTGGCTCAATGGATAGAGCATCGACCTGCGGACTCAAGGGTCCAGGGTTTGATTCTGGTCAAGGACATGTACCTTGGTTGTGGGCACATCCACAGTGTGGGGGGGAGGGGTGCAGGAGGCAGCTGATCGATGACTCTCTCTCATTGATGTTTCTAACTCTTTCTCTCCCTCTCCCTTCCTCTCTGTAAAAAATCAATAAAAAATATTTTTTAAAAAAACAAGGACTTCCAAATGCCTTGATTCTAACCTGCTCCTCCGTAATGTGTTTACTCCTGGAATTTTATTTTATATATTTTTATTGATTTCAGAGAGGAAAGGAGAGGAAGAGAGAGATAGAGACATCAATGATGAGAATCATTGAAGGGCTGCCTCCTGCACGCCCCCTACTGGGGATCCAGCCTGCAACCTGGGCATGCGCCCTGACTGGGAATCGAACCCGGGACCCTTCAGTCCACAGACCCTCTATCCATTGAGCCAAACCTGCTAGGGTCTAACCTCTACTTTTAAATTTAAGAAAATCAAATCAATCAGACATTGGCTCAGATAAGCTGAGTAAGTGCTTCACCTGGAAAACCTTCAATTAAGATTCGCCCCAAAGCGGCCGAGCTGCCCTCGATAAGCAGCATGTGAAGCCGCTGCTGTACAGACGCCACCGCCATTTCCATCAGAAAACGGCTCAACAGCCGGCCCAGGATTCCCTTCCACCCTGACTCAACATTCACTCACTCACAGCCACACACAGTTCCTGGAAGAGAGAGGACGCAGCCACGAACTGTCAGGGTGCCCTGCCCCTGGGCAGCCAGCCTGTCCCCAACACAGGCCGACGTTCTGCTCCAGCCTCGGCGTTCTCCCTCCCGTCAGCCCACAACGGCGCTGAAGGCCGGGCGTCCTGTGCTCCTCCCACGCCCAGGAACTCCCCTGCCATACCTTCCCTACCTTCTGCCCCCGCCCCCTGCCAGCTCTGACCTCTAACCCCATCCGAACCCTCACTGTCCCGTCTGGTTCCCTGGCTTCAACCTTCAGACAGGCTCTACGGTCACCCACTTCCTGTGCCCACTGCCGGCCTTGGATGGAGGCCGGGGGGGGGGGGGCGGGGGCCAGAATGCACGGATGCACACGATCAATATTTGCTGAGCAAATGAACACCAGAGCAGGAAAGCCGGGAAGGGAAATGGGGCAGGTTGCGGACAGCGAAGGCCATCTGCCAGATGGAATGAAGTTTAAAATAAAACTGTAAGCAATGAAATTAAGTACGGGATCAAGTTTTTGAAATAAGTATATTTTTAAAATATGGTTTGTTGATTTTTTTTTTTTTTTTTTTTACAGAGAAGAAGGAAGAGGGATAGAGAGCTAGAAACATCAATTAGAGAGAAACATCGACCAGCTGCCTCCTGCACATTCCCTACTGGGGATGTGCCCGCAACCAAAGTACAAGCCCTTGGCTGGAATCGAACCTGAAACCTTTCGTCCTGAGGCAAACCGGTTTGAAATTAAGTATTTTGACTTACTATTCTCTTCTCTGAATGTGAAAGAAATACACACAAAGTTGTGAGTGCAAATACATCAACAACATCCCTCCCTTTTTTAATCCTCACCCGAGGGCATGGTTTTCATTGATGAGAGAGTCGATGAGAGAGAGAGAGAATGAGAGAGAGAACATCCATCATCTGCCACTAGGGTTACCCACAGCCTGGTAGGTGTCCTTGACCAGAACTCGAACCCGAGACCCTTGGTGCAGAGGACCATGTTCCAACCAGCTGAGCCACAGCGGCCAGGGCCACCTCCCTTTTAAACCCGCACAGGGGCTTCCCGGTCAGCTTCTTACGATCACACGTCACCGCCCAGATGTGTCCCCGTGGACGGAAAGGCCCCCCCTTAGAGGAAGGAGCAAGGCCCCCACCACCTGCAGCCCACGCGCGGCCGAGGGGGACGCACTCTGAAAGCAGAGAACATCCGACCCCGGAGCAGATGGAAACTTAAAGGAGGCCACGGAGCCGCCAGCATCCGGAGCTGCACCATCTACATAATTTATGGCCGGCGGACCGGTCCTCTTCCCGCAGGGAAGGGAGGCCGGTCCCGCATCCAAGAGCGGGAGAGCCCGTGCCTTCTGGAGCTTTGCTAACTACACCCCCACAAGCGCCCCCAGACAAGGGTGTGAGTGTGAGTGTGTGTGTGTGTGTGTGTGTGTGTGTCGTCCTGGCACTCCGCCGCCGAATGCGAAATCAACAAAGGAAAATCCCACAGCTCCCCCCGTTATGTAAGAATCCCTCCCGAGGCCGCCCGGGCGCCGCCGAGCGCCCCGGCAGCGGCCACGGCGGTGCGTGTCCCCGCGCAGACCCGGCCAGGGCGCCCCGGCCCCGCACCCCCAGCGAAGGCGCCCGGGCGCCCGCACCGCCACCGGCGGGCTCCGCGCGTCCCAGGGCCTGCGGCCCGGCCTGCCGCGCCCCGGGCCGGTGCGGCCGTCCACCCGCCGCCGCCGCCGCCGCCGCCGCACTCACTGTTGTACTGCACTCCCTTGGCGAAGCGCCGCTGCAGCGCCTGGTTCATGGACTGCAGCCCCGCGGGGATGTTCTTGTCGCGGCCCGGGGCCGGCTCCGACCCCACCAGCTTCTTGAGCGCGGAAAACATCTTCCCACCCCGCGGCCGCGCTCGGCGTGGCCCGCGGCTCAGCGGCGGCGGCGGCGGCGGCGCGGCGCGGGTCGCACCATGCCCCGCTCCCCGGAGCCGCGCCCGCTTCGAAGGCCGCTCGGGGACTCAGCCGCGGCGACGCTGCTCCGGGCCCCTCGGCCCCGGGCGCGGCCGCCCTCCTCCCGTCCGCACCGCCATCTCGCCACCGGCTCTGAGGGGCCCGCGGCTACGGGTCGCCGCGAGGGTCTCGGGGCGCATGCGCACGAGGCGGCGCGCGCGCGCGCGCGCGGGTACGGGGCGCCGCGAGGGCCATGGAGTGCAACGGTGCGCGTGCGCGAGGCGGCGCGTGCGCGAGGCGGCGCGGGCGCGAGGCGGCGCGGGCGCGAGGCGGCGCGGGCGCGAGGCGGCGCGGGCGCTGGCGGTGCTGGGGGTTTCCGTTCAGCCCCGCTGTGGCCGCGTCCGCGCCCGGATCCCTTCCTCGCCCTCACCCTGACCCGGGGCTCCGGGGCCCGCCCCCCCCGCGGACAGCCCGCCCCCCGAATCTTCCCAACGCGAGGCGCCCGCCCAGGTTCGCGTTCTGAGCCTCGGGTCTCCCCTGGAGCCCCCAGCAGTTCTGGAAAATGTTTATTTGTGCAACAGCGCCGGCCGCGGGCGCCTCCGGTCACTTCTTCTTCTTCTTGGCCGTCTTGAACTTCTCCTCGATCACGCGCTGGGACTGCTTCTTGATCTCGGCGCGCGAAGGGACGTAGCTGTGGTCCACGTCGGCGAAGTGGAAGGATTCTGGGGCGGGAGGCGGGAGCCGGGTTAGCCCTGGGCTCCCTGCCGCCTCCCTTCATCGCCGGCCGGCGTGGGCCACCTGCTCTCTGCCCCGGAGGCTGGCCTTTGGGGCCTTGCAGACTCGGGAGAGACCGCCCTGCCTGCAAACTGACCATCGCACAGCCCGCCCTCCCTCTCCCATCAAAACCTCACACCAACATTCCCCGCCAGGGCCAGCACCATGGCTCAGCCCCGCGTCCCCGTCCCCCGGAATCGCTCAGAGGAGCTGATCCTCAGCTGCTGGCCCTGCCTTTCCCTCAGAAACCCCTGGGGCTCCCCATTGCTCCTTTCTGCCTCCTGATGGGCACTGGGGCCCTCGTGTCAGGACATGGCTAGCCTCCACATCCCCTCACCAAGCCCCTGGCACACCCTCTCCATCCCCGTCCCTCCTGGTCAGCTGAGCACACCCAGCCTCTGCCCTTGCACAGCCCAGCCCAGCCATCCACCCACATCCTCTGGCCTCCCAGCGCAGCCCCAGCCCTGCCCCAGCCCGAACCTATCATGTCGTCCTCCAGCTCCTCAAAGGTGATCCTGGTGTTCTGCTTCTCCTTCAGAGTCGAGGATTCCAGCATGTCCCTCACCTTTATGTTGCTCTGCAGGGCACAGGGGACGGTCAGCTCCGAGGGGACACGGCACGCGTAGGCCGGTGTTCCCCGCCCAGTGTTACCTCCTCCGTGGTGGACAGGATCTGCAGCTTGTCCACCAGGTACAGGAGCGTACTCTCGCAGTATGCCAGCTTGCTGTGCAAGTCCAGGCCATCCAGGGTGTCGGGCGTGGCCATCTTCTGCAGACCACACGGAGGGGCTCAGACCCTCTCTGCTCGCCCCCACGCTCTCGCCGGACATGCAGGCGGCTCCTCCCCACGCGGGCCGGTACCTGGGCGGGCGGCAGGGCGATGCCCACCAGCCGGAGATACAGGCTGTCGATGCCCATCTGGAGGGTGAGCAGCAGCTTCTGGCTCTTGGTCATGTTGCTGTGGGCCAGGTGCAGCCTGTACTCCTCCTCCTTCAGCAGGTCCTTCATTTTGTTCTGGGCGGACTCAAAGCTGTCGAGGACGATGGGGAGGAGGGTGGCACAGACCTGAGGGCGGAGTTGGGTGCTGTGCTAGATTCAGGGGCTCGGGAGCGGCGACGTGGGCATGCAGGGTCCCCCCGGTTCAGCTGCAGAGCGCGAGCAGGCTGCCTGGCAGTGGACGGGGTGGGGGTGGGCAGGGCCCCCGGGTACCTGCCGGAGCTGGTGGACTGGTGGAACTTGAGCAGCGCCTCATCCATCTCCAGGTTCTTCATCAAGGCCCCCAGCTGACTGCGCCTCTCCTCACACTCCTTCATCTGCAGCTTCAGGTTATCCTCCGTGTTCCTCTGAGCCAGGAACTGGCCTGTGATGTCCTGGCCGTGCCGGCAGGGAGAAGCAGGTGTGGGCCAGCCAGGCAGGGCCCACAGAACTGCCCCTCCCAGTGGTCAGGAATGAGGTCCGAGGCAGCCGGGCACTGAGGGCTTGTGGGAAGCCATCCATCCATCCATCCATCCGGGGAAGGGCTTTGTGTCATTGCACCTCAGCCTCACAACAAGCAGAGGGCAGACCAGAGACCGCCACCGAGATCCCGCAAGGCGCTGGCCCAAGGGTAGACAAGCTTATGTTAACGCCACGGACGGGAGCTCAAGCTTACTAAGAATAAACCCAGATCGGATTAAAATAATGGGGAACAGGTGGAGAGGCTCATTATAATGCCGTCAGTTTGAGAAGGAGTTGGAGTTGGGGTTGGGGTTGGAGGTGGAGGTGGAGGCCACGCCCCAGGCCTGTGGTCGGCAAACTGTGGCTCTCGAACCACATGCGGCTCTTTGGCCCCTTGAGTGCGGCTCTTCCACAAAATATCACGGCCTGGGCCAGTCTATGTTGAAGAAGTGACGTCAGAAGTTTAGAAAATTTGGCTCTCCAAAGAAATTTCAATCGTTGTGCTGTTGATGTTTGGCTCTGTTGACTAGTGAGTTTGCCGACCACTGGCCTAGGCCTTCAGGTCCTCAGATTCTGTGGTTCTCTCATCCCCTGGGACATGCTGGGATGGGTCAGCTGTGAGGGGCCTCTCCTCTGAGCTGTGGAGGACACAGCGTACTGTGTTCTTTTGTTCATTCATTCATTCATTCATCCTGCAGAGCCCAGCCCAGTTCAGTGCGCCTCCCCCCCTTTCCCCAACACCCCAGGAGTGCCAGGGAGCAGTACCCAGAGGTGGGAGCACCGCACAGCGGACTTGATTTTCTCCACCAACGCGGTCAGATTCGTCTGGTATTCCATGTCGGACTGAGAGGTCTCTTTTTTCCTCACTGAGCAGAGCAGAGCGGGGGATGGCCAACATGCAGGGTGGACCGAGAACCGAGAGCACTGAGCCAGGTCTGGGAGGCCTCTGCGCCTGCCCCGTCACCAGGGCAGGCCCCCCAAGAGCTGGGTCCCTGTCATAGGTGCTTGCACCTTACCCTGCTTCCAGGCAAACCGCCCCTTCCAGGGAGCTCCCGGGCAGTGCCTCCAGAGAGGGACCTCGCAGCCTGGCTCGGTGGGGCTTAGCGGGGCTCCTCAGAGGCAGCTCGGGGGACCCTAGCTGTCTCTCCTGAGGACTCAGGGGGTGACCAGGGTACCTGTAGGGTTTGCAGCTAAAAAGCCAAAGGTTCAGTCATTGGCCATGAGCCCAAAGCAGGTGGCCTTGACACTGGTGGCCACGGGCGTCCAACCTGGGCAGGTGCGGCCAGGGAGAGGCAGGGGCACACCCCCCTCCCTCCCTCGGGCCTCACGGTGACCTGTCTGGGTGGCTCTGGCCGGCACTGGCCTCGGGGAACCTGGTTGGGGCAGGCGGGGAGCAGAGCACTCACCTTTGCTCTCCGAGCCCACCAGGTTTGTGGGGAAGTCCAAGTCCCTCCGGCCCTGACGGAAGGGGTGGGGTGAGGTGAGCAGCATCCTCGGCAGAGGACCCCGCCCCCCGCCCCTCCCCCTGCCCCCCCCCGCCGCCCCCCGCCGAGGTGCTCACCCGGCGGTACTTCTCGCTGGTCTCCTTGGTGTGGATCTTGTCGATCAGCTTCTTCTGCTGGTTCAGCCTGTTCTCCCGGGCCCGGCGCTCCTCGATGAAGGTCGCCTCCTTCTGCCTCAAGTTCATCTGGGGACACACAGGCGGCAGGCTGTGGGAGTCCGTCCTGGGGGGCCTCCCCTGTGCTAACTCCCGTGGCCACTTTCCCCGCGATCCTAGGTTTGAAAACAGCCATCGAGGCTGTCGGCCAGGCCTTCTTCCTACAATACGGTGCCCACCGCCTTCACCCTTCCTTCTGCTGGTCTCTGAGCGGTGGGACCTTCCCTCCCTGCACCAGCTCCTCCACCTACAGCTTCCCAATGTGTGAGGCTCCCCTGCCAGGGCCACAGTGTGAGTGGGGGAGGCTGGTGGGAGTGGGGCGGGCGGGACTTCAGCGGTGGCCGGTGGTGTGGCCCAGAGGTGTCCAGAGGATGCCAGGGCTAGACAGGTCGGCCCAGAGCCCTGCAGGGCCCCCAGCCGGGGACCTGGCTCACCTTGACCTCATCCGTAATCATCATGGCGTCCTGGGACATGACCGTCATGTCCGTCAGCTCTGAGCAGTAGTCAACCACGAGGTTCTGCAGCTTGTCCAGCTCGGTGGGGTATCCTGACAGCTCCTGTGGGGAAGGGCAGGGCAGGTGGGCACAGACCAGGTGGCCCAGGGGTGCGGGCCAAATGCAAGCTGCCTCTGTCCATGGCCACTCCCTCCCCTGGCCCTTCCCCTCCTCTACGGCTTCGCTGAGTGGACTGTGCCTGCCCCCCACGCCTAGACCTCAGGCTGTGAGCGCCCTGAGGACCGGGCCAGGCAGCCCAGACCCTCCCAAGGAGGCTGTGAGGGGACGTCCCGCGGTGTGAGCGGTGGCCCCAAACCCCAGGGAGACCCACTGCTTTCTGAAGCGAAGCGAGGGCTCCGCCTGGGTTTGGGGTTCAGGGCTCCAGGTACAGGCTGCCCTGACCGGCTCCTTCTTCTGGTTCCCGGCGCCACCGAGATCCCGCCCTGCACACGGGCTGGGCCTGAGGCCGGCCCCACCCCCCGAGCGGGGCTCCCGGGGCGGGGCTCCCGGGGCGGGGCGGGGCTCCCAGGGCGGGGCGGGGCTCCCGGGGCGGGGCGGGGCTCCCGGGGCGGGGCGGGGCTCCCGGGGCGGGGCGGGGCTCCCGGGGCGGGGGCTCCCGAGGCGGGGCTCCGGGGCAGAGGCTCCGGGGCGGGGCTCCCGGGGCGGGGGCTCCGGGGCAGAGGCTCTGGGGCGGGGCTCCCGGAGCGGGGCGGGGCGGGGCTCCGGGGCGGGGCTGGGCGGGGCTCCGGGGCGGGGGCGGGGCGCACTTTCTTCAGGTAATCCAGCAGGTTCTGGTACAGCAGCTGGATGTTCTGGCTCGTGGTGATCTTGATGATGGTCTTTTCGATGTTGTTCTCCAGCTGGCGGATGACCTGGCGGAGATCGAATGAGAGCCGGAGCCCAGCCCTGGGGGGCGTGTCTCACTCACCCGGCCCCGCCCTCCCGCGGAGCCCCGCCCCTCCCGCGGGCCCCGCCCCGCCGCGAGGCCCCGCCCACCTGCAGCAGGCGCAGCTCCTCCTTGGTGGCCAGCGGCTGGTGCTGCAGGCCCTCCAGCTGCAGCTGCAGGCCCTCCAGCTGCTGCCCGCGCCGCCGCACCAGGTGGATCAGCACGTTGTGCACGTTCACGCGGTCGAAGACGTACTTGCGCAGCTTCTCCCGCGCCACCTGGTGGGGGCGGGGGCGGGGCACGGTGTGCGAGGGCCCGGGTCCCCTGCTGCGGGCGGGCGGGGGCGGGGGGGGGGGGACCTGCGGGGACCTCACTGTCATTTGGCGGGAGGGGTGAGGGCGGGGGGTCCCCGGGGCGGCTCACCTCCATGGAGCTGCGGCAGTGCGCCAGCCTCATGGGCACGTCGTTCCCGCAGGCCCTGGAGATGGACTGCTTGTCGTACTGTGGGCGGCGGCGGCGGCTGAGCGGGGCGCCCCTCGGCGTCCCCCTCCCTCCAGGCCTCCTGCCCGCGCCGGCCCAGCAGCCAGACCCCCGGGAGGCAGGGGCTACGGGCCCCACCTGGGCCCGCCCAGCTCAGCGGTTATGTGGGTGCGGAGAGGAGCCCGGGTCCCCCCACGAGGCCAGAGGGGCCTCCGCTGCAAGGTGTAGCCCAGCACGTCCCGCCTGCCCCTCCCGATGCCCCGGCTCCAGGAGGCGGAGCGGGACGGGCAGAGGCTCCCTCCACCTGCGGGTCTGTCTCGGCACCGCCCCTGCCACCCCAGGCCGCAGGGCGGGGCGGGCTGTTCACATTGTTGGCCAGCGTCCACTCTTGGGTCCTCCGGCGGATGTTGCTGCGCAGGAGCGCCACCGTGGCCTTGTTCTTGACCGTCTTCTCCTTCATGGCCTGGATCTGCAGCGCCCGGCATTGCTCTGTGGCCGCAGAGGGAGGGGGGGCTGTTCAGCAGCCTGTGCTCAGCAGCGGGATCCTGTGACACCACCCAGGCCTGCTGGCCACGGAAGCAGCTGGTCCCTTCTTTTTACTTTTTAAAAAAATATGTTTTATTGATTTTTTACAAGAGAGGAAGGGAGAGGGATAGAGCTAGGAACATCGACCAGCTGCCTCTTGCACACCCCCACTGGGGATGTGCCCGCAACCAATGTACATGCCCTTGACCGGAATCGAACCTGGGACCTTTTGGTCTGCAGGCCGACGCTCTATCCACTGAGCCAAACCAGTTTCGGCTCAATACAAATATATTAAACAAACACTGAACCATGGCCAGTGTGGCTCAGTGGATAGAGCATTGGCCTGTCGACTGAAGGGTCTCAGGGTAAATTCCAATCCAGGGCACTTACCTTGGTTGCAGGCTCCTCCTTGGCCCAGCCGAGGTCAGGGCGCATCCGGAAGGCAACCCATCCATGTGTTTCTCTCACAAGATGTTTCTCACTGCCTTTCCCTCTCTTCCCCATTCTCTCTAAAAATCAATGGGAAAATGCCCTCGGCGAGGACTGAGAATAAAACACAGCCCTAAGGTCCTGCACCGGCCTGGACGGTGGGTGTGGGCGTGTGGCTCACCCTGGAGCTGCGTGATGGTCTTCAGCTCCTGGATCTGCTCGTCCACGTCCCCCTCGCTCCACATCTTCATCTTGGCCACCAGCCCCGCCTCCGCCCCTGAGCTGGCCCGCTCAGCAGCACAACAGTTCAAATTGTCCCCGGAACCTCGGCCCATTGTGATGGGGGCCAGGGTTCTAAAAGCCCCAGCCCGCCACCGCCCTCTGCCACCACCCCTACCACTGTCCTCTGCCACCACCTCTGCCACCACCCCTACCACTGCCCTCTGCCACCACCTCTGCCACCACCTCTGCCACTGCCCTCTGCCACCACCCTCTGCCACCACCTCTGCCACGGCCCTCTGCCACCGGCCGGCCGGCCTCAGGGGCAGTCTCATGGCTGCTCTGTTGGGGAGTGCGGCCGGGGCCAGGCACCCTCTCCCACAGGTGGCAGCTTGGTGGTGGATGGCAGTGCCCCCCGCCCCGCCTGCCCCGTCCCCTTCACTGTCTGCCCAAGCCCTGACTGCTCGCTGCCTTACAGGGTCTCTTCTCCCCCCTCCCCAAGTTCACACGCCACACCCCGGTGACCTAGGTCATGAGACCCCCCAGCTCGGCCCTCGCTACCCCTGCTCTCCCTGACCTCTGGCTCCACTTCCCCCAGGAATTCCCCAGCCTAGCTTTATTTAAACATATTTTATTTTTGTTTGTTTAATCCTCACCTGAGGATATCTCCCCATTGATTTTTAGAGAGTAGGAGGAAGAGGAGAGAAACATCAATTGGTTGCCTCCCATACAGGCCTGAGCAGGCTGGGCAGCTGGGTGGGGACCCAGCCTGCACCCAGCTGGGTGAGGTACATGTCCTGGACAGGAATGGAACCCGGGTCCCTTCAGCCAATGCTCTATCCACTGAGCCACACTGGCCATGGTTCAGTGCGGGCCGACGCTTTACCCACTGAACCACACTGGTGGGGGCCCGAGTCCAGCGTTAGATGTCACTCCAGGAAGGTCAGCCCCCATCTCTGCACCCCAGCCCAAGCCTCCCCTAGAGCCGCGTGCCCCAAGCCCTGGACGGCCTGGGACCCCGGGAGGGGACCCCACCAAATTGGTTACTTTTCCCAGTGACCCTGCCTGGCTCTGCCAGGACCGCCGAACACAGCGCCAGGGACAGCCGCTTAGACAATGGACCTTCGTTGTCTCACGTCCTGGGGGCTGCATGTCCAAGGCCCAGGGGCAGGCGCCCGGCTCCCCGAGGCCCCTCTCCAGTCCCACAGTGGCCGTCCTCCCCGAGTCCCCAGAAGGCTTTTGCTCTGTGCCCTCCTGTGTCCACACCTCCTCCTCTTATAAGGAATGTGTCAGGCGGGTCCAGGGCCCACCCTCATTTTATTATTTATTTACAGAGGCCCGGTGCACGGAATTTGTGCACTGCAGAGGGGTCCCTCAGCCTGGACTGCACCCTCGCTCCTTACTGCCGCCTGCTCCTTAGTGCTGCATGGAGGTGGGAGAGGCTCCTCCACCACCTCTGTGCTAGCCAGCCATGAGCCCGGCTTCTGGCTGAGTGGCACTCCCCCTGTGGGAGTGCACTGACCATCAGGGGGCAGCTCCTGCATTGACGTCTGCCCCCAGGTGGTCAGTGTGTGTCATAGCACCTCTTGTTTTGTTGTTCCATAGGTTTGCATATTAAGGTTTTATTATATAGGATTTTTAATTGTCACTCAAGGATATTTTTCTATTGATTTTAGAGTGAAAGGGGGGAGGAGAAGAGAAACATCGATTGGTTGCCTCCCATACAGGCCCAGAAGGGAAAGACAGAAATATCGATATGAGAGAAACACATTGACTGGCTGTCTCCTGCATGAGCCCTTGACCAGGGCCTGGTCCAGGGAGGAGCCTGCAATCGAGGTACAGCCTTTGGCCAGATTTGAACCTGGGACCCTTCGGTCCACAGGGTGGCGCTCCATCCACTGAGCCAGACCAGCTAGGGCCCACCCTCATATTAACTTCCTCTTCTCCAAGGTCCAATCTCCTAATGGGTTGTGTTCTGAGGCCCCGGGGTTGAGGCTGCACCGTGTGAATGTGGGGGGGGGGGGCATTAGGTTCAGCCCCAACAATGGTCTCTCTGCCCACTGTCACAGCCCCATCTTCCTCCAGGACCGCTCCTTCTGGCCCCTCTGTGTTAAAAAGTGGGTGCAGTCGCCAAAACCGGTTTGGCTCAGTGGTAGAGCATTGGTCTGCAGACTGAAAGGTCCCAGATTCGATTCCGGTTAAGGGCATGTGCCTGGGTTGCGGGCACATCCCCAGTAGAGGGTGTGCAAGAGGCAGCTGGTCGATGTTTTTCTCTCATCGACGTTTCTAGCTCTCTATATCTCTCCCTCCCTCTCTGTAAAAAAAAATCAATAAAATATATTAAAAAGTGGGTGCAGTCAAAACCGGTGTGGCTCAGTGGATAGAGCGTTGGCCTGTGGACTGAAGGGTCCCGGGTCCGATTCCTGTCAAGGGCATGTACCTTGGTTTTGGGCACATCCCCAGTAGGGGGTGTTCAAGAGGCAGCTGATCGGTGTTTCTCTCTCATCGATGTTTCTAACTCTCTATCCCTCTCTTCCTCTCTGTAAAAAATCAATAAAATAGCCGAGACCTGTTTGGCTCAATGGATAGAGCGTCGGCTTGGGGACTAAAGGGACCCGGGTTCGATTCCGGTCAAGGGCATGTACCTTGGTTGCAGGCATATCCCCAGTAGGGGGTGTGCAAGAGGCAGCTGATTGATGACTCTCTCTCATCGATGTTTCTAGCTTTCTATCTCTCTCTCTTCCTCTGTACAAAATCAATAAAATATATTTTTAAAAAAGTGGGTCCAGTCTGGTCTAAACCCCTGCCCTCTGCCCTCCCTCAGCCAGGCATTGCCCTGGGGGAGACGGAAGGCTCCCAGCCAGTCTGAGGCCGAGCCCGCCTACTGCCCCAATACTGGCTCTCCCTTCTCGCTCAGACACAGGACTCTGTCAGGGCGCGGGCTGCCCCGGGTGCCTGTGTGCAGGACGTAGGTCTGGCCAGCGTGCTGCTCTCTCCTTCCTGTGAGCGGACGAAGCCGCGAGGGCTGGGGCTGGCGCAGCGGCCTGGGGCCATGAGGCAGATTTAGAAGGGGCCACAGAGCAGGGGATGGACTGGGGGCCCGGCCCAGTCTGCCCACCTGACTTTTACAGGAAGGAGACTGCCACGGTTACCCTGGGCTTCCTCCACCGCTTTCCCACCGGAGCTGTGGCAGGCACACAGCAGGTGCTCATCGGCGTTCTGAACGACCGCCGGGGCGAGAGGCACGGGGCTGACCGGATGGATCGGGGTGGCCCTGTGCTGGGTGCCTTCAGCGTGCCGGGGAAGCCAGCCGCAGAGGACCATGGACTTGCCCGGAGTTGACCGGTCCCTCCTCTTCCTGTTGGGGTGGGGAGGGGGCTAGTCTTGCCCACTCGTGAGCTTCCCTTCTGTGAGGACAGAGCTCCGCCTTCCTCCACCCCTGAGAGCAGTGACTTCATCGGACACGTGTGTGTGGGATGACAGGCGGGTGGGCACAGCCATGTCCTGCCCGGGACCAGGTGCTGTTGGCTGTACCCTGTGGTCTGCTCCTCCGCGCCAAGGAAACAGAACCCCCACTCCCTGCCCGCCCTGTCCTGCCCCATGGAGAGGCCTCACTGCCTTCCAGGACCGGTGGGCGTGTCAATCCTGGGGCTCGGTGTCAGGAACTGCCGGCACTAAGGTGACATTTGTGTCTCAGCTTCTTCCAGCTCCTGTAGAACTCGGCGGGAAGAGTGAGGTGTTTATTAGTTCACAAGCCCAGAATCGTCCCCCTGACGTGGGGGTGGGGCCCAGAAAGGGATTGTCAGTCCCGAGGGCAGAGTCCTCTCACACGCGCCCCCGGGGTGCGGGGAGGGCCAGTGGGGGTGCGAGGTGCTGTGTTCTAGAACTCTCTGGGCCCAGGTCCCGTGCGCCTGGCTGGGGCTCTCCTACGTGCGTTGATCTGTAAGAGGCAAACAGAGACAGACCCACACCCTAAAGCTGCACCCGTTTTTCTGTGGCAAAAACAGAGGCGGGGCCTCCAACCAGGATGCAGGCAGTGGAGGCCAGGGCCAGGCCAATCCTCTGCCGTCTGATGCCCAGCTGCTCCATCCAGCCGTTTTCATGGGCACCCACACTCCTCCCCCCGCACTCCCCCCCACCCAGCCCCTATGGGCCTTCCTCCTGCTCACAGGGCTCCCAGTTCCATCTGCTGCCCCCACTCCTTCCCCAGGAAGTGCTCGCGGGGGCACAGGCAGGAGGGAGACCCTGCCCAGCCTCCCCTGAGCACCAGGCACAGCTCCGCCTCCCACGCCCGGCCTCTCACCTGCGCCCATGTCTGGGGGGAGCTTCCCCGTCTCCAGGAAGAGCCAGAGGTCGCTGCACTTCTTGGTCTCCACGCGGGTCACCCCGTAGCTGGCCAAGGAGCCTGCGACTGTGGAGCAGAAGGGGGGGGCTGGGCCTCAGATGTGGGCCTAGGATCCTCTGGGCAGATGGTGGTGGTGGGCATGGGCACCCCTACCCCCCGGAACTGGGGCTCCATCCCCTGGAGGCAGCGATGCCCGGAACACAGGGGGCTCTTAGTGGGAACCCGCTCCTCTGAGGAGCCAGCGTCACCTCCAGCACCTTGAGGCCCCAGCGGGGACCTGGATACCCACCCACGGCCACCAGGACGTTCCACTGGAAGGGGTACTTCAGCTTCCTCTGAACGAACATCTGCAGGCCCAGGGCCGTGCCGGTGCCTGCGGGGAGAGAGCCTCCTGGGGGGAGAGCCTCCTGGGGGGGGACAGAGCCTCCTGGGGGGGGGAGAGCCTCCCGGGGGGAGAGCCTCCTGTGGGAGAGAGCCTCCTGGGGGGGGGAGAGCCTCCTGGGGACAGAGCCTCCTGGGGGGACAGAGCCTCCTGGGGGGGGAGCCTCCTGGGGGGGAGAGCCTCCTGGGGGGGAGAGAGAGCCTCCCGGGGGGAGAGCCTCCTGAAAGGACAGAGCCTCCCGAGGGACAGAGCCTCCTGGGGGGGGAGAACCTCCCGGGGGGAGAGCCTCCTGGGGGATAGAGCCTCCTGGAAGGACAGAGCCTCCCGGGGGACAGAGCCTCCTGGGGGGAGAGCCTCCCGGGGGGAGAGCCTCCCGGGGACAGGGCCTCCTGGGGACCTGCTGGCTGGACCTGGCACAGCCCCGCACCTTCCGGCACCCAGCACCTGCAGGCCTGCCTGCGGGGGAGGCAGATGGGGACGAAGGTGAGGGCTGCACCCCTGGCATCTGCCCCGGCCTACCTGTGACAAGGGTGACAATGCCCTTCATGAAGGCGCCCGACTGGCAGGCGGCATACTCGCCCAGCCCCTGTGGGAGGAGAGGGGGGAGAGGGAGGGGGAGAGGGAGGGGAGGAGGGGGAGTGGGAAGGGGAGAGAGAGGGGGAGAGGGAGGGGAGGAGGGGGAGTGGGAAGGGGAGAGAGAGGGGGAGAGGGAGGGGAGGAGGGGGAGAGGGAGGGGAGGAGGGGGAGAGGGAGGGGAGGAGGGGGAGAGGGAGGGGGAGAGGGAGGGGAGGAGGGGGAGAGGGAGGGGAGGAGAGGGAGAGGGAGGGGAGGAGGGAGGGGAGGAGGGGAAGAGGGAGGGGAAGAGGGGGAGAGGGAGGGGAGGAGGGGGAGAAGGAGGGGGAGAGGGAGGGGGAGAGGGAGGGGAGGAGGGAAAGAGGGAGGGGAGGAGAGGGAGAGGGAGGGGAGGAGGGAGGGGAGGAGGGGAAGAGGGAGGGGAAGAGGGGGAGAGGGAGGGGAGGAGGGGGAGAAGGAGGGGGAGAGGGAGGGGGGACGAGGGGGAGAGGGAGGGGAGGAGGGGAAGAGGGAGGGGAGGAGAGGGAGAGGGAGGGGAGGAGGGAGGGGAGGAGGGGAAGAGGGAGGGGAAGAGGGGAAGAGGGAGGGGAGGAGGGAGGGGAGGAGGGGAAGAGGGAGGGGAAGAGGGGGAGAGGGAGGGGAGGAGGGGGAGAAGGAGGGGGAGAGGGAGGGGGGACGAGGGGGAGAGGGAGGGGAGGAGGGGAAGAGGGAGGGGAGGAGAGGGAGAGGGAGGGGAGGAGGGAGGGGAGGAGGGGAAGAGGGAGGGGAAGAGGGGAAGAGGGAGGGGAGGAGAGGGAGAGGGAGGGGAGGAGGGAGGGGAGGAGGGGAAGAGGGAGGGGAAGAGGGGGAGAGGGAGGGGAGGAGGGGGAGAAGGAGGGGGAGAGGGAGGGGGGACGAGGGGGAGAGGGAGGGGAGGGGGGAGAGGGAGGGGAGAAGGGGGAGAGGGAGGGGGAGGAGGAGGAGGAGGGGGCGGGGAAGAGGGAGGGGCGGGGTCACGGCTCAGGCCCCGCCCTCTGCCTTCGCAGGCGCTCCCGCCGCTCCGCCCCTCCTCTCGGCACTCACGGTGAGGCCCCGGCGCTCGGGCACGTCCCACCGCCCATGCCCACCAGGATGCCCCCGCGGGGTGCCCCACCCCACAGCACAGGGTCCTGACTCTGCCTGCCGAGCCCCGCCCCGCGCCCAGGCGGCCTTCTCACCGGGTGCTTGGCGGCTACGGCGTCGTCCACCCGGGACAGGCCCAGGTTCACCATGGCTGGTGGGGCCTGGCCGCCGTCCGCGCAGGCGCAGGCGCAGGCGCGGGCAGAAGTGCCGGGAGGGGTGGGGCTTGGAGAAGGGGCGGGGCCTTGAGAGCCTATCTGCGCAGGCGCGGGAGGAGGGACGTGGCTTAGTGGGAAGGGGCGGGGTCTTGAGGGCCTATCTGCGCAGGCGCGGGAGGAGGCCGGGGCGGGGCGTGGACCAGATGGGCGGGGCGAGCCGGAGAAGGGGGCGGGACCTGACGCGCCCCGCAACCCGGGTTCTGTGACGTTGCGCCGCGGGAGGTGGGGTTGCGCTCCCCATCACCGGCCCCCCGCGGTCCCTCCGTGTGCAGTGCTCTGCCGGCCGCCCCCCAGCTCACGGCCTCGGGTCTGGGCTGGGAGAGCCCCACCCGAACAGGCGGAGTGAGCCCGGGCGGCCTAGGCGGGCTGCAGGCCTCGCTCAGGGCCTCGCCTCTGGGGGCCTCCGGCAGCTCCGCGGGAATGCTGCTGGCTTCCCCGCCACATGGCCGGTGGGGTCCAGAGGGGCGAGCTCCCTGCTCTCCCGCGGGTTTCTCCCGGCTCCAGGAGGGGCCCTGGCCCTGCAGGCTGTGTGGGTGTGCCTGTGTGCACACTGGGAGTTGCACAGGTGTGTGGGTGTGTGAGGCGGTGGGAGGACCCCCGCGCACCTGGCCAGCAGGAGATTACTGAAGGATATCAGGCTCCAGATTAGCAGGATAATGGAGTCCCTTGGGCCTTGCTAACCCCAGGAAGGACTGAAGCTTTGAGTTTGTTTGTTTTTTATTTCAGAGAGGAAGTGGGCGGGAGAAAGAAACATCAACGATGAGAATCATTGATTGGCTGCCTCCTGCACGTCCCCCAGTGGATGCCCTGACCTGTGTGAAAGAAAAGAGCCACAAGCTAACCTGACAAGCTCAGGGTAGGCCTGCGTGGCAGTCTTGCAAACCCAGAGACCTAAGATAACCACAAAAGATGGTTTGAAAATTAAATATCTAACAGGTTATTGTAGGTAGTCATGTCCCAGATATTTTCTCAGACAATGATCAACTTCGATCTTTTTACTGAGCCCATTTGCCTTTTTGCCCCTAAGATAATATATCTGTGAGATGTCTGGGTAACTTGTAACTTTCCTTTTTCCGGAGCCCCTGGGGTACAACCATTGTGGAGGGCGCCAGGACAGATGCCTCAAATTCGTTCTTTATCATGTTAATTGTTCCTGCACTCACCTGAGTACACGTCCATCATTTTACTTTTTATCCAATCCCAGGAATTTCTCACCGCTTTGCTTTCTCCCGCCTTCTTACTCCATCACCAATGAATTTCATGTAACCCACCTGTGTCCCTCCTCTGATTTCAGTGTATAAATAGAGAAATGTAACGTGCCATTCTTCGGAGTATTATCTCAGTCCGTTGAGGTTCTGCTTCCCGGCATATGTCGAAAGTTTGGCTCAAATAAACTCAAAAATTCTTTACAGGTTTTAGTGTGGTTTTTTTTTCCCCTTCTCGTTAACACCGGTAATGGAATTATGACCTCCTGGTTCATAGATCGACGCTCAACCCCTGAGCCACGAGGGCCAGGCTGAATGTCTTCTCTGTTGAAATGTCTTTTTAGCCCTAGCCGGTGTGGCTCTGGATAGAGCGTTGGCCTGTGCACTGGGGGGTCCCAGGATTGTGGTCGGGGGCATGTACCTTTGTTGTGGGCACCTGCCCAGTAGGGGGTGTGCAGGAGGCAGCTGATTGTGTTTCTCTCTCATCAATGTTTCTCTCTATCCCTCTCCCTCTCTGTAAAAAAATCATTAAAATATATTTTAAAAATGTCTTTTTAGCCAAAACTGGTTTGGCTCAGTGGATAGAGCGTCGGTCTGTGGACTGAAAGGTCCCAGGTTTGATTCCAGTCAAAAGCATGTACATTGGATGTGGGCACATCCCTGGTAGGGGGTGTACAGGAGGCAGCTGGTCGATGTTTCTCTCTCATCGATGTTTCTAACTTTCTATCCCTCTCCCTTCCTCTCTGTAAAAAATCAATAAAATAGCCGAAACCGGTTTGGCTCAATGGATAGAGCGTTGGCTTGGGGACTGAGGGGTCCCGGGTTCGGTTCCCATCAAGGGCATGTGCCTTGCTTGCGGGCATATCCCCAGTAGGGGGTGTGCAAGAGGCAGCTGATTGATGACTCTCATCGATGCTTCCAACTCTCTATCTCTCTCCCTTCCTCTCTACAAAATCAATAAAATATATTTTTAAAAAATTTTTTTAAAACGATGTTTCCTCGTTTGTGGTTTCTGTTGTTGTTTGTTTTACATTGGGAGGTTTGTTTTTATTCTTGAGTCTTAGCGTTCTTGGTAGATTCTGGGTCTGAATCGTTTATCAGGTGCATGTTGTGTAAGTATTTTCCTGGGGAGACTGCCTGCCTTCTGTCCTGTGACTCTGGGGTGCAGCAGCTGAGCACTGGCACAGCCTTGGCTCCACCCCTCCCTCCCCCTGGCGACCAGGGTCTTTCTCCCACCTCAGACCCCTTCCCCTCTGGGGCGCTGGTGGTTCCAGCCCTTCCCAGGGACCCAGGGGCATCTGGTGGGGTGCCCAGGCCACATGCTGCTCTTGGCACGGTGCCCCTGGGTGCTTGGTCTGCCTGGCCACGAGACGCTGCCTGCAGAGGCCTTGGCACCCCAAGCCCCTGCCAGCCGCCAGCCGCAGTGCCTCCCAGGCGATACTCCTGCCCAAATATAATACTTATGCAACCGGTGATAAGGCGACTTAGAGACCATAATCCTTCCTGAGTGACAGCTCACCCCACCCTCCGCCCTGCTTGCTGGAGGCCCAGCTGGTGGCTGCATGAGGGTTTGAGGGGGGGGGCAGTGGAGGTCTGGAGTGAGGGGCGCCCAGGCCTTTGGTGTCCCCTCTGTCACAGCTGCCCTGGCACAGGCTCTGCCCCTGGGCAAGGTCAACAGGCTGGGCCAGTGGTGCCTTCACGGCTGTGTGGGGGGCAGAGGGAGTGAGGACTGTGGGGGACTCAGGCCCCAAGTGGGGGCTGCTGGCAAGAGCAAACCTGAGCCTGACTGCTCCCCGCAGCACCCCCGAGGGCCCTGGGTCCCCTGCCCCAGCCACACCTGAGGTGGACGGAGGGCTTGAGGTCGGGGGGCAGATCCCCAGCTGGGCGGAGGCAGGTGACAGCCCTTCGGGAAGTGACCCCTGGAGCCGGTGGGGACACTTAGAGATTGTGCCAAACAATGGACAAAGGAGCTGTGGTTTCCAGGCCCGAACCCCTTCCGCCGGCCAGCCTGCCAATCTGGTGAGTGGGCTGCAGGGCTGCGCTATAAAGCCGGGCCTGCGGGCGCTCAGACACGGTCAGGACCAGAGAAAGGCATGGGGATGCAGTCCATCCTGCTGGGCCGGGTTCTGGTGCTGCTCTGGGTGTCCACGGCTTGGGCTGATGTCCTGGTGCAGCCAGATTTTGATGCCAAGAAGGTACCGAGGCCGCCGAGCCGTGCGGTGCTGTGCGGTGCCGTGCCTGTGGAGGGGCCGTGGTGGGGCTGGGGGCTGAGCTGCTGAAACCCAAAGCGACGGGGTCACAGTCAGAGCCGTCTCCCCCTGCTAGGCCTGGGGCCTACAACTCTTTAGACCTGCTCTCTATGGAACCCCAAAGTCCCCCTGTAGGGGTGACTGCTGACCCATTTCCCAGGGGGTATGGAGGTTCACAGTGGCGGTGTGACCTGCCCCACACGGCAGTGAGCACAGGGCCCTCGTCCACCCCAGTTGCAGGCCCGGGTGGTGGGCAGAGCGCTCTGGGGACCCTCCGTGTGGACTCGGATGAGTCCGGGTTCTGGGTGGCGGCCTTGTGCTCCCGGGCCTGAGCCGGCCGGTCACCAAGCTCCTCGCAGTTCTCAGGCCTCTGGTACGTGGTCGCCATGGCCTCCGACTGCAAGGTCTTCCTGGACAAGAAGGACCACCTGCTGATGTCCACCAGCACCGTGGCCGCCGAGGCCGGGGGCAACCTCAGTGTCCACATGGCGTTCCCCTGGTGAGCCGGCGGGCGGTGCTGCTGGCGGGTGGGGGGCCTGGGCAGCTCGGAGAGTGAGTGGGCTGTGACCCTCAGGGGTGACGGCTGCAACCGGGTGGACGCCGAGTTCCTAAAGGTGGGCATGGAGGGACACTTCCGAGTCCCAGGTAGGTCTCCCCCTCCCCCCACAGGTCCCTGATGCCGGTTCTCCAGGGGGTGATCCTGGGACTGACTAGGACCCCCTCCATCCCCATCTCCTGCCCCTCTCCCTTCGCCCCTGGGAGCGGAGGCGGGCGTGGGGGGGGTCGGTCCAGGGCCCCTGCAGCTCTCCTCCTCCCCAGACATGGGCTACCTGGACCTGCGCATCGCGAACACGGACTACAGCTCCTTCGCCGTGGTCTACATCTACAAGGAGCTGGAGGGGGCGCTCAGCACCATGGTGCAGCTCTACAGTGAGGCCCCGCCCGCCACCCGTATCCGCCCCGCCCACAGCCTGGACACCACACATCCCCCGCCCACAGCCCCGCCCACCATACACCCCCCGCCCATGGCACCGCCCACAATATATGGCCCACCCACAGCCCGCCCACCACACAGCCCCGCCCACAGCCCCGCCCACCATACACCCCGCCCACAGCCCCGCCCGCGACCCCCCCCCGCCCATGGCACCGCCCACAATATAGGGCCCACCACAGCCCCGCCCACCACCTATATCTGCCCTGTCCACGCCCCTCACAAATCTATGCCCCGCCCACAACATACACCTGCCCGCCTACGCCCCGCCCACTATCTATGCCGGCCCACCGTCTCCTCCTGGCCCCGCCCCTTCAGGGCCGGCCCCGAATCCTCCTGGGCCTCCTGGTCCCAAACTCCCAAGTCCGGGCCGGGAGGTCAGGTCCGGTGTGAGGGGGCAGGACCCCCGGCTTCGGTGGGGTTGGCGGGAGGGGCCCTCTCTGGCCTCCTGAGGGGGGACCCCCTTCCTGCGGCCTGAGCCCCTGGACCAGCGGAGAGCCTATTGGGCTTTCATTCCCGGGGTCTGCGGGGTGGAGGCAGGAGGTGGGGGGCCGGGGACAGGCCGGGGGGAGCGGGCCCGCCTCCGGACACCCTGTGGGAGCAGCCAGGCTGGCGCCCGGGCACACGGGTCCGCCCTCGGAAGGGCCCGCGGGCCCTGTCTCCCCTCTCCGCGGTGAGCCGCGGGGTTCACAGGCCCCTCTGCCCAGGCCGGACCCAGGAAGCCAGTCCCCAGGCCGTGAAGGCCTTCCAGGACTTCTACCCGACCGTGGGGCTCCCGGACGACATGGTGGCCATGCTGCCCAAGTCAGGTGCCGCCGCCGCCTGCGCCTCGCGCCTCCCCCGCTGCCTCCCCCCCCTCCCCCCTCCTCCACCCCTCCCCCCTATCCCGCCTCCCCCGACCCCTCCCCCCACCCGTCCCCCCTCTCCCCCCCTCCCGCCCCCCCCCGCCTCCCCCCCCAAGCTCCGCCCCGCCCCGGCCAACCCTGCAGCACCGAGCCCCGCCCTTCCCTGACCAGACCCCGCCCCGCCCCGCCCACTACCCAATCCCCGCCCCACATCAGATCCCGCCCCAGGCCCCGCCCCTCCAGGCCAGATCCCACCAAGCCACGCCCACCCACAAGATCTTGCCAGGCCCCGCCCGCCAGGCCCCGCCCCTCCAAGCCAGATCCCGCCCCAAGCCCGGTCTTCAGCGCTCTGGGCAGCCAGGGGCTGGGCTGGCAGCGACTCCAGCCTCTCCTGCCCACAGCCCCTTCCTCCCCAGCACCCGGAGGGGCGGTCTGGGAGCCCAGAAGGGACAGTCTTTCGGCTCCAGCTTCTGGGTCTGGCTGCGTGGTCCCTAGGGGTGGGGGCGTGGTGGGCGTGTCCGCCCGCTCCGCCCCTCACTGTCTGTCTTCCTTCCTGCAGATGCGTGCTCCCCGGGGGGCGCGGAGGCACCCTGACACCCCTGCAGACTCACCTGGCCCCTTCCCAGGCCGCGGCGGCCGGGTAATCCTCCCTCCTGCCCTGCAGGCCTGCCCCTCCTCCCCAGGCCTCCTGCTCTCCCACCACGCCCCCTGGCATGGTTCTGCCTGGGTCTGGTGCTTCAGTCTCAGCTCACCCCCTCCAGGAAGCCCCCCGGACTTCCTACGGCTGCCCTAACGAACGGCCAGCAGAGGGCAGCACGGGTCCTACACCGAGGTGTGGGCAGGCAGGGCTGGCTCACCCGGGGCTCCAAGGGAGACCCCTGCCACCAGGAGCCGGCAGCCTGGCCTCCCTGGATTTGTGGACTTGACCCTCCCATCTCTGCTCCACTGCCCATGGCCAGCTCCCTCCGTGTGCCTGTGTCCACATGTCCTTCTTCTTCTTTTTAAAAAAATATATTTTATTGATTTTGTACAGAGAGGAAGGGTGAGAGATAGAGTTAGAAACATCGATGAGAGAGAGTCATTGATCAGCTGCCTCTTGCACACCCCCTACTGGGGATGTGCCCGCAACCAAGGTACATGCCCTTGACTGGAATCGAACCCGGGACCCTTCAGTCCCCAAGCCGATGCTCTATCCATTGAGCCAAACCGGTTTCGGCAAACGTCCTTCTTCTGAGAAGGACACCCGCTGTGGCTGTGGGGCCCACCCTAAATCCGGGGTATCTCAAAGTGAGACCTTAACTCATTACTCCTGAGAGAACCCATTTCCCAAAGAGGCCACATGCAGAGCTCGTGCGGACTTCAATGTTGGGGGGACCCTCTCCAACCCGGTGCCTTTCGTGTCCCCCTGTGCCCAGCTCACCCCGGGGGCATCAGGCCTCTCTCCCTGAGGGCCCCCTGGGGGCCCCGTTCGCTGCCCTCAGGGCTGGGTCCCAGGAGCCCTCGGTGCACACAGGCAGGTGGGCTCCTGGGAACACCTTCCCCCAAAGTAGACATGGGGGCCCACCAGGCCCCTCCCCCAGGTTCCCGGAGGAGAATACGGGAACCCCAATGAAGCAGTAACTGCCGGACGGGGTGTGCCAGCCGGCAGGTCGGGAGCCGGCCGTGGCCTCTCCGGCAGTCTGGGCGGCGGCACAGGGCAGCTTCCTCTTCGTCCTGCGCCCTGTGCCCTGGGCCCCTGGCCGTCCTGGCGCCGAACCCAGGGTCCCAGGGACTCCGGGCTGCTCCAGCTTTTCGTGGGTCTGGCTGACGCCGCTCGGCATCCTGGTGCTGCCTTCTGCCCGGCACACGGGTGGCTGCTTCAGAAGCATTACCGGGGGGCGGGGGGGGGGGAGGGAGGGGGGAGGAGAGGGGGAATTGAGCCAAACCCCACTGTGGAAGGGTCACCTGCAGAGAGTGTGAGCCCCCTCTTCCTGCTCTGTGCCCCTCCCCCCAGACGATCTTTTAAAAAAACAAGTTTTAATTTCAGAGAGGGAGAGGTAGGGAGAGATAGACATCGAAACATCCATGATGAGTGAGAATCACTAATTGGCTGCCTCCTGCACGCCCCCTCTGGGGATTGAGCCTGAAGCCCCGGCCTGTGCCCTTGACCGAAATGGAACCCAGGACCCCTCGGTCCTCAGGCCAACGCTCTTATCCACTGAGCCACCCCAGCCAGGGCTCCAGATGGTCTTAACAAGGAAAAGCAGCGTGGGGGTCAGGGCCTCTCGTGGGCCAGCTCTCGGGTGCCGGTCTGTGGGCTCTGCGGGGTTCACTGGCCACTCTGGGTCACTTCCACACCAGCCCCTCACCGCCGGCGCTGGGGCTGGGTCCCTGGGGCCCCCTAGGGTGCAGTGGGGGTGTGTGTCCTGGTGCCTCCTGGGGCCCAGTGGGGGGTGTGTCCTGGGGCGCAGTGGGGGTTTGTGCCCTGGGTGCAGTGCGGGGGGGGGGGGGGGGGGTGTTTCCGCATCCGCAGAACTCCGGGCAGCGAACAGCTCGCGGGCCTTGCAGGGGTGGGTGAACGGGTGAATGGGCGGAGGGGGCGGTGTGCGGGCGGCGGGGAGGCTGAGGAGCGCTGGCCGAGGGGGAGGGTGGATGGCTGACTACGCCTCTCCCTCTGTGCAGGGCAAGCGGAGCAGCGGGCCTCACGCGTCGCCCCCGCCTTCCAGACCCCGGTCCTGCCCGCCCCCTCCTGCTCACCCCCATCCCCAGTGGGACGTCTTCCTGGGCCTTTCCCCCCCAATAAACTTATCTTACAGGCTCCAGGCTCCTCACTCCTTGGCGAGGCCCCCCTTGGCCTGGGGCTTCTGGGGAAACTGAGGCAGGGAGGTGGGTGAAGGGACTCTGGCTGCTGGGCTCCCCCACGCTGACCCCATGGACTCACAGCGGCTGCAGGAAAGCCAGGCCCCGGGGAAGACCAGCCTTGCTGCTGGGGCTCCGTGGCCCGAGCTGGATGCTGGTCTGGGACCCGGATGTAAGTCTGAGCCCCGGATGTAGGTCTGGGTGTGTGGAGGGAAGTGTGGCCTCTAGGGGGCGCCATGGGCCCAGGTGTGAGGTTTGGGTCAAGGGCAGGACCTTGGGATGATGAAATGGTGGTGTGGACGAGCCTGGGTATTTAGACTCCAATAAAGGGTTAGGCAATGGTTCTTGTCTGGGTCCCAGGAATGGCCGTCTGGTCCTAGCCATAAGGGTCCGGGACCCGGCCAAACCGGTTTGGCTCAGTGGACAGATTGTTGGGCTGCGGACTGTAGGGTCCCAGGTTCGATTCCGGTCAGGGGCACAAACTTTGGTTGTGGGCACATTCCCAGGGGTGGGTGTGCAGGAGGCAGTTGATTGATGTTTCTCCTTGATGTTTCTAACTCTCTATCCCACTCTCTTCCTCTCTTTGAAAAATCAATTAAAAAAACACACAAAACGATAAAAACTATGAACAATAAATACCTAACAAGTGAATCTAAAAACCAAGGGAATTAAAAAAAAAATCTGATGAACAACATTAACTGGTGAATATAATAGAATCAGAGGTATGGAAGGGGAGTGGACTGACGATTCTCGGGGAAAAGGGAGAGGAGGGTGTGGGAAGAGACTGAACATAAACTGTGCACCTATGGATGAGGGCAATGGGGGGTGGGCAAAGGGCAGAGGGTGGGGTGGGAACCTGGTGGAGGGGAGCAATGGAGGGGGGGATGAGGAACATTTGTAATAATATGAACAATAAAAATTTATTAAAAACAAAAAAAACAAAACGGTCTGGGACCTGGATGTAGGTCTGAGCCCCGGATGAAGATCTGGGTCCCTGAGGGCAATCGGGCCCGGAGGAAAGTCTGAGCCTCGGGGCAGTCTGGCACCTCACCTGGGCATCTGGGTTATGGAATAGTTGTTTCGGTTACGCATAGAGTTCTCGTTCCCTGATATAACTCTGTGTTCCAGGTTTGTGGCTTGGGCCCCAGGTGGGCCTCCTTGGCCCCACCATGATGGTCTGGCACCCGGATGTAGGTCTGGGTGCTCAGGCATGGTGTGGCCACGAGGCGGCGCTATGAGCTCAGGTGTGAGGTTTGGGTCAGGGGCAGGACCTCAGGATGATGAAATGGTGGTGTCGACTAGTCTGTTTATTTGGACTCCAATAAAGGGTTAGGCAATGGTTCTTGTGTGGGTCCCCGGAATGGCCTTTTGGTCCTCGACATAAAGGTCCGGGACCCGGCCAAACCGGTTTGGCTCAGTGGATAGATTGTTGGGCTGCGGACTGAAGGGTCCCAGGTTCGAATCCGGTCAGGGGCACAAACTTTGGTTGTGGGCACATTCCCAGTGGTGGGTGTGCAGGAGGCAGTTGATTGATGTTTCTCCTTGATGTTTCTAACTCTCTATCCCACTCTCTTCCTCTCTTTGAAAAATCAATTAAAAAAAAAAACAAAAAAAGGCCTGGGACCCGGATGTAGGTGTGAGCCCGGATGGAGGCTGGGTCCTGGGAGGGCAGTTCGGGCCCGGCAGGGCGGTCTGGGCCCCGGGGGCGGTCTGGCACTCACTGGGACCTCTGGGTTAGGGAATGGTGGTCCGGGTTACAGACGGGGAACTATGCCCCTGTGGCAGGACAGGCTTCTGTGACTGAGGCCCGGGGCCAGGATAAGCTTCTGGGCCCGCCATCATGGCCCCTGTGTGCTTCGGCAAGGCCCGGACCTGGGTCCTGGTGGTGCCAGCGTACTGGGTGCCCTTGGCGGCCAGCCAGGCCCGTGTGGGTCGCTGGGCATGGGCCGTGAGCCACTATGGCCCTTCCTTCACAGACTGGAACCTGAGGCCCCCAGGTCAGCCTGGACCAGCCAGGGCGCGGCTGGGGCTCAGGCCCAGGGCTGAGGCTCCGGGGCCTGGCTCCATGCTGACCCTGGAGGATTGCCCCCGGGGCCAGCCACGCCGTTCCCCTCCCTGACGCCGAGCCTGCGGTTTCCGCCAGGAGCTCTGGGCGTCTCGGTGATGTCCGGTGCACACGCCTCAGAGGGCCCGTGTGGGCGGGCAAAAGGGCGCTGGGGGTCCTGCCTCACTGCTCATGGTGCCCTGCAGGGCGGCGCCGGAAGGAGGAGGCCTGAGAGCACCTGACCTCCTCCTGTCCCTGGCCCCCCAGAGGCCGCAGGGGCCCCCACACTCCCTCTCTCCCCTCTGCTGCCCTGTCAAGCCCATGCCAGGGGCCCTGGCTCATCCACCGGAGCCGGAGTCAGCCTGTGGCCGGGGCCGGCCAGTCCTCCGCCTCCTCCCCCTGCGGCCCTGCCCTTGGGTCACCCCCTGAGCCCCCGGTGTGCCGGCCGGCTCAGAGCCCCCCAGCCTGACAGCCTGTGTTTTCACCCTGACGTGCTTATCCTCTGGTCCCAGCCGGGAATGCATGCTTTGGGGGGCTGGGGGAGGATGGGGGTGGAGGCCTGGGCATGGTGGGAGGACACAGCACAGGAAGGACAAAAGTAAACACGCAGTCGTGGTGGCGGGGGGGGGGGGGGGCGCGGCGTGGTGGTGGGGGTGGTGGTTGGTGCCTGCAGAGGTCCCCCAGGACAGCCAGACCCTCCTTCGCCTCCCTCGGCCCCCCCCCCCCCAGGCCTCAGGGACGCTCCCTCTGCAGGACGGCTCTCCGGAGACTCCCAGAGGGCCCCCGCTCCTCCCTGCACCCGAGGGCAGGCCCGCTCGGCTCTGGGCACTGAGCGAGCCCTCCGAGCGAGCGTTTGTCCCGAAGAGCTCAGCTCTGAGGCTGAGCCTCGGCCCGTGAGCCAGGAGGTCAGGGTTCATTCCCGGTCGGGGCACAGGCCCGGGTGGCGGGCTCCATCCCCCGTGTGGGGCGTGCAGGAGGCAGCCGATCCGTGATTCTCTCTCCTCGTTGATGTCTCTCTCTCCCTCTCTCCCCCTTCTTCTCTGAAATCAATAAAAATACATTAAAAAAAAAAAAAAAAAGGATGAGCCCTGGCCGGTGGGCCCTGAGGGCACCTGCTCATGACGCCGGTCCCTGTGTCTGTGGGGAGGTGCCGGAAGCCTGGGGGTGCTCTGGCCCCTGTGGGGGGGGGCTGCTCTCAGGCCCCTGTGGACCCTGTGCGGCGTCCACGCAGTCCCGGCCGGCCACCCCGGCTGTGGGCGTCACACGGCCCGATGGGCCTGCTGCGGAAGAGGCAGGCTCCCGGTGGCCTGTGGCTGGCGATTGCGTCACAGCCGTCCGGGGATATAAACCGGAGCCGGGCGGCGGGGAGAGTGCGGGCAGCGATGGGGGCCCGGCTGCTGGGCGCCGTCCTGGGCCTGGTGCTGGTGCAGGTGCAGGTGGCCGTGCAGGACCTGGACCTGCAGAAGGTGGCTTCCCGGCTTCGTCCTGGGGAGGGGGAGGGGAGGGGCCTGTGTCGCCCCAGCCCCGGCTGAGGCCGGAGCGGAGGCCCCGACCGGGGCCAGCACCCACCCAGGTCGCCCCCACCTGACGCTGGGACACGGCTTCTCTTCTGTTGCAAAACGGTCAAGAGTTTCCGAGGAGGACAGAGCTGTGCCTCTTCCACAGGCCGAGACTGAGCTCCTGGGTGGTTTTACTCTCTCTCCCTCTCTCTCTCCCTGCCCTCCCGCGTCCCTCCCGCGGGCAGGCACCCGCAGAGGAGATCCCCGGGGACGGCACACAGGCCTGGGGGAGGGCTCCCATGGGCACGGCCGGCCGGTGCCGGGAGGGACCCCTCCGGAGGGTGGCCACCTGCTCCTTTGCCTCGAGCCTCGCGCTGACTGACCGCTGACCTTCCAGAACTGGCAGCTCCCTCCCCGGGGGCCTGGGACCCACCCGGCTGCCCCCACGGCCTCGGCTCTGTCCCTCCCTCTAGATTTCGGGGTTCTGGCGGGAAGTCGGCGTGGCTTCCCACCAAAACCTGGCGCTGAAGACCCCGAAGCGGCCGGAGGCCCTGTTCCTGACGCTGAGCGGGGCCGAGCTGACCGTGAAGGCCGCGTACAACGGGTGGGCCGCTCCCCGCGCTCCAGGGAGCCGGGGGGGGGGGGGCAGGTGTGCGCCAGGCCGCTCTGGGGCTTGGACGGTGTCCTCACTGGTGGGCCAGCCACCGAGACCTTGACCTGCCTCCCCCGCTGAGACCCACCCGGCTCTGAGCTGCACCCCTCGCACTGGCTTCGGAGCTGAAGGTGGCTCCCTGGTCACGGAGCCCGGGGCGGGGGGCGGTGCTGGGGGACTCGCCTGTCTTTCCTGAGGACTCGCGCCCCCCCCCCCCCGAAGTGTGCCAGCGGGAGACGCAGCCTAAGGAGCACTCTGCTGCTTTCAGCTCAGGAGGCTGTGAGACAGAAAACATCGTGGGCGCTGAGGTCGACGTCTCGGGGAGGTTTGTTTTTCCCGGTAAGAGCTGTCCCGTGGCTGCAGGTACAACCCCGAGGCCCTGAGCAGCTCACTGTGGCCCTGCTGTTCCCCTGCTGTTCCCACTCTGTTCCCCTGCTGTTCCCCGCTGTTCCCACTGTGTTCCCACTCTGTTCCCACTCTGTTCCCACTCTGTTCCCTGCTGTTCCCACTCTGTTCCCTGCTGTTCCCACTCTGTTCCCTGCTGTTCCCCGCTGTTCCCACTGTGTTCCCACTCTGTTCCCTGCTGTTCCCACTCTGTTCCCCTGCTGTTCCCACTCTGTTCCCACTCTGTTCCCCTGCTGTTCCCTGCTGTTCCCACTCTGTTCCCACTCTGTTCCCACTCTGTTCCCCTGCTGTTCCCACTCTGTTCCCCTGCTGTTCCCACTCTGTTCCCTGCTGTTCCCACTCTGTTCCCACTCTGTTCCCCTGCTGTTCCCCGGCTCCTCTCCACGCTCCAGACTCTCCCACTGTCTCACCCACAAGCCCTCAGGGCTGCTCCAGCCCGCCCTCTGCCTACCATGATGGCGGGGTCGGTGGGGGGGGGAGTCTGACGCGGGGGCTGCTCCAGCCCGCCCTCCGCCCACCATGATGGCGGGGTCGGTGGGGGGGGAGTCTGACGCGGGGGCTGCTCCAGCCCGCCCTCCGCCCACCATGATGGCGGGGTCGGTGGGGGGGGAGTCTGACGCGGGGGCTGCTCCAGCCCGCCCTCCGCCCCCAGGCCGCAGGGAGATCCAGGTGATGGACACGGACTATGAGCACTACGCCATCCTGCGGCTGTCCCTGCACTGGCAGGGCCGGGCCTTCCATGTGCTCAAGTACTTCAGTGAGCGCCGGGCCGGCTGCGGCCCTGTGCCCCGACCTGCTCAGCCCCCAGCCCCCGCTGCCCCCGCTGCCCCCGCTGCCCCCGCTGCCCCCCGCTGCCCCCCGCTGACTCCTCAGCCCCCCTCAGCTCCCCGCTGCCCCCCTCAGCCCCCCCAGCCCCCCGCTGCCCCCCGCTACCCCCCGCTGCCCCCCGCTGCCCCCCGCTGCCCCCCGCTGCCCCCCTCAGCTCCCCGCTGCCCCCCGCTGCCCCCCCAGCCCCCGCTGCCCCCGCTGCCCCCGCTGCCCCCGCTGCCCCCGCTGCCCCCCTCAGCTCCCCGCTTCCCCTCCCAGCCCCCCCAGTCCCCGCTGCCCCCGCTGCCCCCCGCTGCCCCCCCAGTCCCCGCTGCCCCCCCAGCCCCCGCTGCCCCCCGCTGCCCCCCGCTGCCCCCCCAGTCCCCGCTGCCCCCCCAGTCCCCGCTGCCCCCCCAGCCCCCGCTGCCCCCCGCTGCCCCCCGCTGCCCCCCCAGTCCCCGCTGCCCCCCCAGTCCCCGCTGCCCCCCCAGCCCCCGCTGCCCCCCGCTGCCCCCCGCTGCCCCCCCAGTCCCCGCTGCCCCCCAACCCCCGCTGCCCCTCGCTGCCCCCGCTGCCCCCGCTGCCCCCCGCTGACTCCTCAGCCCCCCTCAGCTCCCCGCTGCCCCCCTCAGCCCCCCCAGCCTCCCGCTGCCCCCCCAGCCCCTGCTGCCCCCCCAGCCCCCCGCTGCCCCCCGCTGCCCCCCCGCTGCCCCCCCAGCCCCCGCTGCCCCCCAGCCCCCGCTGCCCCCCCAGCCCCCGCTGCCCCCCGCTGCCCCCCCAGCCCCCGCTGCCCCCCCAGCCCCCCTCAGCTCCCCGCTGCCCCCCTCAGCCCCCCCAGCCTCCCGCTGCCCCCCCAGCCCCCCCCAGCCTCCCGCTGCCCCCCCAGCCCCCCGCTGCCACCCTCAGCCCCCCTCAGTTCCCCGCTGCCCCCCTCACCCCCACTTCCCCCCTCAGCCCCCCTCAGCCCCCCACTTCCCTCCACTCGCCCCTCTCCCGCTGCCCCAGCCCGCAGCCTGGAGGACCAGGATGAGCCCGGCTTCTGGCGGTTCCGGGAGCTGACGGCCGACACCGGGCTGTACCTGGTGGCCCGGCACGGTGAGCCCGGCCGGGGGCGGGGGGCTGGGCGCTACGGGGGGCTGAGGGGGCTGAGCGGGGAAGTGGGGGTGAGGGGGGCTGAGGGGAGCAGCAGGGAGCTGAGGGGGGCAGCGGGGGGCTGAGGTCGGCGCCGTCCCCCTCACTCGCCCCGTCCGCAGGGCGCTGTGCCGAGCTCCTGAAGGAGGTGAGCGTGCTGGCCGCTCCGCCCGGGCCGCCCGGCAGGACGCTCCCCGCCCCGGCCTCCGGCGGTGCCACGGAGCAGGGGGCCGGAGGCGGCGGGGGGCAGGCTGGCTGCGGGGGGGGGTCCCCCTCTCCACGTAGCAGGCAGCCGGGGCTGTGGACGCTGACGTCCGGCCTGGGGGCCCCATTCCCACCCTCGCCCACCGCCCCCCGTGGGCCCCCGGCCTCCACACGGCCCCGAGGGGGCAGCCCTGCTCTGCTGCCCCGGCAGCCGGGACGCCCCGCCCCCACATCCGGCCCGCTGCCCGGGGCCCGGGAGCCGCCGCCTGAGCCCCTTCTGTGTCACAGGAGCTGATCTAGGAGCCTGTGCCCAGGCCGGACGCCGGGAGCCCCTCCCGCTCCTGCCCCTCCCGCCCCTCCCTCCTGCCCCTGCTCTGGCCCTGCCCCGGCCAGCAGCACTGGCCCCAATAAACCCCTGACACACCGGCTGCCCTGAGTCTTTCCTGGGCCGTGGGGCGACGGGTGTGTGTGTGTGTGTGTGTGTGTGTGTGGAGGGAGGTGGGGAGGGGGACGGTGGAGGAAGGGGGTGGACTCCATGGTCCCGTCTGACTCCACGTTAAAGCACAAGTGTCAGGATCAAATCACTAAGACATTCGGGCCACCTGGGGCGGGGGCGCAGGGCAAACACACAGCGGGTGTCGGGCGGCCTCCATCCCGCCCGGGGCAGCCACACCCGGGTCCGAGGGCCCTGGCCTGGCCCGCCCTGGCCTCCGCCCGGTGGCCTCCGGGTCCGACAGGCCACTGCACCCTGACACCCACCCTCCCAGCTCCCCTCAGAGCAGAGACCAACCAGCCCCTTACACATTTTAGAATATACGCATTTTTTTATGTTGATTTCAGAAGGAAGGGCGAGGAAGAAATAAAACATCAGTGATGAGAGAGAATCATGGATCAGCTGCCTCCTGGGGATGGAGCCCGGAACCCGGGCCTGTGCCCTGACCGGGAATCGAACCCTGACCTGGTTCCTAGGTCTACACTCACCACTGAGCCACGCCAGTCAGGCCACTTTTGCATTTTTAAAAAATATATATATTTTATTGATTTTTGTACAGAGAGGAAGGGAGAGAGATAGAGAGTTAGAAACATCGATGAGAGAGAGTCATCGATCAGCTGCCTCTTGCACACCCCCTACTGGGGATATGCCCACAACCAAGGTACATGCCCTTGACCGAAATCGAACCCGGGTCCCTTCAGTCCCCAAGCTGATGCTCTATCCATTGAGCCAAACCGGTTTTGGCCACTTTTACATTTTTATTCAGCCTCCCCCCCCCCCCCCCGCCTCCTCCCCCATCTGTCTGTCCCCTCATGATTTGGCCTGTCTGCGTGGGCTGGAACCTCCCTCCCCCAGCTCCTTCTGCGGGGTGGGGCCAGGATAGCACCTGGGGTGGGGGTGGGGGTTGAGGGCTGGGACGCCCGGCCGCCCCCCTGGGTGACCTCGGGCTGGCGTCACGCTCTGCACAGCTCACCACCTGCTCGGGGAGCTCCCTCCCGGCCGGGAGTGGGGGGCAATTCTGGGTTTAAAGAGCCAGAGGGCTCGCCGAAGCCGGTGTTGCTCAGTGGATAGAGCGTCGGCCTGCGGACTGAAAGGTTTCGGGTTCGATTCCAGTCAAGGGCATGATGTACCTTGGTTGCAGGCACATCCCAGTGGGCGGTGTGCAGGAGGCAGCTGATTGATGTCTCTCTCTCATTGATGTTTCTAACTCTATCCCTCTCCCTTCCTCTCTGTGAAAAATCCATACAATATATTTTAGAAAAGAAAAGAGCCAGAGGCAGGTGCCCTGGGCTCCGGCTGGTGGGCAGGAGGCTGCCAGTTTGCCGTCCGGTGTTGGCTGTGGTGTCTTCAAAGGCTCCGTGGGCCGGCCAGCAGGGCGGAGGGCCAGCACCTCGCCCCACCTCCCGCCCGCAGCGCCAGCCGCCGTGCCGCCCGTCAGCACGCGGGCCGTGTCCCTCGTCTCGCCCCACTGCCCAGAGGCCCTGCTGCCCGGGAGGCAGGCCTGGGGCACATGCGCCTGATCCTGGGCAGGTCCCCCTCAGCCCCCACCCCTTGGGCATCCCCCTTCATGGCCACCCGCTTTTCCGTCACGCAGCCGGAAACGGGCCTGCCAGCTGCTCAGATGGGACACCCCGAAGGAGGCTGGGGCTCCCTGCTCGGGGCAGATGGGGGCCCTGGGGCAGCTGGGGGCCCTGGGGCAGCTGGGGGTCCTGGGGCAGCTGGGGGCCTGGGGGCAGCTGGGGGCCCTGGGGCAGCTGGGGGCCCTGGGGCAGCTGTGGGCCCTGGGGCAGCTGGGGGCCCTGGGGCAGCTGGGGGTCCTGGGGCAGCTGGGGGTCCTGGGGCAGCTGAGGGTCCTGGGGCAGCTGGAGGCCCTGGGGCAGCTGAGGGTCCTGGGGCAGCTGGGGGTCCTGGGCAGCTGGGGGCCCGGGGGCAGCTGAGGGCCCTGGGGCAGCGACCTCGCACACATTCCAGAGGAGACCCTCTCCCCAGAGCGATGTGACCCGCAGACCATGCCCGTTCCGTCCTGTCTCACCCCAGAGCCCAGCACTGCCCTGCGGCCTGGACGCCGTCTGAGGCCCCGGAGGGGGAGGGCGGCTCCCCGGCCTGCGGGGCGGCTGGCGGTGCCGGGCGGAGGATATAAACCGCGGGCGCCGGCTCTGGGGCTCGGGAATGGGCGCCGCCGCTCCGCCTGCCTCCTGCGCCCGCCATGACGGGCCGCCTGCTCCTGGCCCTGCTGGGGCTGTGTGTGCCGCTGGCGGCCGGCAGGCAGGGCTTGGTGGTGAAGGACTTCGACCTCAATAAGGTAGGGAGCCGGGCGCCGGCCAGGGGGGCGTCCTCCAGGATGGAGCCCCCTGGCCGTGCCTGATGGCGGCCCGCTGGGCAGGGGGTGCCCGGCCCTGGCGCCTGTGCTGAAGCCCCCCCAGTTCTCAGGCTTCTGGTACGAGATCGCCTACGCCTCCAAGGTCCACGCCCCGCGGGCCAGGCAGGTGGTGGGGGTACAGATGGAGCAGGAGGGTGGCCACCTGGCCCTGACCACCGCCTACAAGGAGTGAGTGCCGTGCGGGGTGGGGGCGCCGGGGCCGGGGCTCAGGGCGGCCCTGGGCGAGGGGGACCCTCACGCTCCTCACACAGTGCATGGGTGACCTCTGAACTTAGGGGCTCCCCTCCAGTCCTTCCCCCGGGACCCCCTCCCAGGGGTCAGGGCCCCCACACCAAGCCTGGCACGTCCGCTGTTGGTCGGCGGCCCTCCCCGCAGCCTCGGCCACGGGCCCGAGCCGTGTGGGCCGGGCTGGACGCGGTGAGGGGTGGGGAGGCAGGATCGGGGGAGCCGGGCCGGGGGCCTCGGTCGGGGGCTCCTGCCCGGAGTGGGGGCCGGGGGGCGGCGGCTGCAGGCTCTGTGCTCCGCAGTGAGACCGGCTGCGTGACGGAAAAGCGGGTGGCCATGAAGGGGGACGTCCCGGGGAAGTTCAAGGAGCCCAAGGAGTTCGGTGAGCCCTGCCGGGCCCCTCTCCCCGCCGGTGCCGCCCTCGGTGTCTCCCTCCCGGGCAGCAGGGCCCCCATTCCCCTCTCCTTGGGCGGTCCCTTCAGGAGACCCGGAGGCCCACTCCCGCGCTCCGGGGGGTGTGCGCACACAGGCATATGTGTGTGCATTCACATGCACGTGCACACGCATGCACACGCGTGTACACGCGTGTGTGCCTGCACGAGAGCGCGGGCGAGCGGTGGGGGCACGGCCTGGGGGGCGGTGACGGTGTGGGAGCCGTGCGCCTGGCTTGTGTGCAGGAGACAGGGAGATCTCGGTGGTGAGCACGGACTACAGGACCTACGCCATCCTGCACGTGCAGGCCCACTCGGGGGCGGCCGGCGCCGGTCTCCTCAAGCTCTGCAGTGAGCGCGGGCCGGGGTGGGTGGGGGAGCGGGCACTGCGAGGGGCAGAGGGGAGGGGAGGGAGCGGCAGGAGGTCTCCGGCCCACGCGGGAACCCGTCCTCCGCAGGCCGGGCCCTGGAACACGACCGGGACGTCATGGAAAAGTTCCACCAGGTGGCCAGGGGCTACGGCTTCTGCGAGAAGGACGTGCGCCTGCACTCCTGGGACCGTGAGTGCCGGCCCACACCCCTCCTGCCCTCCCCTGCCCCCCCCCGCCCGCCTCACTCCCCTCCTGCCCTCCCCTGCTCCGCCCGCCTCACTGCCCTCCCCTGCCCCCCGCCCCGCCCGCCTCACTGCCCTCCTGCCCTCCCTGCCCCCACTCCACCCACCTCACTGCCCTCCTGCCCCCCTGCCCCCACTCCGCCCGCCTCACTGCCCTCCTGCCCTCCCTGCCCCCCCTCCACCCACCTCACTGCCCTCCTGCCCCCCCTACCCCCCCGCCCCGCCCACCTCACTCCCCTCCCCTGCCCCCCCCGCCCGCCTCACTGCCCTCCTGCCCCCTCCTGCCCTCCCCTCCACCCGCCTCACTGCCCTCCTGCCCCCCCGCCCCGCCCGCCTCACTCCCCTCCTGCCCCCCCTCCCCTCTCCGCCCGCCTCACTGCCCTCCTGCCCCCTCCTGCCTTCCCCTCCACCCGCCTCACTCCCCTCCTGCCCTCCCCTGCCCCCCCCTCCGCCCGCCTCACTGCCCTCCTGCCCCCTCCTGCCTTCCCCTCCACCCGCCTCACTCCCCTCCTGCCCTCCCCTGCCCCCCCCGCCCGCCTCACTCCCCTCCTGCCCTCCCCTGCCCCCCCCGCCCGCCTCACTGCCCTCCTGCCCTCCCCTGCCCCCCCCGCCCGCCTCACTCCCCTCCTGCTCCCCCTCTCCGCCCGCCTCACTCCCCTCCTGCCCTCCCTGCCCCCCCCTCCGCCCGCCTCACTGCCCTCCTGCCCTCCCCTGCCCCCCCCCGCCCGCCTCACTGCCCTCCTGCCCCCTCCTGCCCTCCCCTCCACCCACCTCACTCCCCTCCTGCCCTCCCCTGCCCCCCCTCTGCCCGCCTCACTGCCCTCCTGCCCCCCCTGCCCCCCCGCCCGCCTCACTGCCCTCCTGCCCCCCCTGCCTCCCCCCGCCCACCTCACTGCCCTCCTGCCCCCCCCCCGCTCCGCCCGCCTCACTCCCCTCCCCTGCCCCTGCTCTGCCCCCCCGCCCGCCTCACTCCCCTCCTGCCCCCCCTGTCCCCCCCGCCCGCCTCACTGCCCTCCTGCCCTCTCCTGCCCCCGCCCTGCCCGCCTCATTGCCCTCCTGCCCCCCCTGCCTCCCCCCGCCCGCCTCACTCCCCTCCTGCCCCCCCTCCCCTCTCCGCCCGCCTCACTCCCCTCCTGCCCTCCCTGCCCCCCCCCGCCCACCTCACTCCCCTCCTGCCCCCCCCCCCCCCCGCTCTGCCAGCCTCACTCCCCTCCCCTGCCCCTGCTCCGCCCGCCTCACTGCCCTCTGTCCACAGTGACCTGCGCCAACACAGTGCGGCCGGTGAGCTCCGCCCTCCACCTGGGGCTGCCCCCCCCCCCCCCCCCGTCCATCTGTCCGCCCAGGGCACGGGGAGGGGGTCCGGGTCTGAGGGGCGGCTCTCTCGGTGGCAGAGCCCGGGGGGGGGGTCCGGAGCCGTCCCCTCACTCGCCCCGTCCGCAGGGCGCTGTGCCGAGCTCCTGAAGGAGGTGAGCGTGCTGGCCGCTCCGCCCGGGCCGCCCGGCAGGACGCTCCCCGCCCCGGCCTCTGGCGGTGCCACGGAGCAGGGGGCCGGAGGCGGCGGGGGGCGGGCTGGCTGCGGGGGGGGGTCCCCCTCTCCACGTAGCAGGCAGCCGGGGCTGTGGATGCTGACGTCCGGCCTGGGGGCCCCCATTCCCACCCTCGCCCACCGCCCCCCGTGGGCCCCCGGCCTCCACACGGCCCCGAGGGGGCAGCCCTGCTCTGCTGCCCCGGCAGCCGGGACGCCCCGCCCCCACGTCCGGCCCGCTGCCCGGGGCCCGGGAGCCGCCGCCTGAGCCCCTTCTGTGTCACAGGAGCTGATCTAGGAGCCTGTGCCCAGGCCGGACGCCAGGAGCCCCTCCCGCTCCTGCCCCTCCCGCCCCTCCCTCCTGCCCCTGCTCTGGCCCTGCCCCGGCCAGCAGCACTGGCCCCAATAAACCCCTGACACACCGGCTGCCCTGAGTCTTTCCTGGGCCGTGGGGCGACGGTGTGTGTGTGTGTGTGTGACAGGGGAGGGAAGACGGGGGCTGGGGGTGCCACCGTGACTGCCCCAGAGAGGGCTCCATCGCTGCCCAGTGTGAGCCGTGTGGGACGCTGCCCGGCTGCCTCAGGGGAGGGTCTGCCCAGGACTCGCCTTAAGGGCCCGTGACCTCAGTCCCTTAGCCCAGAGGAGGGGCGTCCGGAGGCCGGCGTCTGACTGACCGGGCGCTCAGTCCGCGTGCCCGAGCTCGCCAGGCCAGGCGCCGGCCTCGCCGAGAGCAGGCTGGTCCGCCGAGCGGCCGGGACAGCGGGGACGGTGGGACAGGTCTTCTCGGTCCCGGGGCTGCGCGTCCGAGGTCGGCGTTTCTGCCGAGACCCGTGGCCGTGGCCCTGGCCGTGGCCTCCGCCGTGGCCGACAGCCTCGGGGCCCGCCCTCAGGCCCCGCCGGGACCCTGCCAGCCCCCCGGGGGCTCTACCTGCCCCGCCTTTACGTCTCCGCTGTAAACGGAAAATGTGAAATGGAAATACCGTCTCAAACTCACTCTCCGCTCGGACGTAGGGCGTCGGCCCTTCCACAGTCCGGGCTGCGGCCACGGTGCGTGTCCCCGGGGTGCACCAGGAACCCTGACCCCGGGGTGTGGGTGCTGGAGGTAACTAGGTCCTGGGGGGGCCCCCAGGCTGGGTCAGTGCCCTGTGACAGGCCACCCCCACCCTGAGGACCCCGAGGAGCCCCCCACCCCCACCCGCTGTGCTGCGAACCGGCCGAAGCGGGGCCCCGGGGCCTCTCGGGGACCTGTCCTCCCTGCAGCCTCTGTCAGGGCACGGACTTGACAGCGAGTGGACAGGATTAACCTGAGACGAGGGTAATGCCTGTTTTTTTTTTTTTTTTTTTTTAAGTGTGTTTTTATTGATTTCAGAGAGGCAGAGAAATAGCAATGATGAGAGAGAACCGCTGATCATCTGCCTCCTGCACACCCCGCACTGGGGACCGAGCCCACAGCCCGGGCCTGTGCCCCGACCGGGAATCGAACCGAAACCTCCTGGTTCCTAGGTCAACGCTCAGCCCCGAGCCACGCCGGCTGCCTGACGGGAACCGGAACCTGGGGCCCCTCGGGCGGGGGGCCGGGACGGGGTGAGGTTTGTCTTCCTGTTTCACTCTCTTCCCTCAGGCGCCTGCCAGCTGGCAGGCAGGGCGTCCTGGCCCAAGGTCAAGGCCCGAGCCTTCCGGGGCTGGAGGGCGGGGAGCGGAGCGAGCTTGTGGGCGGGCAGTGACTTTGGTTCACCTCCAGCTTCCGTCCGTCTCCCTGAGGCTGCGGTGCCTGTCCCCCCCCCCCCCCCCAAGCCCTCATCTTTCCTCCCTGATCTGTCTGCTTCCTTGGCAACAGCTCCGGCGGGCAGCCAGCCCCGGGGCTGGTGTCCAGGCCGCACCGCCCACCACCGAGGGGGCTGCCCACCTCCTCCGGTGCTGGGGCTCAGATGGATGCTGCTGAGGCCTCTGTGCTCTGTCCCAGGGGACCCTGGGGGCACGGCCAAGGTCACGGAGCGCAGAGGGGGGGTCGCCGTGTGGAAGGCCGCAGCATGGAGGCTGCCCGGGCAGGCAGGCCAGACTGGGGGTGCCCCAGGCCGGGGGTGCGGGGGCCGGGAGAGCAGGACGTGGGGCTGGAGGCCATGGCCCGAGGGGCAGGGGTGGGCGGTCCAGGAGGGAGTGGGCGCTTCTGTTAAGTTTTGGGGGACGTTGTGCATTTTTAATGATTGAAACAAGAAGCCCCCAGAGCCGCTCCCTCTGGAAGAGTCAGCTGTTCTCACCCCGGCCCTGACGTGACCTTGGCCTGCTGCTGCCTGGGCTTCAGGACAGTGTTTGTCTGTCTGCCCAGCCGGCATGGCTCAGGGGTTGAATGTCGACCTAGGAACCAGGAGATCAGGGTTCGATTCCCCATCAGGGCATGGGCCCAGGTTGCAGGCTTGATTCCCAGCGAGGGCTGTGCAGGAGGCAGCCGGTCCAGGGTTCTCTCTTATCGTTGATGTTTCTATGTCTCTCCCTCTCCCTTCCGCTCTGAAATCAATTTAAAAAAAAGAAGGAAAAAGAAAGAGCAGTGTCTGTTCTTTCCAGAAAGGCAGGGAGGCTGTGGGCCTCGGGCGGGCGTGGGGAGGGCTGCGGCCTGGGATGAAAGTGCTCGTTCTGGAACCTTCCGGGCGGAAGGGAGTGCTGAGACGAGGGGTTGGCCGGGCACACTCCCCGCTGTCCCTGTCTGGGCCGGGCACGGAGCCCACGGCCGCCGTGCCAGGCTGTGGTTCTGGCCGCCCACAGCGCCTCGGCCATATAACGGGTCCCGGGGCCGAGTGGGACCGGGAGCATGAGGGCTGTGCTGCTGACCCTGCTGGCTCTGGCCGCGGCGCCCGGGGCCCCGGCCGTGTGGCTGGGGAAGCTGGACCCGGGGCAGGTAACGGCCTTGGGCTCCCCCAGGGCACGGGGCGGGGGCGGGGGGCTGGCCAGTGCCAGGGGCGCCCAGGTGGACGGGGCGCCTCTGAGCCTGGGGGCCCTCACCCCTGCGCCTCCTCCGTCAGCTCCTGGGGTCCTGGTACGTGGTGGCCGTGGCGTCCGGGGAGAAGGGCTTCGCAGTGGAGAAGGCCACGAAGAACATCGAGGGTGTCTCAGTGACGCTTACGCCCCAGAACCACCTGAGGCTGCTGGCCTCCCGCCACCGGTGAGCGCGCAGCCCCCAAGCCGGGCCAGGAGGGGCCGGCGGGCAGGAGAAGGCGGAGTTCCCGCTGAGCCCAGCTGCCGGGCGTAGAGGCGGGGGCGCCCGCACACGCGTGTCCAGCCCGTGCTCCCTCCCGGTCAGCTCTGCTCTGAGCACCTTGGCCTCTGATTCTGGGCCCCAGACTCCGGGCCTGGGGGCCTCTGGGCAGGACTCAGGGCCCCCGGGGGCCCAGGCCAGACGGCCCTGCTTTAGGGTCCGGTGGCTCCCCGGGACCCTCAGGCACACGGGACACGCGATCCGTGAACCACACATGATACTAACTGTGCCAGGTCAGCCCACAGAGTGCCGTATTTATTTATTTATTTTTTAAAGTATCTTATTGATTTTTTACAGAGAGGAAGAGAGAGGGATAGAGAGTTAGAAAGATCGATGAGAGAGAGTCACTGATCAGCTGCCTCCTGCACACCTCCCACTGGGGATGTGCCCACAACCAAAGTACATGCCCTTGGACCGGAATCGAACCTGGGACCTTTCAGTCTGCAGGCTGATGCTCTATCCACTGAGCCAAACCGGTCTTGGCCAGAGTGTGGTATTTAAAAAATATATGTTTTTATTGATTTCAGAGAGGAAGGGAGATGGAGAGAGAGAGAAACATCAAGGATGAGAGAGAATCATGGATCACCTTCCTCCTGCTCGCCCCACACGGGGGCTGAGCCCCCGACCCAGGCCTGTTGTCCTGACCGGGAATCGAACCTGGACGTCCTGGTTCATAGGTCAACACTCACCTGCTGAGCCCCATGGCGGGGCTGAACTGTCTTCTGTGGCCCTGTGTCTGGACCCTGTGTAAATGGTGGGCCTGAGTGGATATGGGCCTGAGTGGCTGGGCCCCAGAGGATGTGGGTCCGAGTGGCCCTGGCCCTGAGTGGCGTGGCCCTGAGTGGCGTGGGCCTGAGTGGCGTGGGTCCGAGTGGCCCTGGCCCTGAGTGGCGTGGGCCTGAGTGGCCCTGGCCCTGAGTGGCGTGGCCCTGAGTGGCGTGGGCCTGAGTGGCGTGGGCCTGAGTGGCGTGGGCCTGAGTGGCGTGGGCCTGAGTGGCGTGGGCCTGAGTGGCGTGGGCCTGAGTGGCGTGGCCCTGAGTGGCGTGGCCCTGAGTGGCTGTGGCCTTCTCCTCCCAGGCTGGAGCGGTGTGAGCTGAGTGCCATGGAGCTGCTGAAACAGAACTCTGCCTGGGTGTTCGAGAATCCCTGTGAGTAGGAGCCTCGTGGTCTGGTCCGGGCAAGGCGGGGGGGCGGTCCGTTTCTCGGGCCTCGGCCCTCTTAGCATCCCCGGAGCTGGCACAGCCATGCGGGGGGAGGCCCCAGCGAGCTCTCCGCCTGGAAGCGAGGGGACCCCGTTTTGGCAGAGGGCTGACCTGTCCCCGCCACTCTCAGCAGGACCCCAGCCCCTCCGTGGGGTGCAGGGACGTGGCACGTGGCCCCGGGGGGACGGGGACGGGGAGGGGGGCCCTTCGCACCCCAGTCACTCCCATCCGCCCTGGCAGCTCTGGGCACGGCCGGGGAGGGCGGGGGACGGCCGGGCTGGGGCCTGGGAGGCCTCTCAGAGCCTGCCCCCCCCCCCCCGACCCGGTGCCAGCGCTGGGCGTGCTGGAGTACCGTGTGCTGGGCACCAACTTCCGGGACTTCGCCGTGGTGCTCACGCAGCTGGAGCAACGGGACGAGGCCTTCTCCACGGTGGAGCTGTACAGTGCGTGGCCGGGGCCGGGGCCGAGGTCGGGAGGGCCAGGCCCCCCAGCCCGGCCGGCTCTCAGGCGCCCTCCCCGCAGGCCGCTCGCACCGGGCCAGCCCCGAGGCCCTGCGCCTCTTCGCCCGCTGGAGCCAGGGCCTGGGCTTCCTCTCGCAGCAGCAGGCCCGGCTGCACCCCGACCGTGAGTGTCCGGCTCTGTCGGGGCCTCGGGGAGCCAGGCAGAACCGGGGGGCGGTCTCAGGGGAGACAGGGGCAGGGCCTGGGGAGCGGGGGGCTGGGGGCTGCAGGAGGCCGGGTCCTTCACTGCCACGTGTTCCCCTCTAGTCACCTGCGCGCACAAGGCCTTCCAGGTGAGCTGCCGTCCAGCATCGCCCGGTGCGAGTGGAGCCGGGGCCTGGGCCTCCCATCCTGAGGGCAGCGGGGGTCAGGGGTCAGGGGTCAGAGGCTGGGACTGGGGGCTGGGGACTGGGGGCTGGGGCTGGGGCTGGGGCTGGGGGCTGGGGCTGGGGCCGGGCCTGGGGCTGGAGCTGGGGGCTGGGCCTGGGGGCTGGGGCCTGGGGGCTGGGGGCCGGGCCTGGGGCTGGGGCTGGGGGCTGGGGCTGGGGGCTGGGGCTGGGGCTGGGCTGGAGCTGGGGCTGGGGCTGAGGGCCGGGCCTGGGGCAGATGCCTTGCGGTAAGCCTGGGTCCCCATGTCTGCCTTGGTTTCCAGTGAATGCTGTGGCCGCCAGAGGGGAGGGTGCCCCCATGTCCGGGGGGAGCTGGCCGGGCTGCCCTCCCTGCCCGGCTGCCCGGGGGCTGGCGTGGGGCCTGCCGCTCCGAGTCTCTGGCTGAGGATCCAAATAAAGCGATTTCACAGCCTTCCGGCCTCACGTGTGTGGAGTGGACCCCTGGCCACGCCTTCGCGGGCTCTGGGCGGGCTCTGGGCGGGAGGGAGGGGGTGGGGTGCGGTGGGCTTCCCCGGGCTGACCCCTGGGGGTGAGCCAGCTCTGGGACAAGAGGCTGCCCACGGCCTCACCTGCACCTGTGTCTGATGAAGACCCCGGGTCCGAGGGGCTGGGCGGGAACGGCTGCTCGTCCTCAGTCACCGAGGCCCCGGGCGGCGGCTGGAGCAGGGCCCGGGGCTGGTGCTGCCCGGTCGGGGGGCCAGGCCCAGGAAGCTGGCCCCAGCGCCCAGGGCTTGGCTGGGTGGCAGTGTCCTGGGCTCCAGCTTGGCTGTGCCCGGCCTGGGCTCAGGGCGGGAGTGGGGGCAGGGGCAGGGTCGGGGGTCGGGGGTCGGGGGCAGGGTTGGGGTCGGGGTCGGGGTTGGGGTTGGGCTCTGGGCTCTGCGGTGGGGGCGGGGGCAGGGGGCAGGGTTGGGGTCGGGGTCGGGGTTGGGGTCGGACTCTGGGATGGGGCAGGGTTGGGGTCGGGGTCGGGGTTGGGGTCGGGCTCTGGGATGGGGGCAGGGTCGGGGTCTGGGTCAGGGTCGGGGTCAGGGTCGGGTTGGGGTCGGGCTCTGGGATGGGGGCAGGGTCGGGGTCTGGGTCAGGGTCGGGGTCAGGGTCGGGTTGGGGTCGGGCTCTGGGCTCTGGGGTGGGGGTAGGGGACAGGGTCGGGGTTGGGGTCGGGGGTCGGGGTTGGGGTCAGGGTCAGGGTCACGGTCTAGGGTGGGGGCAGGGGTGGGGTCTGGGTCAGGGTCGGGGTCAGGGTCGGGTTGGGGTCGGGCTCTGGGATGGGGGCAGGGTCGGGGTCTGGGTCAGGGTCGGGGTCAAGGTCGGGTTGGGGTCGGGCTCTGGGCTCTGGGGTAGGGGCAGGGCGGGGGTGGGGGTAGGGGGCAGGGTTGGGGTTGGGGTCGGGGGTGGGGTTGGGGTCGGGGTCGGGGTTGGAGTTGGGGGTCGGGGTTGGGGTTCGGGTCAGGGTCACGGTCCAGGGTGGGGGCAGGGGTGGGGTGGGGGTGGGGTGGGGGCAGCGATAGGCCTGAGCCTGTCGTCCTGTGAGCTGGGCTCTGCCTGAAGCCCCGGCCAGAGGGAGCTGAGGAGGAGGAGGGCGGCCGGTCACTCAGGGCTGGTGCCCACGGTCCGGTGCCCGTGTGCACACGTGTCTGCCGGCCCGGCCGCCCGTCCAGGTGAGACCACGAGGGGCCCAGGGGAGAGACGGGGAACGGGACGGCCTCCGTCCCAGGGCCCCAGGCCGGCGCCCAGGGGCTGTGCAGCTTGAGGGCCGAGGGTGGGTGGCGTGGGGGGCGAGGGTGGGAGGGGCCGTGCCCTCTGTGCAGGGACGGGGTGAGGACCCACAGCCCCGCCCTCCCCGCCCACCCCGCCCTCTGGCAGCGCCAGGACGCTGCGGTCCTGCAGACGGGCAGGAGATTTAAGCCTGGGTCGGCGCTGAGCGAGGAGGGCGAGCATGGGGCCGGGGCCGGGGCTGGCGCTGGCGCTGGTGCTGGCTGTGGGGGCCCAGCCCCCGGAGCAGCGCCCCAGGGAGTCCCACAACCTCAACTGGAACAAGGTGAGCCTCGTGCCCCTGGGCCACGGCCGCCACGAAGGGCGGGGGCCGCGGGGGCATCCTGAACACAGGGCGGCGAGGGGCAGGAACCCCTCGGCCCAGTGGGCTGCCCGCCGGCCTCTCCGGGGTGGACGGCCTCTGTGGGGGCAAAACTCAACCACTGTGGCCCCCGGGCCGGGAGCCCGAGGGGGCAGAGCGGACGCCCGACCGGTGTGGGCTGGGTTACCGGGACATGCTGGGTGGCTGGGGGCGTGGAATGAGCAGGGAATGTTCCGGAATAATGAGGCTGCTGGCCGTGGCGGTGCCGGTGGGGGTGGCGGTGGGCACAGGCTGTGCCTGGGAACGTGGATTTGCAGCAGGAAGTCGGCGGGATGGGTGCCGGGGGATTGGGAGCCCCCGGACGGAGGCTCGGCCCTCGGGGCCCAGCCCTGTGCACCGCCGCCCGCCCTCAGCCCTGCACGGGGCGGGCGCCGGTCCGGGGGTCCTGGGGGCCGGGGAGCGGGCCAGCGCCCATCTCCCCAGCGCCCCCTCTGCAGTTCTCAGGGTTCTGGTACATTCTCGCCGTCGCCTCCGACGCCCGGGGCTTCCTGCCGGGCCGGGACGCGCGGCGACTGGGGGCGGCGCTGGTGCAGGTGCTCGGCGCCGGCCGGCTGCGGGTGGTGCTCGCCTTCCCCCGGTGAGGACGAGGGGCCCACTCCCCCGCCGCCCCGAGCACCCCGAGCGCCCCCCCACGTCCCCCTGCCCGCCCCGAGCAGCCCGAGCAGCCCGAGCGGGGCCCCCACTCCCCCTGCCCGCCCCGAGCGCCCCCCCACGTCCCCCTGCCCGCCCCGAGCATCCACGGGGAGGACGGGAGGTGGGCAGGGTCCCGGGCAGCCCCCTCCCCCCTTCCTGCCCCTGAGACGCCCAGGGCTGGGCTGGGAGAGGCCACTGGGGCGGCCGGGGCGGGAGTGGTGCCCGGAGGGTCCCCTGAGCAGACGGGCCCGACCCCCCGAAGTTCTGAAAGGAGAGCCCCGAAGGCACAGCCCCCCCCGGGCCCCCCGGGGCAGGGTCTTTGGGGGGCTGGTGGCTGCAGGGGGAAGGGGGCCCTGGCTGTGAGTCACAGACCCCCCCGGCCCCATGGGGCAGGGTCTTTGGGGGGCTGGTGGCTGCAGAGGGAAGGGGGGCCCTGGCTGTGAGTCACAGCCCCCCCCCCGGCCCCACGGGGCAGGTCTTTGGGGGGCTGGTGGCTGCAGGGGGAAGGGGGCCCTGGCTGTGAGTCACAGCCCCCCCACAGGTCTCAGGGGTGCCGGTCGCACGCCGTCGTCCTGGGAAGAAGGCCGTGTTCCGGAACCCCCGTGCGTGTGAGGCCCCCCCGTGCGTGCGCGGGCCCCCCGTGCATGTGAGGGCCCCCTGGGGTACGGCCGGCGGGGGACCCCGAGACAGGCCGCCGGCCGCCCCAGAGCCTGTCCTGCCCAGAGCCCGGCTGGGGCAGTCCTGGGGCCTGGGTCCGGGGTGGGGGACCCCCAAAGCCTTCCCTCTGCCCCCCGTGTGGTGGCGTCAGGCAGCCTGTGCTCTCCGTCCAGTGAAGGGCGTGGCCGGCTTCCGCGTGCTGACCACGGACTACAGCGCCGGTGTGGTGGACCTGCGCCTGGGCCGGACCGGCCGGGGCTCCAAGGCCCTGCTGCTCCTCAGTGAGTGCTCCTCAGTGAGTGCTCCGGGGGGTGCTCCTCAGTGAATGCTCCTCAGTGAGTGCTCCTCAGTGAGTGCTCCGGGGGGTGCTCCTCAGTGAGTGCTCCGGGGGATGCTCCTCAGTGAGTGCTCCTCAGTGAGTGCTCTGGGGGATGCTCCTCAGTGAGTGCTCCTCAGTGAGTGCTCCGGGGGGGTGCTCCTCAGTGAATGCTCCTCAGTGAGTGCTCCTCAGTGAGTGCTCCGGGGGGTGCTCCTCAGTGAGTGCTCCTCAGTGAGTGCTCCGGGGGTGCTCCTCAGTGAGTGCTCCTCAGTGAGTGCTCCTCAGTGAGTGCTCCTCAGTGAGTGCTCCGGGGGGTGCTCCTCAGTGAGTGCTCCTCAGTGAGTGCTCCTCAGTGAGTGCTCCGGGGGGATGCTCCTCAGTGAGTGCTCCGGGGGGTGCTCCTCAGTGAGTGCTCCTCAGTGAGTGCTCCGGGCCGTCGGGGGGCGGGGTTGGGCGGGCGGAGGCAGGGACGTGGACAGACACCACGGCGGGGGGGCACCAGGAGGCCTCAGGGTGGGTGCTGGGGCTCAGGGAGCATCACTGAGGAGCAGCAGGGCCTCGGGGGTCCTGGCAGGGGGGAGGCCCGGCCACTCCCTCCTCTCACGAGGGCACCGGCCGGCCCAGCACCCCTCGCCAGCGCCCACGCCGCGGGGCCGGGGGGGGGGGGCGGGCGCGTGGACGCTCCGAGGCCCCGGCGCTGCCCCGCAGGCAGACAGAACGTGACCGCCTTCGCCAGCTGGAGGACGTTCGTGGAATTCTGTGAGGTCCGGGAGCTCACGCGGGGCGCCACCGTCCTCCCGAAAGACGGTAAAGCGCGGCCCCGCCCCTCCCCCCGCCCGGCGCCTTGGAGACACGGAAGGCACACGTGGGTCCCGGCGGGGCTGGGGGACCCGCATACGTGACGCCAGGGAGCGCTGCCGCCCCAACCCCGTCCCTGCCCCCACAGCCTCCTGCGCCCACAGCATCCGGCCCTGACCAGCCGCCCGCTCTCCCTCGGCGCCGCGGGGTCCCCTCGGCCCCGGAGCTGCTGGGAGGCGGCTGCCGAGCCCGGGCCCGCATGGCGGGAGCCCAGGGCCCCGGGGCCCCTCTGAGGTCACAGCCCCCCCTGCCCGTCCCCAGGGGCCCCTCCGGGTCACAGCCCCCCCTGCCCATCCCCCCCCTGCCCATCCACCGGGGCCCCTCTGTGGTCACAGTCCCCCCTCTGGGGTCACAGCCCCCCTGCCCCTCCCCCGGGGGCCCCTATGGGGTCACAGCACCCCCTGCCCGTCCCCCCCTGCCTGTCCCCCAGGGCCCCTCTGGGTCACAGCCCCCCTCCCCATCCTCCCCCTGCCCGTCCCCCGGGGCCCCTCTGTGGTCACAGCCCCCCCTGCCTGTCCCCTGGGGCCCCTCTGTGGTCACAGCCCCCCCTGCCTGTCCCCCGGGGGGCGTGGCAGGAAGATGCTGCTGTGCCCTGTCTGTGGTGAAATAGACCACGCGTGTCCACTGCCACCTTGTCATGTGCTTTCCGTGTAGCGGGTTGGCCACCGCCCTCCGTGACCGTGTGAGCACGTGCTCCGTGCCGGGCTGGCTCCTGGGGGTGAGATGTAGCTGTGAGCCAACAGGAAATGCACGGCTCTCAGACGGACCCCTGGTTGGGAGGGGCAGCCCGGGCGTGGGCGGGCACCCAGCACCCAGCTGCAGCGGGTGTGGCTCGGCGTGGCTCGGAGCAGTCCGGGAGAGCTTCCTGGAGGAAGTGCCACTGGAGCCGAGCCGTGAAGAGCCGGGGAGCCCGGAGGCGGGGCTCGGTGGTTGAGTGTTGGCCTGTGAACCAGGAGGTCAGGGTTCGGTTCCTGTCAAGGGCACATGCCGGGTGGTGGGCTGCCGTGACCCGTGGCATGGCCGCCTCCCCAGCAAACCAGGAGCCGAGAAAGCGGCCGGCTGAGCTGTGATCCGCGGGGGCCAGGCCGGCCTCGGGCTCAGCGAGCTCAGGGTCCACACGGCTCGTCGGTGCCTGCGAAACTGGAGGGAGGCCGGGCCGAGGCACACGCCGCCCCGAGAGGCACACTCTGCGGCTCCTCCAGGGCCTCCTCGTCGCTGGCCTCAGCCGTGCTGCCCACAGCCTGTGCAGGGCCTCAGCTCCCACGCCCGCCTCGCGGCCCGCCCTCCCTCCCCGTGTCCACTGTCCCGCACGGCCCCCCAGGCCCCGCACGGCCCCCCAGGCCCCGCACGACCGCCCGGCGGGTGTCAGGGGCGGAGTGGGGAGGTTCCCGGGGGTGAGTCAGGACCCGGAGCTGGAGCTGGTGGACAGTGGCCGGCTCCCGTGAGGGAGTGGACGAGGGGAAGGATGCCGGGCAGCACATCCCCCGGCCGCCGGCCCGGCCGCGCACCGCAGCCCCGGAAGCGGGCGACGGGCCCCTCACCGGCCCGAAGACGCTCAGTAAACCCGGTTCGAGGCCGGCAGGCCCTCCCTCAGGCCGCGGGAGGCTGCTCTGAACGGCCCCTCTGAATGGCCCCTGGGGTCTCCGGTCCTGGCTCCTCTGGATCCCGCCCCTGGTGACCCCGTCGCTGATGAAGTCACAGAGGCAGCCCCTGCGGGCGGGGCCGGGTCTAACGCCTCCTCTGAACGTCAGCGTTCCTGACTTCTGTATAGTCAGCCCCTGAGACGGCTCTTCGGGTTAATGGAGGGAAGGCACTTGCGTTGCGATTTCACACATGAGAGCATGCTGATTGCCTGTAATCTCCCGCCCCCAAATGCCCCAGGTCACATTGAGCACACGATAAACCTGGGGATAATTCAGCTCGTTGCCATGGTTTCTCACGTGCTCTCTGCATAAGCTGTGCCGGCCGAGGCCTCCAGGCTGTGGTCCTTTCTCTGTAGGCATTGGGGGAGGGGGCTGTGTGCACTGGGCCATGTACTCTGGGGGTGTAAGCACTGTGGGTGTGTAAGTGCACTATGTGTGTGCACTGGGTGTCTAAGTGCGCTGTGTGTGTGCACGGTGTATGTGCGCACTGTGTGTATGTGCACTGGGTGTGTGTGTGCACTGTGTGTGTGAGCACTGTGTGTGTGTGCACTGGGTGTGTGTGTGCACTGTGTGTGTGTGCACTGGGGGGTGATGGTGTCAGGACATCCCCATGTGCCCCTAAACGTACATCTGTTGACAAACAAGAGCATTTCATCCAACAATTAAAAGTTAAGCCCTGGCTGGTGTGGCTCAGCGGATAGAGCACCGGCTTGTGGATTGAATGGTCCCGGGTTCGATTCCCGTCAGGGCACATGCCCGGGTTTCGGGCTTGATCTCCAGTAGGGGGCGTGCAGGAGGCAGCCAATCAATGATTCTCTCTCATCATTGATGTTTCTCTCTCCCTCTCCCTACCTCTCTGAAATCAATAAAAACATTAAAACAAACAAACGCATTCTTTGCAATGAAACTGGAAGAGATTATTGACAACGCGAAATACCACCCCAGCGACACCCCTGGGAGCGAAGCGGAGACACGGCCATGGCCACGGCCACGGCCACGGCCACGGCCACAGCCACTGCCACGGGCGGGCTGCGCCTCCTGGCCCTCTGGCCGGGCGTCGGGGGAGACGGAAGTGGGGGAAAGTGAGCTTTGGGGAGGCAGAGGCCGGGGAGGAGGCGACGCCCGGACACCCTGTAAGTCTGTGAGACGGAGGGGCTGTCAGACCCGCGTCTGTGGGACCCTCGGGGGACAACCGGTCAGACACGAGAAGCCGCTTCTGCTTCCTGCTGACCCCAGGGCAGGCCCCTGCCCCCGGCCTCTGGGCACTTCCTCGGAGAACTGCCAGGCTGCCTCCGGGGCACTCCGGGGCCACAGCCGAGCCACTGGAGGCTTTTTATTTCATTTAAACAAAAGATGGGCCCTGACCGGTGTGGCTCAGTGGGTAGAGCACCGGCCTGTGGACTGAATGGTCCCGGGTTCGATTCCCGTCAGGGGCACATGCTCGGGTTGTGGGCTAGATCCCCAGTGGGGGCCGTGCCAGAGGCAGCTGATGGATGTTTCTCTCGCATCGATGTTTCTGGCTCTCTATCCCTCTCCCTTCCTCTCTGTAAAAAAAAATCAATAAGATATATTTTAAAAAATAAAAATAAATTAAAAAAAGACGAGCCCCTTGAACCTGGAGGGCGAGAGGAAGTGGGTGCCCCGGGCGGACCCCGCTCGCCACAGACCAGGCCTCGCTCTGGGCGGGCTGGGGGGCACTCTGGCCTCCTGTCCGCTGTGGTGAGAGGGTGGCGCCTCTGAGGCGGGCACGGCCCCCGGCCTCGCACCCCCAACCCGGGGCCTCTGGCCACGTCCCGGCTGAGGGCCGGCCTCCGGGGGAGGGGCGGGGGGAGTCGCGGGCCGGCCTCAGGCTCTGTCAATGGCTGAATGAGGCCACTTGTTTCTGGAGAACTTGCCCCTGAGCTGGTGGCGGAGCCGCTGAGGGCGGGGCTGGGGCCGCTCAGGGTGTGTCTCTCCGTGTGCCCCTCAGACTGTGCAGCCTCGGACCCGGGGCCGGAACGGGAGAAAGTGAGTTTAGGGGTGAGTTTTGGCCTAGCCCAGAGGTCGGCAAACTCATGAGTCCGCAGAGCCCAATACCAACAGGACAACGATTGACATCTCTTTGGAGAGCCACACTTTTTTTAACTTAAACTCCTTCTAGCGCCACTTCTTCAACACAGACTCGCCCAGGCCGTGGTGTTCTGTGGAAGAGCCACACTCAAGGGGCTAAAGAGCCGCGTGTGGCTTGAGAGCCGCGGTCTGCCGACCAGCCGGTGTGGCCCGGTTCCCGGCAGGGCGAGTGTCGGCCGGCGATGTGCAGGGGGCAGCCTATGGGGTCGATGTTTCTGTCTCTCTCTCCCCCTCCCTTCTTCTCTCCCTCTAAAAATTTTAAAAAGCATTTAAAAAGGAGATTCTGGGGAGAAAAAGTCAGGACCTTCTCCAGGTTTCCAGAGGGGGCGCTGTCCTGGCTCCTGTGGCTGGTGGGACTTGGAGTCCAGGGAGAACCAGGTCGGGCTCGCTGTCCAGAGCCCCCCCCCCCCCCCCCCGTGTCCCTCCCGCTGGCCGCCCGCCCGGCCCCCATCCTTCCCTCCGGGCCCTACCGGGAACTGGGGGCACAGCGGAACTTCCGGTTCCAACCAGAGGGAAGAAGGTCCCATTGTCCCGGGGAGGAAGAGCCGGGATTCGGGGAACCCGTGGCCGGGGGCCCTCGGGGCCGGCTGTGCCCCATATAAGGCGGGCGCTGACTCCACGGAGCCGATCCCGCAGCCCCAGCCGCAGTCGCAGCCATGAGGTGCCTCCTGCTCGCCGTCAGCGTCGCCCTCGTGTGCGGCACCCAGGACGTGGCCGTCCCCCGGCCCATGGAGAGCCTGGATGCCCCGAAGGTCTTGGACGGGGCGCTCTGTTGGGGCTGCTGGGGCCGCGGGGCGCCGGGCTCAGAGGGCGGGAGGCTGGGGTGCCGGGAGGCTGGGGTGCCGGGACCCTTCGTGGCTCTCCGTCCCACGGCCCAGGTGGTGCTGGGAAACTCAGGACGTGACTGTGAGCCACTGGCGGCACGGCGTCCTCCTGAGCATGGACTGTGCTGCAGCCCGTGTCAGCCGAGCCGGGAGGGGGCGTGCTCATGACCCAGTTGGACGGGGCCGGCCCGATGGGGAGGGACGGAGGGCCCCCGGGAGCTGGGGCCCCTGCCGGTGCCCCTGCCCTCCAGTGAGCTCAGGCCCCTCACAGGTGGCCGGGACCTGGTACACCGTGGCCATGGCGGCCAGCAACCCCGCCCTGCTGAGCGCCCCCCTGAGGCTGTACGTCCAGGAGCTGAAGCCCACGGCCCAGGGCGACCTGGAGATCATGGTCCGCGGACGGTAGGTGTCCCGGCTGCGGGAGGGCTCCTGAGGGGGCCCGGCTTCCCGTGGCGGCAGGGGGCCGGGGGTCGGGGGGCGGGGGGCAGAGCTGGGCCCCTTGGAGCCCCTGCCCACGGCTCTGGGCCTACGGAGCGGCCCGGGGTCAGCATGGGGAGCGTGCCGAGGCGGCGGGTGGGGCGGGGGTGGGGCGGACCTCCCGCCGTGGCCCTGGCTGCGTGAGGGGTGACGTGGCCGCCGGCAGCCTCGGCGTCACCGTCACGCCGTCCCCGCCTGTAGGCAGGGCGCCCGGTGGTGCGTTGAGAAGAAGATCTTGGCGGAGAGAACGGAGAGCGCCGGGGAGTTCAACATCAACTGTGAGTGGCCGGCCAGGCCCCAGCTCAGCCTCTGCCCCGGGGTGGGGGCGGGCGGGCCTGTGGGTGCCACAGGGCGGGGGGCGGGGGCCGCAGGGGCAGCGCTTGGGGGGCGGCTGATCTGCTCAGTCCCCGAGGCGGTCGGTGACCCCTGAGCTGAGCCTGCCCCTCCGGGCGCCCCCTCTCCACAGACTCTGCAGGCAGGTTCACATTTGGTTTTAATTTTTATGACAAAACACAAAACGGAGACCTCGCAGGGTCAGCCTCTTGTCCTGGGGCTCGGCCCCGGCGTTTCTAGTCTCTATTTACTCATTTTTAATACGTTTGCAGAGAGAGAGAGAGCAAGGGAGAGGGACAGAGAGAGGAACATCCACGATGAGATCGGATCGGGGACCAGCTGCCTCCTGCACGCCCCCCAGTGGGGATGGAGCCCCGGGGCCTGTGCCCTGACCGGGATCAGACCCTGATCTGCTGGCTCAATCACTGAGACACTCTGGTTGGGCAAAATTCTTAATGTTTTCATTGTTAATCCTCACCCGCGGGTGTTGCTCCATTGATTCTTAGAGAGAGTGGGAGGGAGGGGGAGAGAGAGCGAACGAAACATGGATGGGAGAGAGAGAGACACATGGACTGGCTGCCTCCTGAGTGCACCCGACCTGGGCCCAGGGGTCAGAGAGCCCTTGGCCAGACCAAGCCTGGGACCCTCACGCCGAGGGCCGACACTGGAGCCGGGACACTGCAGCAAACTGTGCACCCGTCAGGGTGGCTCCAGGCCACCCTGCCTCCCTCTCTACTCCCAACCGGGGCCCCAGACCCAGCCCTCCCCTCCCTTCCTCTTCCTCCTCCCCTCCCCTCCCTTCCTATTCCTCCTCCCCTCCCCTCCCCCTTCCCTCCCCCTTCCCCTGCCTCTTCCCCTGCCCCCACCCCTCACCCCTCACCCACCTCCAGCTCCTCCATCTCCTCTGACCCGGGGCCTGAGCCCACCGCCGGCTGCGCCTTCAGCAGGAGCTGGGTCCCCTCCCCTCCCTTCCCCTCCTGCTGCCTCGGGGCATCTGATGGGGCAGGAGCGGCGGGGGGACTGGCCCTCAGAAGCGGGATCTCACCTCCCTTCCTCTCTGCGTCCCGCCCAGACCCCGTGGTGGACAGGCTGGTGGTGCTGGACACCGACTACGAGAACTTCCTGTTTGCCTGCCTGGAGAGCTCGGCCGCGCCCGAGCAGATCCGGGCCTGCCAGTACCTGGGTGCGTACCCGCCGGCCGCCGGTCAGAGGGTCAGAGGGCAGCTGGAGCCCGGCCCTGGCCCGGCCCGGGGGCTGCACTCTGACCCGCCCCCTTCACCCCCCAGCCAGGACCCCCAAGGTGGACCGGGTGGCCATGGAGCAGTTCGAACAGGCCCTGAAGCTGCTGTCCGTGCACATCCACATCATCCTCACCCCCAAACAGGCGCAAGGTGACCCCACCCCCATCCCCTCCTTCGCCCCCCGCCCCCCTCCGCTCCTCCCCCCATTCTCCCTTCGCCCCTCCCCACCCCCCTCCTTCTCCCCCCCCCCCCCCCCCCCCCCCCCGTCCAGGCCTTCCTCCCGGGCGGCCTCCCCTGCTGTGGTAGCCACCTGTGACCCTCCCCCCTCCCGCAGAGAGGTGCCGTGTCTGAGTGCTTCCTGCCGTCTGTCCGCCTCCTGGGTAACGCACCTGCTCCGCTCGCGTCCTGGTGTGGGTCTGGGGCCCAGGCTCCCCTCCGCCCCCCCCCACCCCCCGCCCCTGGGAAGGGCTGGAACCTGGGTGTCCGGGGTCGCAGGAATCGGCTGCCTCGCGCCCACCCTCCGAGGGGCTGGCACTGCCCTGTGTCTCCTGCGTCCTGGCCACACCCACAGGCGGACGCCCAGGGCCCCGGGCCGGGTGTGGGCGCGGGGGGTGGGGGGGGGCTGGTGCGGCTGGTGGGGGGGGGCTGGGCCGGGTGTGGGCGCTGGGGGGGGCTGGTGGGGCTGGTGGGGGGGGCTGGGCCTGGGGTGGGTGAGGGGGCTCCATCTTCCCCTGCCGCTGGCCAGGTCCGGCCCTCAGGGCCCCAGGCTCACAGGGGCCCCTTGTCCATTCCAGGACCTCGGCCTCCCTGCAGGACGGCGTCACCCCTCCTCCGAGGTCACCCCTCCTCCCTGCCAGGGCCCCCAGCGGGCCACCCCGGGACCAGGCCCCTGGGGTGCCGCCCGGACGGTGCCTGAGCCCCGCAATAAAGAGTCACACCTGCGCCCGTCCGTCTGCCGAGTCTTTCCTGGGGGCGGGGCGGGGAGCGGGAGGCTCAGGCAGGAGGCAGAGCTGACCTCCACCCCAGAGAAACGGGGAAGGGACAGCCCCCGCGGTGCTGGCTGCTCCCGTCCCTCCGTCCTCACCAGCTGACCCGGGCGCCTCGCCGGCCAGCCCGGCTGCCCCTCCACACCGGCTCCCCGGACGCCAGCCCCTCCAGGGCAGCCCAGGCCCCCTGAGCGGGTGCACGTGGGCGCGGCCTCTCCTTCCCTGAGCCGGTCACAGCCGCGGGCGGGTCCCAGGCCGCCAGCCCGCAGCGAGAGCACACGTTTATTTCATTTTAAAAAAGGTGTTTTTATTGATTTTAGAGAGGAAGGGAGAGGGAGGGAAGAGGGGGTCACCGATGGCCTCCTGCACGCCCCTCCCTGGGGATGGAGGGAGCCCCAACCCGGGCCTGTGCCCCAACCAGGTATTGAACCCTGACCTCCTGGTTCCTAGGTTGATGCTCAACCACTGAGCCACACTGGCCGGGCCACACATTTATGTGAGTGCCCGAGGGGCAGTCAGCAAGACAGCTCACGTCCCCCGTCCCACAGGCTCCCCCCCTCCCCCACCAACCACAGGCCACGCCCCTGCGCCCGGCCCTCCGGCTGCAGCTGGCGGCTCCCACACCCCCTTGGCCTCCTGGGGTGGCTCCCGGACTCGGGGAAAGCTGCAGCTACAAGAGCGCTGGCCTGTCGTCACCAGTAAAGCCCAGGGCAGCCCATGGGGGGTGCACAGGACAGGGGGGCCCTGCCCCCAGGACACGCCCCCCACATCTCCCTGGTCCCCAACCAGGAGCCCGGAGCCTGTCCTCTGGGGTTCAGCTGCTCCCCACCGTCGTGGCCGATGGAATCGCTGGACTCCACCTTGCTGAGCGGGAGGCGGGACAGGGCCCAACCCTCTAACCCCGGGGTTTGCTCCCTCCAGCACCAACCCCATCCTGGGGGCCTCCCGCCCCCCTCACATGCCCAGGGTGGTGGAAGGGGCTTGTGAGGCACATGGAGACACGTTGGTCACTCAGAAATTCGGGGGTTTGCAGATGTTCGTACAGACATCCTATATAATAAAAGCCCAATATGCTAAGTGTCCGGTGGTCCCATCATTTGTTCAAGCAATCAAAGTGTAATATGCTAATGACATGCTAAGGAGCTGGGAGCCAGAAACATGAAGAAAGTGCCCGGCAGCACGGCTCAGCAGTTGAGCGTCAACCTGGGAACCAGGAGGACAGGGTTCGATTCCCGGTCAGGGCACATGCTCGGGCTGCAGGCTGGATCCTCAGTGTGGGGCGTGCAGAAGGCAGCCGATCCACAATTCTCTCCCATCATTGATGTTTCTCTCTCTCTCTCCCTTCCTCCCTGAAATCAATAAAAAAATATATATATATAAAAAGATGGGAAGAAGGCCACATGTACAGGGGGCAGAGGAGTGCTGGAGACACAGAGTTTGCTATTGTGTTATTATTAATTATGCTATTACTAGAGGCCCAGCACACGGATTCATGCACCGGTGGGGTCTCTCGGCCTGGCCTTCGGGATCGGGCTGAAACCAGTTCTCAGACATCCCCAAGGCGTCCCAGATTGCTAGGGGGCGAATGCTGAGGGACCCCACGGGTGCACGATCAGGGCTGGGGAGGGACTCGGGAGGGTTCCAGGGAGTGTCTCCCTCAGTCCCGATGGGCCAGACCCCAGCAGCAAGCTAACCTACCAGTCGGAGCATCTGCCCCCTGGTGGTCAGTGCACGTCATAGCGAGTAGTTGAGCGGCCTTAGCATATCATTAGCATATTACGCTTTGATTGGTTGCACACATGACTGGACCACCGGACACTTAGCATGTCAGGCTTTTATGATATAGGATTCCGGTACGAACATCTGCAACCCCCCCCCCCCCCTGCCTAGTTCTAGCTGCTGGACTCTCCCTCTGGCCGTCCTCCCTACCCCCTGTCTCTGTTGCTTTCCCGCTGGCCTCTGCCCGCCAGCGCCAGCTGCGCCCGCCTCGGGTGTGGCGGCTACGCCCTGCTGACCCCGCACAGCTCGCTCCTGCAAGACCAGAGAAAGACGGGTGAACTGTTTCCAGCTGGTGGGATGGTTTCCCGGACGAAGTAAAAAATCTCACAGGGAAGCTGAGACCGGTGTGGCTCAGTGGGCAGAGCGTCGGCCTGCGGACTGAAAGGTCCCGGGTTCGATTCTGGTCAAGGGCATGTACCTTGGTTGCGGGCACATCTCCGGTAGGGGGTGTGCAGGAGGCAGCTGATGGATGTTTCTAACTCTCTATCCCTCTCCCTTCCTCTCTGTAAAAAAAATCAATAAAATATATTTAAAAAAAAAACATCTCGTACGGACACAAACTTGTCCAGACCCCGAGGAGGGGCCGCCGTGTGGGCGTTGGTGGAATGACTGGCGCGGGAAGAATCTAGGGAGGTCAGCCCTGTGGTCGGAGACCGAGCCCCCGGCCTGCCCCCCTTCACCCCCCGCCTGCCCCTCCCACCCGTCCCGGTCACCTCCCCTGCCTGGCCGGTCCCGGACCAGGGTCGGCGTGCTCCAGGCTGGAGCCTAGAACCCTTATCACAAACCCCTGCACCCTCGGAGCGTGAAGACGGGCAGCGGTCCAAGTCGAGGGGTTCTCGGCAGCCGCGTGTCCTCTCTGAGCCGGCTCCGGGGGCCTGTCCTCAGGGCCTGGCTTCCTTCCCTCGATGCCCTCCAGGCTGACCACGCTGTGCCCGCATCAGGGTCTCCTTCCCTTAAAACGATGGTTATTGATGTCAGAGAGGAAGGGAGAGGGAGATGGAAACATCCTGTATAATAAAAACCCAGCGACCGAATGGCGGAACGACAAGAACGACCGGTCCACCAGTCGCTATGACTTGGACTCACCACCCGGGGGCAGTTGCTCAACGCCGGGGCTGCCCCACGGGGTCGGTGAGCTTCCACAGGGGGAGCAGCCGCTCAGAGGGCGGTCCACAGCTGCGAGGCTCACCAGATGAGCGGCTGGTCCCGCATGGGGACAATCCCTTCAGGCTACACCCCCACCAGGACACGAACCCCCTGCTCCGGGCCTCTAGCCAGTGATGAGAGAGAATCACCGACCGGCTGCCTCCCGCACGCCCCCCTCATGGGATCGCGCCTGCCACCTGGCCTGTGCCCGACCGGAATTGAACCGAAACTCCTTCCCTTTTAAGCCTGAATACCGCCCCCGAGTGGACGGACCGAGTTTGGTTTTTCCATCCATGGGGGGCGCCGAGCTGTGCTCGCACTCTGGCTGCTTCGAACATGTGTTTGCAAATGTCCCTTCGAGTCCTGCGGCCGGTCCTCTGGGTGCCCCGGGCGGCACTCCGGTCACGGCACTCTGCGTTTGGAGGGACCCCCGTGCTCAGGGGCTGTGAGGGGGCTTGGGGCACATCTGGGGTGGACGTATTTGCTGTGATAAGGCTGTGCCTGGGGCTGGGCGTGGACATTGTGGGGGCTTGGGTGGGCACGGCGGGGACTGTGCCTGGGGCTGGGCGTGGGCACAGTGGGGGCCTGGGCACGGCGGGGGCCTGGGTGGGCACGGTGAGGGCATGGGGTGGGCACGGAGGGGGCCTAGGTGTGGGCATGGCGGGGGCCTGGGTGTGGGCACGGTGGAGGCCTGGGCGTGGGCACGGTGGAGGCATGGGGCGTGGGCGTGGGCATGGGCACGGTGGGGGCCTGGGTATGGGCACAGTGGGGGCTTGGGTGGGCACGGCAGGGACTGTGCCTGGGGCTGGGCGTGGGCACTGAGGGGGCCTGGGTGTGGGCATGGTGGGGACCTGGGGTGTGGGTGTGGGCATGGGCACAGTGGGGCCTGGGAAGGAGCTGGGTGATGATTGTGGGGACGGAGCCCCCTGGGGAAGGTGTGCCCTGGACGGGCGGTAACCACGAGGACACCTGCTCGGCAGCGCCGGGGGCGAGGCCTCCTCCACTTCCTGATGCCACAGCCCGAGGCCCTTGTTCCTTCCCTCCCTCCCAGGTTTTCCCGGAACTGCATTCCGTGGCCCGAGGCGGTGCGGGCGGGTGTGGGGGGACACGCCCTGGCAGGTGCCTCGGGCTTCTGAGAAAACCGCAGGAAGCACACGGCGGGGCTGTCCCCAGCTCCGGGAACCGGACGTCTGCCTCCTGACGCTGCCCCTGCCCTGCTCTGCCCCTGCCCCTGCCCCTGCCCTCCTGGCGCTGCCCCTGCCCCTGCCCTGCCCCGCGGGACCCTACCCCTGCCCTCCTGGCGCTGCCCCTGCCCCTGCCCCTGCCCCTGCCCTGCCCTGCCCCGCGGGACCCTGCTGGGCAGCCTGACCCCGGGCTCTAAGCCTGGCCCTGGCCTCGGGCAGCCGTAGCTGGGACCTCGCGGGGCGGGCGGGGCTGCTCACGGGGGAGCCACGCTCGGGTGCGAGGCCGGTGCCCACCATCGGTGTCCGGCCGTGTGCTGCCCGCCCCCGGCCAGGGCGTCCTGCCCGCCTCTCCCGGCTCCGGGCGGGCACCTGCTCTCGCGCCTGCCTTTGTGCCCAGCTCTCCTCCCGGGACCCCTCTCTGCCCCCGCTTCTCCCGATGGGACCCCAGGCACTAGACTAGCCCCCCGCCCCCGCACGTGGCCTCACCCGAGGCCCCGGCCGACGGGAGCACATGGGTGGCACCAGCCCCGAGCTGCTTGGCGTTAACCGTGAAGACGGCCCGGCCCGAGCGGCTGTGGTTGAGCGTCAACCTAAGAACCAGGAGGTCCCGGGTTCGAGTTTGATCAGGGCACCTGCCTGGGTTGCGAGCTTGATCCCCCGTGTGGGGTGAGCAGGGGCAGCCGCTGCTGGTTTCTCTCGCGTCAATGTTCCCCTCTCCCTCCATCTCCCTCCCTCTCGCTCTAAAAATCAGCAAAAAACCGTCGGAGTCCGGATAGCGGGGTCCCGTGGCCCTGCCTGAGGTCAGGCCGCTTTCCACGGCCCCCGGGGGCCCCTGAGGGTCACTGTCCGTCCCCGCGCGTCCTTCGGGGCTCAGGCCGCCACCCCTGGCTCCGTCTGGACCTCACGGCCTCCGCAGGCGGAGGAGGAGAGGACAGCGGAGACAGGAGGTCAGGAGGGGCCCTGGCTTTCCAGGCGGCTGGTGGGGGGTGGTGGGGAGGGCGGCCCTGGGGCTGCGGGAGAGGGAGGGGCAGACAGCCACTCGGACCCATGTCCAGGGGCCCTGGTCTCACGTGGGCCTCTCCGGCCATGCACACCCCTCCTCCCCCTTCGCCCGTCCCCCTGGGACACGGACTCCTCCGGGCTGGCTGTCGCTGGCCAGAGCACCCCCCCCCCCCCCCCGTGTCCTTCCCGCTGGCCGCCCGCCCGGCCCCCATCCTTCCCTCCGGGCCCTACCGGGAACTGGGGGCACAGCGGAATTTCCGGTTCCAACCAGAGGGAAGAAGGTCCCATTGTCCCGGGAGGAAGAGCCGGGATTCGGGGAACCCGTGGCCGGGGCCCTCGGGGCCGGCTGTGCCCCATATAAGGCCCCGCGCCCGCTGCCTCGGCCTTCTCCCGCAGCCCCAGCCCCAGCCGCAGCCGCAGCCATGAGGTGCCTCCTGCTCGCCCTCTGCGTCGCCCTCGTGTGCGGCGCCCAGGACCTCTTCGTGCCCCAGACCGGGGAGGACCTGGACGTCCAGAAGGTCTGGGCGGGGCTCTGCGGGGGCGGCCGGGGCGGGGCGCTCTGCAGGGGGCGCTCTGCGGGGGGCGCTCTGCGGGGCGCTCTGCGGGGGGCGCTCTGCGGGGCGCTCTGCGGGGGGCGCTCTGCGGGGGGCGCTCTGCGGGGCGCTCTGCGGGGCGGCCGGGGCGGGGCACGGCGGGGGCGCCGGGCTCCGAAGGCGGGAAGCCGGGGTGTGGGGGGCCAGGTGGCCGGACTCCCCGGTGCCGCCCTCACACACACCCGGGGCGGCGGCTTAACCACGGCTCTGACTCTCAGTCTCAGTCCTGAGGCTGGTCCCCGGCCCCCGTGCCCCCCGGCCGGCTCTGGGCCCGCGTCCCGGTCTCCTCCGCTCACAAGGGACCTGCCCGGCGGCACCCGGGCCCGCCCCCATTTCAGTGCCCTCGCCGTGCCCTCGCCTCTTCAGAGACCCGTTTTATTGATGGATATTTTTCTTTTGCTGCTTATCATTATTATGGTCTTTAGAGAGAGGGGGGAAGGCAGAGGGAGAGAGAGAAGCATCACTGATGAGGACACTGATCGACTGCCTCCTGCCTGTTCCCCACCGGGGATCGGACCCCAGCTCGCCCTGGCCGGGGATCGAACCCGGGACCGCTCAACCTCTGAGCCATGCTGCCGGGCAGAGGTCCCGCCTCCTCACGGTCGTCTGAGGGGCTGGGCTGCACCAGCGAATTCGGGGGACACCATGCAGGCCCTTCCCGGCCCCCCGCCTCCCCCACTTTTCTCATCCCAGCCACGTCGCCCCCAGACCCACACCGCTCCCCGTGGAGGCCGCTCCGGGCTTCTCAGGGCTGAGAGTTTAGCCAGAACATCCGCAGGGGGGACCCCACAGCGGCCGGGGGGTGTCAGTGAGTGCCCTGAGGACCCTGGCCCCCCCTGGCCGGCCTGGGGGGCCGGGAACGGGCAGGACTCCACTGGCCAGGAGGGTGGGACGAGAGCCCCCGGGAGCTGGGGTCCCTGCCCGCCCCCTCCACCCCCTGGTGAGCTCACGGCCCCTCCCCAGATGGCCGGGACCTGGTACTCCGTGGCCATGGCGGCCAGCGACCTGGCCCTGCTCAGCACCCAGAGCGCCCCCCTGAGGCTGTACGTCCAGGAGCTGAGGCCCACGGCCCAGGCCGACATGGAGCTCATGATGCACAGATGGTGGGTGTCCCGGCTGCGGGAGGGGCCGGGCTCCAGGACAGGGGCGGGCAGGGCTCCTGAGGGGACTCGGCTTCCCGTGGGCAGCATGGGGTCAGGGGTCGGGGGTCGAGGGGCAGAGCTGGGCCCCTTGGAGCCCCTGCCCACGGCTCTGGACCCACGGGGCGGCCTGGGGTCAGTGTGGGGAGAGGCCTGTGTCAGAGGCTGCTGGTCAGGGTGGTGGGAACGGGTCTGGGCCTCCCGCAGGGCCTGGCTGCCCCTGGAGGGGAAGGGGGCAGAGAGAGCGGGGCGGGGAGGACGGAACCCAGAGCCATCACTGCCGGGAACGCAGGGCAACGCCGAGCACGACCGAGGGCACCCAGCCGTCCCATCCCCCTGCTCCGGGGCGGGCGGGGACCTGGCCACTGGAGTCCCTCTTCCCGCCCGCCTGGGCCCCGGGCCTCGCCCTCGGGCCCCTCACGGCTCCGGGACCTGTCTTCCAGGGAGGACGGCAGTTGTGTCCAGACCAAGATCTTGGCGGAGAAAACCGAGGTCCCCACCGAGTTCAAGATCAACAGTACGTGTGCCGGGCCTCCGCGCGGCCGGTCCAGGATGCCCCCCCCCGGCCCCCCCGGGGCTGAGATCGGCACGGAAACCCCTCTTTCCTCCTTTTAAAACACATGTTTATTGACTTCAGAGCGGAAAGGAGAGGAAGAAAGAGAGAGACATCCATGATGAGAATCGTGGATCCGCTGCCTCCTGCCCGCCCCCCACAACCCGGGCCTGTGCCCCGACCGGGAATCGAACCCGGGACCCTTCAGTCCACAGGTTGATGCTCAACCCCTGAGCCAAACCTGCCAGGCCCACCCCCATTTCTTAACCAGGGCACGGGGCAGGTGGGCCCCTCGGACCAGTGGTGACTGAGCTGGTCCGGCCGGAGGGCACTCAGGCCCCTGGGCCGGGCACGGCGGGGGCGTGGCCGGGGCTGGGTGTGGAGGTGGGGGGCGGGAGCCGCTCTCCGGTCCTGGCCAGTCGGCTGCACAGGGGGAGCCGGCCAAGAACCCACACTCACCCCCTCCCCGCCCGGCCCCCGCAGGCCTGGGGGACAGCAAGGTGCACGTGCTGGACACCGACTACGAGAACTTCGCCTTCCTGTGCCTGGAGAACGCCGGCCCCTCCAAGCAGAGCCTGGCCTGCCAGTACCTGGGTGCGGCCTCCGGAGCCGGGGCTGGGGGGGGGCGGTCCTGGAGCCGGGGAGAGGGTCCCGGGGCCGGGAGGGGAGGGTCCCGGAGCCGGGAGGAGAGGGTCCTGGAGCCGGGAGGGGAGGGTCCTGGAGCTGGGGAGAGGGTCCCGGAGCCGGGGAGAGGGTCCCAGAGCCGAGGAGAGGGTCCCGGAGCCGGGAGGAGAGGGTCCTGGAGCCGGGAGGGGAGGGTCCTGGAGCCGGGGAGAGGGTCCCGGAGCCAGGGAGAGGGTCCCGGAACCGGGGGTGTGTGGGGGGGTGGTGAGGGGTGGTGGGGGGTGGTGTGTGTCCCGGAGCCTGGAGGGGAGGGTCCCGGAGCCGGGGGGTAGGAGGTAGGGGGTCCCGTGACTGTGGGGACAGAAACCCGGGTGGGGGAGGGGGACACACACTCAGGCTGGGGACGCATGGCGGCGCTCGGTAACCATAACGACCAGAGAGCAGACTTGGGACATTCTCGGGGGCCCCCCTGGGCTCCCCATGGGTCATGGGCAGGCGGGCGGCTGGCCGGGATGGAGGGGCCTTGTCCTCCTGGGACCCTGACCCCCAGCTCGGCCCTGGAGGGGAGCTGGGCCGAGGGGGACAGGGACCTGGAGGACAGGTGGGCGGAGCCCTGTCCGGCCCTGGGGAGCGGGGCTGAGCTCTGCTGATCTCGATGTCGGGGTGACCGTCCTGCCTGGTCCTGGACAGGGCATTGCCCCCCCCAGCCCAGGGGCTGACCCCCGCCATCCCCCCACCCCACAGCCCGGACCCCGAAGGTGAACAAGGCGGCCATGGAGCAGTTCAACGAGGCCATGAAGCTGCTGCCCATCCACATCCAGATGGTCTTCACCCCGGCCCACGTGGAAGGTGACCTGCCCGCCGACCCCTGACCCCTGACCCCCGACCCCCGACCCCCTGCCCACGGCCCCCAGTCCGCAGGCCATGCGCCCTGGGAGCGCCTTTCTGCCGTGGTGGCCTCCCCACCACCCCAGGCTTCTCGGGGGGCGGGTGGGAGGTGGGGGTGCAGAGCCCCTGAGTGGGGTCCCCCTCAGACCCGGCTGACCTGTGGCCGCCCCTCCTCCCGCAGAGAGGTGCCGTATGTGAGCGTGTCCCGCTGACCCGCCTCCTGGGTAACGTACCTGCCCCGCCCCCCGTCCTGGGTGTGGGATCCTGGGGGCCCAGACTCCCCTGTCACCCTCTCCCCGGGCACAGGCCTGAGCGCCCGCCTCCTGCCGGGCCCCTGGGAAGGCTGGCACTGGGCCTCGGGAATCGGCCAGCCCCAGGGTCCCGGGCCGGTGTGGGTGCGGGGGGGGGGGGCTGAGGGAAGGGCTGGGAGGGGCTGGGAGGGTCGTCCCTCAGGCCCCAGAGTCACAGGGACCCTCGTCCGTTCCAGGACCTCGGCCCCCTGCAGGAGACTCCACCCTCCTTCTGGTCAGAGACCCCCGAGGGGCTGAGGCCACGAGGCTGCTGGGCACTGCCTGCTCCCCCCCTTTCCCGTCCCCCCGACCAGGCCCCTCTGGTGCTGCCTGGACCCCTGCTCTGAGCCCCTCAATAAAAAGTTCCATCAGAGCCGTCTGAGCGTCTTCTCTGGGGGCGGCGGGGCGGGCAGGCGGGCGGGCATCACAGACCCCACGTTCGGGGTCAGCAGCCGCCTTCAGCTGCCGGGACTGGGCGGCCGCGGCAGCTCTGGGTTTCCGCCCGGACCCGCCCCCCCGGGCTGCAGGGAGGGCTCGGACCCTGCCGGCCGGTCACCAGCCCAGACACCGGCTGCTCCGCCGGGACCGCTCAGGTTACCGCCAATCAGATCTCCTGACGGCGGCCGGGACCCCAAGGTTGTCTGGAGGAGCTCTCTCCGCTCAGGCGTGTCCCAGGCCTCCCCCTTCCCCTCGCCCCCTCCCCCCCTTCCCCCTGGGAGGGGCAGGGCCAGGCCAATGGCCGGGTCTGCGGACAGGAGCCGGGTTTTAAATCCGAACAGTTTACGTGTACACGGCTGTGCGTGTGCACATTCAATCTGTGTAATCACACCTCAGCACGCAGGGCGCACGCACCTAGGATGTCAGCGTGACGTCGGGGTCGTACACAGAGAGAACGGGCATGCTTCAGGAATGGCGGGCAGAGACACGTGAACACCGAGCAGACACTGGCCAGGCCCGGGTTCTGTCTGTGGTGGGGGCGCCTGTCCCCCTGCTCGGGCCCGGGAGCAGGTCTGAGGCACAGCGGACGGGGCTGGTGCGAACAGACACAGACACCGGTTATCCTAACCCAGTGGTCAGCAAACTCCTTAGTCCGCAGAGCCAAATACCAACAGCACAACAATTGAAATTCCTTTGGAGAGCCAAGTTTTTTAAACTTAAACTTCTTCTAACCCCACTTCTTATAATAGACTCAACCAGGCCGTGGTATTTTGTGCAAGAGCCACACTCAAGGGGCCAAAGAGCCACATGTGGCTCGTGAGCCGCAGTTTGCCGACCATGGTTCTAACTTATCTGTAACTCACTAGCGGGCAAGCAGGAACGCAGGGTGCTGCCGCCTGGGCAGGGAGGGTGCTGGCCGCCCCGGCAGGGAGGGTGCTGGCCGCTGGGGATGGGAGGGTGCTGCCGCCCGGGCAGGGAGGGTGCTGCCGGGAGGAGCCGGGGGAGGGAGCAGCCCGCGGGCCCAGCAGACACGCCTCGTGCCTTCCTCCCGCCCCCACGGCTCCTGGCACGTGCCCCGTGCCCAAACCGCCCGGACGGCCCTGGCCCGGCGATACCGGCACACCCTTCCGCAGGCGGGCGGGCCCCTCGGCAGACACCGGGACCGGCAGGGCCTCTGGCGGGAGGGCGGCAGCTGAGGTCGGACATGGAGACGGGGCCCCGGCCGCCCGGCCGCCCCGCCCTCTGGGCCCCCGTGGTCCTGGCCCTCGGCCTGGGCCTGGCCGGCGCCCAGAGGACCCTGGAGGAGGTGCCCGTGCAGCCCGGCTTTGACACCCAGAAGGTAATCGCTGGGCAGGACGTGGGTGCCAGCGTCTCGGGGGCCTCGCCAGGGGCAGGCGGGCAGGAGCAGGCTGGGCACCACGGGAGGGTGGCGGACGAGGCTGCGGGCACGTTGGGCCCTGGCACCGCCCCGGGGCGCCCCCTGGCTGAGGGGTCTCTGCCCTGCGCGCCCTCTGCCATCTCCCATCTCTGGGCATGGACGGTGCGGGCAGGGCGGCCGGGAGCAGTTTCAGGACGTGGTGGCTGGTCCCAGGAGACCCCCCTCCCACACCGGCCAGGGCACAGGACCCAGCAGGGCGGTGGGTGGACTGAGCACAGGAGGGGCCAAAGGAGTGGGGAAAGGGGGCAGTGAGGGAGGGTGGGGGCCAAGGTGGCCTGAGAGGGGAGGCTGACCACACCCCTGCTCCGCCCTGGAGGCTGCGGGACCCTCCCCCACCCTGCACCTGCACCCACAGGTGACCGGGCGCTGGCTGACCCTCCGGCTGGCCTCCAGCCGGGCACGCCTGGTCTCCCCCAGCGACCCCCTGCGGCTGGCGCTCCACTCTATCGCCACGCGGGGCCGGGACCTGGAGTTCCTCTTGTTCTGGACGTAGGTGGCCCCTTGGGACCTGAGGGTGGGGTGCTCGGGGCCCCCCAAGACGTCGGCGTCGGCTCAGCCGGGGCTGGAGCCGCTCAGGTCCTTTCGGCTCTGCAGGGCGGGCAGGCGGGAGGGACCTCGCCGGCCGTTCTCGCGGCTCAGCCCGTCCTGCCCGTCACTGGGTGGGTCCCGGCGGCCGCTGGCAGCCCCGGCTGGGTCCTCAGGGAGGAGCTGGTGTCACCGGACAAGCGTGCTGACGCCCGTGGCGTCTGGGACGGCGGTGGCCACGCCCTTGCCGGGCTCAGCCACGGGTGCTGCAGTCTGTGCACGCAGCCCGCCCACCGCTGGAAGCTGTAGACCCGGGGGGCGGGGTCAGGGGGGCACGGGCGGGGCCTACGGTTCGCTCTGTGCACAGAGACCATGATGAGGACGCCATCCTGAGTCCCCTCCCGAGACCCAGGTCCCCCCCACCCCCGGACAGACAGACAGACAGGGCCCCGCACCTCCCGGGGGCCGGCTCCTCCCAGCCAGGAGCCCTGTGCTCAGGCAGCCCCCAGCCCCTCCCTCCCCAGCGGGCAGCACAGGGGCCGGGAAGGGATGGCAGCCACGGAGCCACGGAGCCCTCCCTCCCCAATGGGCAGCACGGAGGCCGGGAAGGGACGGCAGCCACGGAGCCACGGAGCCTTCCCTCCCTGCGGGCAGCACGGGGGCGGGGCCGGGCCGGGAAGGGACGGGATGGCAGCCACGGAGCCCTCCCTCCCCAATGGGCAGCACGGGGGCCGGGAAGGGACGGCAGCCACGGAGCCACGGAGCCCTCCCCCCCAGCGGGCAGCACGGGAGCAGGGCCGGGCCGGGAAGGGACGGGATGGCAGCCACGGAGCCACGGAGCCCTCCCTCCCCGCGGGCAGCACGGGGGCCGGGCCGGGCCGGGAAGGGACGGGATGGCAGCCACGGAGCCCTCCCTCCCCAGCGGGCAGCAGCTGTGCAGAGGCGTCCGTGTCACCGTCCACCCGACGGGGTTGCCGGGCCAGTACCACGGCGCCAGTGAGTCCCCGGCCGGCCCGCGGGGGGGGACCCGATGCCCAGCCTGGCGGTGGGGGCGGGCCGGGCCAGAGGGCGCCCCTCGTCCTGTCCGAGTCCACGGCGGGCTGGTCCGGCGTGGGGTGGACGGTCGGGGTCGGGGTGGACGGTCGGGGTCGGGGTGGACGGTCGGGCGCAGGGTGGACGGTCGGGGTCGAGGTGGACGGTCGGGTGCAGGGTGGACGGTCGGGCGCGGGGTGGACGGTCGGGCGCGGGGTGGACGGTCCGAGCGTGGAGTGGAGTCAGGGCCCCCGTCAGGCCCCCGTCACGCGGGGTCTGTCCCCGCAGTCGAGGGAGGAGCCCGCGTGCGCGTCCGCTTCGTCAGCACCGACCACCGCAGCCTCCTGCTCTGCGTCCGCGTGGAGGAGGGCGGGCCCGGCGGGGACGCGGGCGAGGTCACCAGCCTGTGGGCGCTGCTGGGTAGGTGGTGTCTCCCCGACGCTGCACACGCCCCCCCATCTCCCCAGACCCGGCTCGGTGCCTGTGCCTGGGTGCGGGTCAGCGGCCGCTCAGCACGGCGCCCTCACACCACCCCCTCCGGTGCCCGCTGGGCGTTCCCGAGCTGGCGTCCCCGTGGGCAGGCGGAGAGCCTCCTGGGGGCGCGCTGTCCTGGGGCGTGGACGGCGGTGAGGGAGGGCCCGCAGGCTGGAGGGTCAGCGGGTGGGGGCGCCGGGTCCCGGGGAGCCCCGTGTGCCGGGGGACCCTCTGGCGGGCTCCGCCTCAGGGGTCGATCCTGGCTCCCAGGAGCGGGAGCCCCTGCCCCTGGAGCAGGGCCGAGGGGGCCGAGGCCGTGCCCAGGGCGCCATCCTGGCCGGCGGGCATCAGCTCCGGCCTGGCCAGGAGCCGGGAGGAGGGGCAAGTCTGACCCCACAGCTCCCGGTCTGGGCCCTCACCACCTGTCCCCCGCTGCAGCCAGACGCCTGCCCGGGGACCCCCAGTTGCTGCGCAGGTTTCTGGGGTACGTGAGGCAGTTCCAGCTGCAGGAGGCCCCTGTCTTCAACCTGGAGGGTGAGCACTGCCCCACTGCACCCAGGCCACCGGGCGGGGCTAGGGCTAGGGTTAGGGTTAGGGTTAGGGTTAGGGTTAGGGTTAGGGCTAAGGCTAGGGTTAGGGTTAGGGTTAGGGTTAGGGTAGGGGTTAGGGTTAGGTTAGGGTTAGGTTAGGGTTAGGGTTAGGGTTAGGGTTAGGGTTTGGGTTAGGGTTAGGGTTAGGGTTAGGGTTAGGGTTATGTTTATGGCTAGTGTTATTTTTAGGATTTGGGTTAAGTTTAGGACTTGGGGCATGGTTAGGGTTAAGTTTCTTATCATTAGGATTAGACTTAGGGTTTGGCAGTAGAGTTTACAGTGGTGGTGAAGGTTGTGGTGGACAAGGTGCATGTCCTTGGCAAACCCTCCTAATGGCCACCTGTTTCCCTCTGCAGCCCCGTGTCCTCCGCCTGCAGCCCAGGTCCGGCCCTCCCCTCAGTCTTCCGGCGCCTTCTCCCGTTCCCAGGGTCCTGTCCACCCCTGTGCTGCCTGAGTCCCTCCCGGCCTGCGCCCGCCCCACTCTCTCCGTACCCGAATGGCGTCTCCTTGGCTTTGGGTCACCGGGTCCTGCAGCCAGTGGCTGAGGTGCCCACCGCCCCTGGCAGCCTGGCTCAGCGGGAGGTCACTCCGGGTGTCGTGGGGGGCCGGGGCCTGGGCATCTCTTAGGAACCAGGCCTTCTCCAGCCTCCGTCCTCGCATCAGGAGATGCCGGCAGACAGGACCAGCCTGCTCCCGCCCCAGCAATGCCCTCGGCGGGCCAGCCTCCCGCGGCCAGCGAGTGCCACCTGTGCCGGTTCCCTGCACTCGGGCGGCTGTGAGCAGCAGCATGGCCTCTGCGGAGCCAGAGTCCGGGTGTGTGGCCATCGCCTCCCCGTGTCATCAAGGCCCCACTCTGCCTGTCTGTGTTCCCTTCCCCCCTCTCTCTTTTTTGAATATATATTTTATTGATTTTTTACAGAGAGAAAGGGAGAGGGATAGAGAGTTAGGAACATCCATCAGCTGCCTCCTGCACACCCTCTGCTGGGGATGCGCCCTCAACCAAGGCACATGCCCTTGTCCGGATTTGAACCTGGGACCCTTCAGTCCGCAGACCGAAGCTCTATCCACTGAGCCACACCTGTCAGGGCCCCATCCCCTCTCTTCTGAGGTCACCCTTCCTACTGGACCAGGGCCACCCTCGTGGCCACGTTTTACCACGGTCACCTCTGTACGTGGCCTGTCGAGCGTCGACCTAGGTACCAGGAGGTCAGGGTTCGATTCCTGGTCAGGACACAGGCCCAGGTTGCAGGCTCCATCCCCAGTGTGGGGTGTGCAGGAGGCAGCTGATCAGTGATTCTCTCTCATCCTTGCTGTTTCTCTTTCTCTCTCCCTTCCTCTCTAAAAATCAATAAAAACATTGCCTTCTGCACGCCCCCTCCTCCCTCCCGGTCTGCTCCCTGCTTAGCGTGTCGGCCCTCAGACTGAAGGGAGCCGGGTTCGTTTCTGCTCGAACCTCTGTCCCAGGCTCCATCCCCCGGCCCCTCCCTGGGGCCGGGGGAGGGGGCCGGCGGAGGGGGCTGGGGAGGTGGGGGGAGCATCGGCCGCTGGACGGGGGCGGGGGGAGAGGCGTCTGGCTCCACTTGCCCGTCGGTCCCTCTGCCCTCTGCGGCTGCTGACCGGCCGGACGGCCTGTCCGGCAGGTTCCGAGGGGCCCGGTGCCGGCTGCACGGCGGGCGTGGGGGCGGCGGCCGCAGGGCCTTGGCTGCGTTCCCTCGTGGGGAGGACGGGGGGGGGAAGGGCTGCGGGGGGGCGGGGAGGACGGCGGGCGGAAGGGACCGGGTATAAAGGGCAGGGATCCGGCCAGGGGCGGCCGAGGGATGGCACTGCTGCTGCTGCTGCTGCCGCCGCTGGGCCTGGGCCCGGGCCCGGCCTCCGCCCAGGAGCTCAACCTGCAGTCTGTGGTTCGGGGGAACTACGACCCGGCCAAGGTGGGCCAGGGCGCGTCCCCCCAGCCGGGCGCCCCACCTGCTCCAGGGCTGCTCCCGAGGGGCCGCTTCGCCTCCCCTCCCCGGGCGGCAGCCTGGGGGCAGGGGGTCCCTGGGGGTAGGGGGTCCCTGGGGGGTAGGCGGTCCCTGGGGGTAGGGGGTCCCTGGGGGTATGGGGTTCCTGGGGGTAGGGGGTCCCTGGGGGGGTAGGCGGTCCCTGGGGGTAGGGGGTCCCTGGGGGTAGGGGGTCCCTGGGGGGGGTAGGCGGTCCCTGGGGAGCCCCTGGGGGCTAGGGGGCCCCTGGGGGGTTAGGGGATCCCTGGGGGACTAGGGGGTCCCTGGGGTGTAGGCGGTCCCTGGAGGGGTAGGCGGTCCCTGGGGGGTTAGGGGGTCCCTGGGGGGTAGGCAGTCCCTGGGGGATTAGGGGGTCCCTGGGGGGTTGGGGGTCCCTGGGGGACTAGGCAGTCCCTGGGGGCTAGGGGGTCCCTGGGGGGTTGGGGGTCCCTGGGGGTGACGGTGGCCCTGGCCGGCACCGTGGGGCCTGGCCGGAGGGAGCCGCCCTGCAGGCCGCGGCGTCTCCCAGGTGTCGGGCGTCTGGTACTCCATCGCCATGGCCGCCAGCGACGTGGGGCGCATCCGGGAGGGCGGGGACCTGCGGGTCTTCATCCAGAAGATCGAGGGCGCGGCCGGCGGCTGCCTGCGCTTCTTCTTCCACTTCATGTGCGTGCCCCCGCCCCCCGCCCCCCGGAGCCCCGCCTTCTGGAGCCCCCGCCCCCCCAGAGCCCCCTGCCCCCCCCCAGCCCCCTGCCCCCCCAGAGCCCCCGCGCCCCCAGAGTCCCCTGGAACCTCCCGGACTTCCCCACCCCCCCAAGCCCCCCCGGCCCCCCAGGAGCCCCCAGACTCCCCCCAGAGCCCCCTGACTCCCCCCCAGAGCCCCCCAGACTCCCCCGCCCCCCCCAGATCCCCTGCCCCCCAGACTCCCCTGCCCCCCCGGAGCCCCCTGCACCCCCTGGAGCCCCTGCACCCCATGGCCAGCCCCGGTCCTGTGGGGTGGACAGGGGGTGGACGGGGGTGGATGGGGGCAGCCTGCGCTGCTGCTTCATGTGCGTGGCCCCCCAGCCTGGCCGGTGCCCCCCAGCCCTCTGCACCCCGTGTCCTGTGGGCGGGCGATGGGGACGGGGGCTCACCCAGGCGTGTGCAGGCTGCTCGGGGACTGCGTGGAGGTGGCCCTCGTCTGCGAGAAGACGGAGAGGAGTGGGGAGTGCACCCTGGCCCGTACGTGGGACCTCAGCATTCCCGTGACCTCTGACCCCGGGCTCTAGGGGACCCCGATGGCTGGAGCCCAGTGATGGGGCCCCGGCCCAGGGACCCGCTGGGACGGCCATGGCTGAGCCCCAGGGAGGGGGTACCGTATGCTCATCTGCCCCCACCAGCTAGGGTCCCCCCGGCCGCCTCCCCCCACCCCCCATCCCCACCCCCACCCCACCCCCGGCACCGGCACCCAGCCCTCCCCGCGCACGGCCCCGGCGCTGAGCCCGTCTCCCTGCAGACATGGGGGACAACAGGGTGGTGCTGATGGAGACCGACTACAACCTCTACGCCGCCTTCCACCTGCACAGCGTCCGCAACCGCACCCAGACCCGCGTGCTGGCACTCTACGGTACCTGCAGCTCCGGGACGCCCCGGCCCTCCCCGGAGCCCCCCGATTCCCCCCTGGAGCCCCCCAGACTCCGCCGCCCCCCCCCCAGAGGATGGGCCTCCGCCCGGCCCCCAGGCCCCCCCCGTCTGGCCCCCCAGGCTCCCCCGTCTGGCCCCCCAGGCCCCCCCCGCCCAGCCCCCAGGCCCAGGCCCCACCCCGCGGGGCCCCCCTGCCTGGCCCCCAGGCCCCCCCCCGTCTGGCCCCCCAGGCCCCCTCGCCCCCCGCCCGGCCTGCCAGAACTCGCCCACTGGGCCCCCAGGCCCCCCCTGCCCGGCCCCCAGGTCCACCCCCGCCCGGCCCCCCAGGCCCAGGTCCCCCCCCCGTCTGGACCCCCAGACCCAGGCCCAGGCCCCACCCTGCCCGGCTCCCAAGCCCCACCAGTCAAGTCCCATTGCAGGGGGAGGTGCCTCACCCAGCAGTCATGCCCCTCAGCCCCCTGCTGCCCAGGCCCCCGAGACCCTCCCCAACCTGGTCCCAGGGGCTGGGAGGCACCAGCCTGCCGTCTGTCCATCTGCCCGTCTGTCCGTCTGTCCGCAGGCCGGATCCCCGAGCTGCCCCACAGCTTCCTGCACAGGTTTGAGAGTCTCTGCAGGAAGCACGGGCTGGGCCCCCAGCACATCCTCAGCCTGAGCACCCGGGGTAGGAGGCCGACGGCAGGGAGTGGGGGGCGGCCCCCCGAATCCCGTCTGAGAGCCGCTCTGTCCCCAGACCCGTGTGTCCTGGACCGGCAGTAGTGGAGACCGTGGGTGTCGGGTGCGTGTGGGGTGCGGGCAGAGCAGGAGGGCGGGACGGGGTGGGGGAGCACCCCTAGCCCAGCCCCCCCATCCCTGCCCTCACTGGGGTGACTGACAGCCATGGTGTGTTCTCCGGGGTCGGGGCTCCAGAAACCTGACATTGAGGCGACCCGGCCCCACTCCCTCCCCGGTCTCTGGGGGTCCCTCCCGCCCTCCCAGCTGCCCACCCCCTCGCCTCACTCTGCCTCGGGGACACGCCTTCCCTCTGTCTCTCCCCCGTCCCTTTAGGACACCCCCGGACGTAGGACTGGACAGCCTGGCGATCTCACCTCACATTCTGTCCCTCAGTCCATCTGCAAAGACCCTTTTCCCAATACGCCCCACCCCCCCCCCCCCCCGTGCCTGAGGTCACCCCGGGGCACCTCACAGACACCGAGGCTGTGTCCGTCCTCAAACCTCCTGTGAGCCCCCATCATCTCAGGATGCAGGGCCCACAGGCAGCGCAGCTCAGCAGCTGAGCATCGCCCTGGGAACCAGGAGGTCAGGGTTCGATTCCCGGTCAGGGCACTGGCCCGGGTTTTGGGCTCGATCCCCAGGGTGGGGCGTGCAGGAGGCAGCCGATCCACGATTCTCTCTCATCATTGATGGTCCTCTCTCCCTCTCTCCCTTCCCCTTCCTCTCTGAGATCAATAAAAATATCTTAAAAAACAAAAGGAAATGTGTGTGGTTCCCTCCTCAGATCCCAGCCTGACAGACACTTCCCCGGTGGCCCAGCCTCATCCCAACCCAGACACCGGCTGGGCCCTGCCCTCCCACATCAGTGCCCCACTCCTGGCCCTGTGCTCCCCCAGCTTCCCTCCCCTCCCCTCCCCCTCCCGTGGGACAGGGACCCAACCCTCCACGCACACTCCACCCCAGATACCCCCAGACGGGGATATGCTCAGCCCCGAGGGCAGGAGGGCAGGGGGGCAGGAGGGCAGGGGCAGGGGGGCAGGCAGAGGACAGATAGGAGGACAGGAGGGCAGGGGGCAGGGGGGCAGGAAGGTAGGGGGGCAGGAGGGCAGGAGGACAGGAGGGCAGGGGGGCAGACAGGAGGACAGACAGGAGGGCAGACAGGAGGGCAGGAGGGCAGGGGAGCAGGAGGGCAGACAGGAGGACAGACAGGAGGACAGACAGGAGGGCAGACAGGAGGACAGGGGGGCAGGGGGCAGACAGGAGGGCAGACAGGAGGGCAGACAGGAGGGCAGGAGGGCAGGGGGCAGGAGGGCAGACAGGAGGGCAGAGGGCAGACAGGAGGGCAGACAGGAGGGCAGACAGGAGGACAGGGGGGCAGGAGGGCAGACAGGAGGGCAGACAGGAGGGCAGAAAGGAGGGCAGACAGGAGGGCAGACAGGAGGACAGGGGGGCAGATGGCAGACAGGAGGACAGACAGGAGGACAGGGGCGCAGAGGGCAGACAGGAGGGCAGACAGGAGGGCAGACAGGAGGACAGGGGGGCAGATGGCAGACAGGAGGACAGACAGGAGGACAGGGGCGCAGAGGGCAGACAGGAGGGCAGATAGGAGGGCAAAGCGTCCATGCAGGGGCTGGCTTCCTCCAGAGGCGGAGGCGGCCCTGTGGGTCTGTCTGGACCGGGGTCAGGCATGAGCACCCGTGGACACATTCCCTTCTCCCCAGGAGGCCTGGCCGGGGCCGGGCCCCCGGGGCGGGGCTGCTGGCGCCCGTGGGTGCGCTGGCCCAGGCAGGACCTCTGTGGCCAGAGGCTGGGGTGAGGGGGGGGCTGAGCAGCACCAGGGCCTCCGCCACACGTGGTGCTTGTGGCACCATCGGGCGGGGGCCAGGGCCGGGGGGGGGGGGTTCCGGGGGGCGGTGGCCGGAGAGCTGGTCTGTTCCAGCTGCGCTGTCACCGATGCCCACCAGAGTGTCCGCTGAGGGGGGCAGGGGCGGGGGACGGGAGGGTACTGGGGAGCGGTGGCCGGAGAGCTGGTCGGCTCCCGCCGTGCTGTCTGTCACCGACGCCCACGAGTGTCCGCTGAGGGGGGCTGGCAGTGCCTGGTCCTGGGCCCGTGTCCCAGGGCCGGGGTGGGGGCGGGGGCAGGGGCAGGGGGCCTGCCAGCAGCGGGCTCTGACCGCCCTGCGCTGGCTCCAGCCCACGAGCTGTGCTGTGCTTTGGCTCACAAAGGCCGGAGCGGAGGCGGCGGGAGGAAGCTGTTCCGGAACCCCACGCTGCGCTCCGCTCCGGCCTTCCTCCCCGCTCACCGGGCTCGATGGCGGAACAGGCCGCCCACGATCCCCAGCCACCGCCTGCGGGCAGGCCCCTCCTGGGGCCGGCGGGGCGGGCAGCCCCTGCAGCCCAGGCCCCGGGGCGGCAAGGACTCCCCCCGACATTCTCAACACCCCCCCCCCCCCCGCCCCGCGGGCCTGAGGCAGCACAGGGGCTCCGTCTGCCCTTGATCTGGGGCTGGTTCCGCCTCCATGGAGCTGGGGGAAGGGGGTCCCACCTCTCTGCCCCCCTGGGCCTCAGGGCTCTGAGCAAGGATACCCCAGCTTCCCGTCTCTTCCCCCTTGCCCTAGGGGGCTGGGTGAGGGCAGATCCCAGCTCAGGGCCGGGCACCTGGGGCAGGGACGTCACAGCCTGCCCCGTCCTGGAAACCAGACCCGCAGCGCAGGGCGGGGGGCTGCCAGCAGGGGTCACTGCACGTGCGCTCAGCAGGCTCGGGGCCCTGGGCCCCAGGCAGGGACTGCAGTGTCCCCCCACCATCCCCCCTCCCAGGAGAGGTGCTGGCTAAACAACACACGTGTGTAAATCCACAGGACTGCACATCGGCACACACATGCACATACTGGGTCATTTTTAAATTTTTATTTCAGGGAAGAAGGGGGGGAGAGAGAGAGGGAGAAACAACGATGAAAATCACTGAGGGCTGCCTCCTGCACGCCCCACCCAGGGGATTGAGCCCACAACCCAGGCCTGTGCCCTGACCGGGAATGGAACCGACACCTCCTGGTTCAGCCACAGCCCCCCGGCCCGGGCACGGGGTCAGAGCGGGGCTGTGAGAGGAGGAAGGTCACCCGCCTCTCTGGGGAGGGGTGGGACACCCCGAGTTCCGGGCTGGGCTAGTCCTGGTTCCCCATTCCAGACCAGAGGCCTCTGCAGGAAGCCGTCCCTCCGCCCGAGTCACGACATCACACCTGTCCTTCCTCCAGAGACTCCTTCCTTTAATGCTCAGCCCATTCCCACAGCCCCACAGCCCCTCCCCCACTGGGTGAGAACAGCCCAGCCGCCGCCTAGCAGGCGAAGAAGTCGGGGAAGATGCTGTCCACCTCGTCCCGGAAGGCCAGGCTGGGGCAGCCCATGTCCCAGCCCCACGGCTCCAGGGGGCCGTCCGGGGTCTCCTGGGCGCTGGGCTCAGGGCCTGCCAGGAAGCCGGGCTCCATCCTGTCCAGCGGGCTCCCGGCCGGGGCCCCAGCGGGGGCGCTGCTGTCCCTGCCCTCCGGGGACCCTGGACAGGAGCGACAGGACAGGTCAGCGGGCACCCAGCCCGGCGTGCCAAAGCGGGCGGGGCAGTGGGCAGAGGAGGCGCCCCACACTCACGAACACTCACAGACACATTCACGTTCACGCACACTCACGCTCTCTCAGGCCCTCCCACAGGCTCCCTCCCCTGCTCCAGGCCCGAGACCAGGAGCTCAGACATGGACCGGTGTCGCCCTGCAGGCAGCCTGGTCACCCCCGCCATCCGAGCGGTCAGGAGGCCGAGCCCACAGCCGCCCCATCGGGGAAGGCGCCGCCCGCGCCCCACTCACCCAGCCACCACTCGGGACTGGCCCTCAGCAGCAGGGACGGCCCGTCCTCCACGCCACACGCGGGCACGGACCTGGGTGGCAAGGAGACCCCACCCTGAGGCCCAGGGAACCCGTGTCCTCCGACCTCAGGGGAAGGCGTGGCCCTGCGAGGCGGCCCAGGTCCAGAGGCGCCCGCGCCCGCGCCCGCGCCCTCCCTGCCCGGCACCAGCACAGGAGCCGCTGGCTCTGAGAGCCTCCCCCGCCGTCCCCACGCCCCGCTGTCCTCACCCCCCGCCATGCCACCAGCTCGGCCGCCAGCCCAGGGACCCGTCATCAGAAGAGGGTGCTTTCAAAACACGTCAGAGGCCACAGGGCCGCCTGGGCAGCACTCACAGTGAGGGACTGAGGGGAGCACGACTGAGGCAGGCCTTGGGGTGCACACACAGGCAATGCACATACAGGCAGGCACATGTGTGCACACATACAGGCAGGCACATGTGTGCACACATGAGCAGGCACACGTGTGCACACACAGGCATGCACATAAAGGCAGACACACGTGTGCACACACAGACATGCACATACAAGCAGGCACACACGGGCACATGCCCGTCGGGGGCCCACCTGGTGCCGGGCATCCCAGCCTGGGTCGCCTCCTCTGTGAGGGGCCCGGCCAGGCCTGGGCAGCTCTGAGCCTCTTCGCTCGCCAGCGGGGAGGTCGGCGGCCAGGAGCAGGGAGGCCAGGCGGGGGGCGGCCTCAGCACCGGGGAGGGACTCGGGCCTGGGGTCCAGGGTGCCAGGCTGGAGGTCCCTATGAGAAAGGGAACGGTGGGACAACCCCCCTCCCCCAGGAGCAACCTCCCCTGAGGACCTCAGCCCCTGGGACGGGGCTAGAGCAGAGGCAGGCAGGTGCCCAACACCGGCGGCCAGGGAGCTCCCGGAGGCGGTGCCTGTGGGGCTCCGACTGGGGACGCGGTGCCGCTGCGGCTTCCCCTCTGTGTGCCCGCGACCCCCACCCCACAGGGCAACACCCTCCCAGCAGCCCCCGAGTGCGGCCTCTGCACCCCGTGTCCTGTGTGCGGGTCCTGCAGCTCCCCGGTGACCCCACCTGTCACCAGCAACCCTACCCCCTCACCGGGCACACTCAGGCCCCAGTACCGCCCCCCCTCACCGGGAACAACCCGGCCCCAGTACACACCCCCCTCACCGGGCACACTCAGGCCCCAGCACCCCCCCCCTCACCGGGCACACTCAGGCCCCAGCACCCCCTCCCCCTCACCGGGCACACTCAGGCCCCAGCCCCCCCCCTCACCGGGCACACTCAGGCCCCAGCACCCCCCCCCACTGGGCACACTCAGGCCCCAGCACCCTCACCGGGCACACTCAGGCCGTGCCGCCCCTGGCACTTGGCAAACGCATGTGGGCGGCTTAAGTGCTGCCACGGCAGCCACGGCCCACAGAGTGACAGACAGCTGGGCAGGGTCCAGTGTGAGGGGGACGCCGGCCTCAGGGGCACCCCACGGGCTTGTGGGGGGCGGGCAGGCAGGGAACAAAAGCCCCGTGTGGGGGAGGGGACAGCCTGGGGTTCATGACTCACCCCACAGGGCAGAGAAGCCGCCCCACCGCCCAGAGCCGGAGAGTGGGGGCTGTTCTCGGGGAGCCGGACACGGGGGTGCGAGGGCGTGGCAGGTCCACGCCCCCACACTTTCTGGGGGGCCTGGAACCACGCCTGTGCCCAGGCACACTCACCGGGGAGGGCTGCAGGCCTGTCCAGCGCCTCGGCCAGCCCCGTGGTCACACCTGTGGTCACGCCGCTAGGGGCGTCCTGCAGCCTGGATGGTGCAAAGATGGGGGGGGTCTCTGGACAGCCCGCACCCACAGCCCGGGGGCTCCATCCAGCAGGGGGGGCACTCACACGGTCCCAGGGGCTCCCGGCCCAGCCCCGGGAGCCTCTGCTGGGGTCTGACTCAGCTGCCACTTGTGCCAGTCCTCCTCCGTGGGGCCGAGGACCTGACACGGAAAGAGACGCCAAAATCACCACGGACGTGGTCACGGGGAAACCACAGGAAACATGGGCTTCCTGTCCCGGGTCCTCCCTGAGCACAGACCCGGTCCTCAGCCCGGGCGGGAGGGGCGGGAGGGGCGGGAAAAGGCGGTGGGACTCGCTCCTGGCTGGCACCACGGGCGGGGCGGGGGCCAGGGTGCCGCGCCCACAGGAGGTGTGAGGACTGGGACCTGCACCGGGGAGACTCCGGGAGTAAGAGCCACCCTGGCCGTGCAGGTGGGAGGCAGCCGGAGCCGCCCTCGCCCGTGGGACACCCGCGCCCCACACGCACCGGTTGCTCCCCGCCGGGCAGCAGGGCGCCCGCCATCCGGAGGAACTGCACGGACATCTCCAGGACGGAGGCCATGTCCTCCCGCCGGCCGTCGAACCGGGGCAGGAGGGCTCGCAGGCGCTCGCAGCTCAGGGAGATCCGCTTCCTGTTCCGGACAAGCCACGGGCGCCCGTGAGCCCGCCGGCTTGGCCGGGAGAGAGGGGGGCAGCCCCGGCCCCTAGGCCACTGGGGGGAGACACAGGCTGGACCCCCCATCCCAGTCCTTCAGGGTCTGTGTCCGGCTTCCCCGGCCCAGGGCCACCTCCCCGCCTGGGGGTGCGGGAGGAGCTGGGCCTGCAGGAGGCGGCCCAGCGATGGCTCTCATTGATGTTCCCCTCGCTCTCCCTTCCTCTCTGACCTCCATGAAATGTATGATTTACAGGGAGATGCCCAGAGGGGCGCCCTGCCCCCCGCTCCTCCCGGGCCCACCCCCTCCTGGGCAGACTCCAGGCCGTCCCAGGTGCTCCATCTGGCCCCCCTCTCCCACCTGCGCTCCCGCTCGCTGAGCACGTTCCGGGGGAGCCTGCAGGCCGGACGCCCCGCCGGGGTCTGGGCTGGACCGGAGCCCCCGCCTGGGCCCTGGTGGAGGGAACAGGCTTCCGGGGAACAGCTGCTGCTGGGAGAGGGAACAGCTCCAGGCTCCGCGAACCCCAGAACGCCACCGGAGCCCAGACAGGTCCCTCCCCGCCCCCTCCCGCCGGGCCGTGGGGGCTCTGCCACGGAGAGCCGGGCTGGCGGAAGCCGGGGGACGGGGAGCCCCGAGCAGTCTGGGCACCCCCAGTCCGGGCACCCCCAGCTCCTCACCAGCACTCCCGGGGGGTGGGGCCTCGGGGGAGCCCAGCACTGGGCTGGGGGCCTCCGGACGCCATGAGCGCAGCTGCCTCTCCACCAGCGCCGCCGGCCCCTTCGCCCACGTGCCCGCCCGGGCCCACGTGCCCGCCCCGCCCACGTGCCCGCCCCGCCCACGTGCCCCGCCGCCGCACCTGGCGCTGCCCACGCCCCCGCGGAGCCCAGGGCCGGGCTCCTGCTCCCTCTTCGCGGGTCAGACATCTCCCCTCCCCCCTCAGGCGCCCCGGGTGCCAGGCCGGTGGGGGTGCTGGAGGGGGGATGCTGGCTGTTTGGAGGCCGAGCCCGGCCCTCAGGGAGTGGCCAGCCGGAGGGGCGAGGGGGGGCCTCGCGGAGAAATGGTGGGTCCAGGGCGCTGGGCAGCGCGCAGGGGGTGCACCGGAGCCAGGCCCCCGCCTCCCAAGGCACTGTCTCACCCGAGGGCGGGGTACAGGCGCTGGAGGGGGTGGAAGAGCAGGGGCAGGAGGGAGGCGGAGGCAGGGAGGACGAGGGGGCGGGGAGGAAGGGGCGCAGGGCGAGGCCGGTCTGAGACTGTTTCCCGAGACCCTGGGGGCTTCAGGGCCGGTCCGGGGCCAGGTGGACACGACCCCCGGACCCCCGGACCCCGCCCAGCCCGCCCGACGCCGCCGCGGTTCCCGGCGCGGCCGGCAGGGGGCGCGCGCGGGCCGGCGCCCGAGCCGGACCCCAGGCGCTGCCGCCCCAAAGCGGAGAAAGTGCGGGTTTCGGGCCGCGGAGGGGGAGTCGCCTGTGGCTCCGCCGGCTCTCCCTCGGCTCTGGGTCCGAGCCGCCGCGGCCGCAATGGGCCCCGGCAGGGCGCGCGGCCCGGGGGGCGGCCGCGGGGGCGCGCGGGCGGGGGCGCGCGGCGGCGGCCACACCAACCGGACCTTCGTGTTCGACGACGGCCGAGGCGCCCCCAGGTACGTCCGCGGCGCCCCCGCCTCCCGCCCGGGCCCCGTCCCCAGGTCCCCAGGTCCCGGCCAGGCTGGGCCCCGAGCGCCCGCCCGGCCGGCCGCCGCGGGCAGCGCCCCTCCGCCCGGCTCCTCCGGGACCAGCAGGTGCCCCGCGGCGTCGGTCTCCCCGCGCCCGGAGGCCGAGTGGCCGGAGCGGCCATGTTAGGTGCGGGGCCGAGCCTCCGGGCGCGGGGGGTGCGGGCCGAGCCTCCGGGTGCGGGGGGTGCGGGTGCGGGGCCGAGCCTCTGGGTGCGGGGTGCCGGGGTGCCGGGGGTGCGGGCCGGCGCCCTGGGCCTGGGCTGCGCCCGCGGAGTGAGGGTGAGTGGTGGGTGGGGCGCCCCTCCCCGCCCCGCCTCGGGCAGAGCCTGGGGACGGCCGCGTGGGGGGGGCAGGGCTGTGCCCGAGGGGCAGGGGCGAGGGCACCCCACCTGGAAGCCGGGTTTCAGGGGCATCTCTTCCCAGGAGGAGCCCTGATTGGGATGGGGGTCAGGGGTGGGCGGGGTCATGGTCTCCAGCCCCTGGTTTTCATCCGGGGACTTCCCTTCCCCTGTCCGTCTGCACCTGGGGGGAGAGGGTGAGCGGGCAGGGGCTTCCAGGTGGCCTGGGGGCCAGGAAGTGGGGGGGAAAGGGAGGCCCAGGCAGGCGCTGCCTCTCCCCTGTCCTGCGCGCCCCTGCCTGAGCTGGGAGCCAGCCCCAGGGTGCCCCCAGCCCGTCCTGCCTGCGCCCGGAACCCCAGCTGGGTGCAGCCTGTCCGGTCCCGCTTGGCTGGGCTGCTCTGAGGCCAGAGGTCAGGCGCCTGGTGTGAGGCCGGGGCTGCCGCTGAGCGCTCAGCCTGCGGACTCGGGGTCCCCTGTGTGATGTGCAGGTGGAGGGGGGTCTTTCACGGCTGCTTCTGGTGGGGACCAGGCTCGGAGGGAGCGTTTCCAGCCGACTGTCAAAGATCGGGGTGCTCCTTCTGCAGGGCAGCCCGCCTGGCGCCGGTGGGGGCGCAGGGGGGGACGGCCTGGGGAGGAGTGCATGCTGGGAGAGCAGGCTGTCCCTGTGGTCACCCCTCCTGCCAGGGGATGACTCTCCCTCTCCAGGTACAGCCCGTCCGCTGCTGCGGGGAGGGGACGGCGTCCCGCCTC